ACTAGCTAAGTAAAAGGGTCTCTCTTACTAGCTTTTATAAAAAGTATATAGCTAATAGTACTTTTAGTACTTAAATTATTATAATTATTATAACTATTACTAGGATTATTAGACTTAGACCTAGCGATATATCTTCTATAGTATTTTAATAAAGACGATTTTTAGACCCTTAAGCCTTAAATAGGTCGAGTCTTATTCTTAGACTACGCAGCCTTCTTTTAGTTATAGATTTTAGAAGTATCTAAGCCCTATCTATTCTTTAGTAATTAGCGATATAGTATTTTCTATTATAGAGGAAATAAGTCTTTAAGCTAGATCTATATTAGCTTCTAGATAAATTACTATTAACGCTTTACTATCTACGCTAACCTAGGATAATATATTTAGTAATATAAGTATCTTCCTTATTAGATACTACCTTACCTAGTATTACTTAGTTTATCTTTTCTTTATATAAACCCTTAATATTATATAAGTCTTAAATCTTATTCTTATATAATATAAGTAATTAATATTTTAATAAATTAATAGTAGCTATAAAATAGTCTAGTATACTTTAAGTAATTATACTATAAAGGTAATAGTCTAGATATAATATAGTTAAGTCTATATTAATTATCTTTTATCTATAACTTACTCTTTAATCTTAGTCTAGTATAAATTAACTCTAGCTTACTTATTATACTTAAATATAGTAATCTTTACTATATATATTTTAGTAGTCGACTTATCTATTTTATTATATTTTACTTTTAACCCTCTCTATAATCCCTAAGCTAAATTATACTTCTTATAGAGATTCTAATCTTCCTTAAATTGAGTATTAAGTATAAAATTAACTACTTTTGCTTTATCTTATAGGTAGGCCTTCTTATTATTAATATTTTATAATCTATATCCCTATTCTTATATAGTATTATTTAGATTATTAATAGTATATCTATTACTAATAGTATATCTATTACTAATAGTATATCTATTACTAATAGTATATCTATTACTAATAGTATATCTATTACTAATAGTATATCTATTACTAATAGTATATCTATTACTAATAGTATATCTATTACTAATAGTATATCTATTATTAATATAGTTAACAATTTTTTAGTACTAAGTTATACTTTTAGGTTTATAATCTAAGCGTACTCTCTTAATATCTATTTAATAGTACATCTAACTTCTTTAGTAGTAAACTTTACCTTTATTTACCAGAACTAACCTTTATAGTTATTATAGGTATGTCACGGGTCGAATGTCGCGATTCGGTTATTCTTCCTCGTGACCGCGGGACAAGTGGCTGCCTAAGCGAGCATGCATGTCCCACGCTTCAAGCAAACAAACAATGAAGGAAAACACAACTCCCTCAGAAAACTCTTTAAGCAAACAGGACAACACATCAAATCCCTCATCGTGGCGTGATAAGGGATGTGGGAGACGCGGGGGATAAGGAGCTGTTGGGTGTGTGGTGTTTCTGGCATAAGAACCTCGGGTTTTCTCCTCAGATAGCTCTTCTCTCCTTAGCTTTAGATTCTAAGTAGTGGAATAGCAGTATCCTTCACCGTTCCGTGACAAGGTAAGGATTAGGATATAAGCTTCGTCCTTATAGTTATCTGTATTATAATAGCCACTATATATATATTTATAATATAGGTTTTAATTTTATAAAATTAGTTTATATATATAGCCTAGCTACGGCTTAGTAAATATAATATAGTATTAATACTCTTAGCTTTTTATAATACTTATAAATTAGTATTAATAGTAAGCTTTCTTTAGCTTTAATAATAATTATTCCTATTCTTACTTGATAGTACTTAAATCCTTACTTAATTTAATATAGGTAGACTATTCTTACTTAATAGTTCCCTAAAGTTCTTACTCGACTTTAATTTAAGTTCCTTACATAAACTTAGTAAACCCTTTACGGTTTATAAGTCTATATAATAGTTTAGTTTACTAGGGCGAACCTAGGCTTATAACCTATTAAGTAGATATTCTCTAGAGATAGTAATAATCCTCTCTTAAGGTATAGAGTATAATAGGTAGGGGGTAGGTTAAAGAGTATATATTAGACTAAGGGGGGAAGAAGTCGAGGCTTGCACTCGGGCGATATATAGCTAACGCTAGCTCGTACGACACTAGTCCTAATCCGGACTTAGTACGCCTAGACTCTAGTTACTACGTATATGATTTCCTTAATAGTAATTAAGGTTTATTATTAATTAAGTATATACCTAAATAATATCTTATAGCTAGAGTTTAATTATTAGATCCTTATAGAACTTAATTACTATAAGTATAATAATAATTTATATACTAACCTTTTAGATTATAGGTAATTATATTAAAACTAAAGACTTTTTATTATTATTAAATACTTTAACTATAAGTCTAGATTTCTTAAATACCTTAGAAGTACCCTTATTCTTAATTATATTAATAAATCAAGAACTAAATATATAAGTATCTAGTAGTAGTTAATTAATAGTAATAACCTTAAAGACTTTATTATTAGTTAGTCTACTTATCTTAATTTATCTAGAATTATTAAATACTAAATATACTATATTATTATCTATAAAATATACCTAGTACTTTAGTTCTATAATATTACTTTCTTTATAAACTAGAAGTACCTTAGTATAATAAATAGCTATAGTCTTTTATAGTTATCTATAACTATACTTTAGTAGTATAGAACCCTTCTTATTCTACTTATCTTTATTAGAGTCTAGCTTAATTTATCTTAACTTTTAAGGTTATTCGCGTCCTTCCTTTAGTTAATCCTTATTAGAGTATTTATTAGGATACTTTATAATATCTCTATGTTTAAGGTCTATATCTATTAGATTCTAAAGATTAGATATATTCTTATTTATATATTATAGTTTAATAACTATAGATTAAAATCGAACTAGTTTACCCTTAATCTTAATAATTATATCTTCTCTTTTGTATCCTTATAGGATATATAGTCCTTACTACTTCTTATACTTATACTACATTTAAATCTTAGCTCTAAGAAGTAGATCTTTAATTTAATTAAATAGACTATTCTAATGTAACGAATACTCAAACTGGCTAACTAAACTTGGCTGGGTGTTCGCTGGTTGGTATGCTATGATAAGAAGAAGACTATCGGGTTGTTCACTTGGAAGTGAACTCGTTACTTGTATCAAAGATGTCAAACTAATATGATAAGATTGATAACTAAGTTGAGCACAAAACTCCTATCTAATGGCAGACGTGCCAGTCTTATATAGAACCTTTGTGCTCTGAAGTCGACTTGGTCGCCTAGCGACTTTGTCGACCGACTTATCGCCTGGGCTACAAGTTGACCTGCATCATATCGCGTGACTGCAACCAAATGAAATCCTTGGATCGGTTAGCCATCCTAACCAATCCCGTTTTGCTATAAGAGCTATTGATGTGCTTGTCCTGTCAGGGCGCCGCCTGGACTTCACCTATCACGTGCCGACACGTGATTCGTGACACCGGCTTAGTGTTACTAACTCTTCTAGCGGGAGGGTAAAAAAGTCGAAAAAAAAAGTAATCGAAAACTAATTAAATCCTGATTGGTCGAAAAGTTATTACATAATCATAATACCACATATTACTATAAAGACTTAATTATTGTATACTCTGAAGCCAACAAGTAGTGGTAATCTTTTGGGTGGATGGCACGGATGGGTGGGTACCAGGTAAGCGAGGTTGGGAGGGGGTGAGTAAAACGGTATGGCGCGATGAGTTACCCGGATTATTTGATCGCGCAGAAAGTAGAAAGTGAGGCACTTTTGAAGACAGTTACAAGGATGCCTTTGTTTATCTGAAAGCAGGATGCTGGATTACTAAACTTTAACATTTCCGTGTTGCGGCTCTTGTCACTCGGGATTCCGAGTGCACTTCTACGCACAGTACTTCGCATAATCTTTGCACTGGCATAAGGCAACAGATAACATTATTAACGTGGATCAAGAAAGCCTTGGAATTGGCACTGACGTATTGGTACTCGTGCGCCCAGGACACCAGCCCACCGTAGTTAACCGCCCAAAATAATTATAATAATTAATTGATAAGAAAATAACCACGCAGTCTAAATTCTTTGAAATTATATCAGAATAAAGTTTAGAACATTACTATTCTTTTCTACTCTTAAAAACTTACGGAGGTAAGATTTCCTTACTATACTTACTATATAGTGAATAGTAAGTCTTACTAAGTCTTAGTATTAGTTGAAAGACAAAAATAAAACATAGGGAATGTAGAGGAATAAATCAGCTACATTTTGAGGCTACTAAATAATATGTTTTTATTAGTATTAGTGGTGGTTGTTATTCTAGTTTTTGGGGTGGGCTCCCGGCGCACGAGTATTCATCGCCAATGCTAAGGCTTCTGGGTGCGGTGGGGTTAGTCAGCGGTCAATCAGCGACAAAGGTAATTTAGTATAACCAATGTCTCCACAACCCGCCTTATGGTGGACAGAAAAGTGACGGGCCCGTGCAGAGCCTTGGAACAGAGAAAAACAATTAAGATATGTATAGATTAAGATGATAGTACTGTAAAAATAAACAAAAAACAGAATACAAGTATAATTAATCAATTAACATTTGATACAATTTTTAGAGAGTTTGGAACTAGCTTTGTCATAATGATCTAGACGACGAAGTTTCGTTTACTGACTTCTTTTGTCCACCGCAAGCCCGCATGGCCCATGGGAATTTTTAACGTTCACTGAGCACTCGGAACTGCTGGATTTTGCTTGAGGGCCCAATGAGTGTCATTGGAGGGATTACCAGTACCGTAGTAAATCAAAATTAAGAAGGATGCTGGGGTGTGTGGGTGGAGCACGGAACAGTGTGAACGGGAGTGAACTTGAGGCTCCTACTCGCTAGAAAGTTCTTCTTATTCGTAGAATTTTGCGATAAGCGAGGAACCCGTAGAAAACTGTTGTCTAAGTGGCTTACCAAGCAGTTTTGGTACTCCACCCGCCCAACAGCGCATACCCCAGCATCCTTCTTCAGTTCGATTTACTACGGTAACCAAGGAGTGCCAAAAGAGCCTGGGAAGCAGAGTACTGGAAAGACTAGAAGCCGGGGCTCCGGACACAAGAGATAACACTTTATTTAGGGGGAGGGGGAAGGGGAGTGTCGGCACTCTGCAAGAGGTGTATAAAGCACCATCTTCCTCTGTGCAGAATTATCAAAATCAAATCAGTATTTCCCATCACAGTATTCAGCTTATATCGAAAATACTCGTTGACCTCAATTTGCAATGGCACCAGCGATCCCCAAAGACTCCCTCGTGCTAGTCACAGGCGCTAACGGTTACGTCGGATCCCATGTCGTGGCCAAGTTTCTTGAAGCCGGCTACCGTGTCAGAGGAACAACTCGTGATCTCAAAAAGCTGCAGGGCATCATTGGTAAATGGGAAACTCAGTATGGCAAAGATAGATTCGAAGCGGTTGTGGTTCCCGATATGTCAGTTGAGGGAACTTTTGATGCTTCAATGCAAGGTAACCAGCACTTCCTTCCTACCACCCTTCCCAGAAGACTAAAAAGATACCAGGAGCCTCAGCTGTTATCCATGTTGCGGGGGATTTATCCTTCAACCCGGATCCAAACGTCGTTATTCCTGCTGTGGTTGGCGGGATAAAGTCGGTACTTGCATCAGCAGCCAAAACTCCCTCCATCAAACGCTTTGTTTACACATCCTCGTCGACCGCCGTATCAGATTCAATTTTGAGTGGAGAGAAGCACCTAGATTCCTCGAGCTGGAATGAAGAGGCCGCAGCGAGAGCATGGACTCCTCCATATGCCCCGGAGCACGCAAACGATGTTTATGCCGCAAGCAAAGTTGCAGCCGAGAAAGCCCTTTGGGAATTTGTCGAGGAGAAGAAACCGGCTTTTGTGGCTAATTCTATTTTGCCTGGTGCTGTGTGGGGTAAAACTCTGGATCCGGGTTTGAATATTTCCACGGCTGCCTTGCCTATTAAATTGTTGAAAGGAGAAGCTGTGCAATATCCTCCTTGTATGTATCTCCCCTGAGCAAATTCGAGTTGGAAAGCGCTTAAGCTGATCATGCCATTAGGCTGGTTTGTCGACGTCGAAGATGTTGGGCTTCTCCATGTTGCAGCTACCATAGAGGAAGATGTTAAGGGTGAACGCATTTTTGGCTATGCAGACAAGTTCACATGGAAGTAAGGATTTGTCCAAATTTGTTGAGAATTCATTACTGATAAACCACACAGTCGAGTACTTCGCGCGCTGAGAACCATTTTTCCGGATAGAAAGATTATAGATGATTACACGGATGAAAAGATACAAGAAATTACCACTGTATCGACAGAACGATCAATTGAGTTATTGAAGCGTATGGGTCAAGACGGGTGGACCTCTTTGGAGAAGTCTATTGAGAATACTGTGAAAGGTCTTTGAGAGTTTTTGGAAATGTATAACTTTGGGAACACTTGTTCCGGAATTGGCATGACTAAGGATTGGTAAGGCACACAGGAGGAAGCTGTCGCAATGTTCAAATCAAGTAAACTTAATTATCCTACATGGGTTCTCGTCTCCAAATACAAAGAATACACAATGTACAAAGGATTGCACAAAATCTCGCTTACTCTTAAATCACCTCCAATTCGCTTCCCAAGACACATTATCATATCCCTTCCCCTTCAAAGCTTAGGCCCATAGAAACGAAAGCAAACTTCAACGAGAGTCAACTGCTTTTTCCTGGGCAAGTCCATCCATCTTTAATCAACCCATCGGGGGGGCCATTGTCCCCTCTAGATTACACGGTAGACCAAAATAGTTAACTCTGAATGGATTTATTGGAAGACAGAGTGAGGTTGGGTTATCTTGGTCTTATCATCACAGTCGCCAGGCCCTGTCAGCTTGTCGCAATCTCTCAAGTTAATGGGAGCTATTTACCACTTACTAGACAAAATACCACCAGTAGCGTTTATTTCTGTTGCAATACTATGGGGGATAGAAAACGTTCTTTATACGATATTGAGAGGGATAGCTGGGCTCACACCACATTTAGAGGTTCCCGGGAGACAGCCTCGCTTTTGGGGGGTTTTGGGGCGATTGTTGGTTTGTAGTTTCCGTGAGGAACACGGATTACTAGTGCGACGCCTGCAAGAAATGCGTTAATGATTGTGGTGATTTGCATTTTGTTTATGTAGTTTGACTAATAAGTATATTTTAGTTTCTTTTTAAAGTTTTGCAAGTGGCCTGCTATGTGAAAATGCCGAGGAGTGTCGGGATAGGAACTTCGAGCAGCGACGCGAAGCGACGAAGAGAGAGAGCATAATAAGAATATTAGCCATAATGTTACGTGACGAGAATCCGAAGCGAATTTGACGAGTAAAATCGATTGATGTAAGAAGGTCGGTCTGAAAGGTAATAAGTGGATTAGTAAAATCCAATACAATAGGGCTGAGCAGCCACATGATGTCGCAACGTTCTGAGAAGCATCTTCGTGAGGGCTACGTAGTACGGTAAGAGATTCCAGGTGCGATTATTTTCGGCCATATCCAGTTGAGTGAACCCGTGATAAGTTGAAACGAGACAACTTTGGTATGAATAGAATATGCTTTCGTATATTGCCTAAAATACACGAGACCAGCTTGTTTCACAAACTCAAAGAGCCTTTCTTATCCTGGGTATTATAGAAAACACTGGATACTAGGATACGAGCTATAAGAATACCGCAGTCATGTCCTTATATCCCTCGGTCCTGATTGCTTTTTAGGTAGGTTTTAAGGATAACCTCGGTTCAAGGATATCCTTCAGTTTTTTTTAGGTCTTCACAATGTTCAAGTCCCAAGACAACCTTATCTATACACTTAGAAGTTATAGAATCCACTGACCTAAGCAAGCTTATATAAAATCCGAATATTTCAAGTACTAATCTAGACCGACATCATATATTATTAATACTTATATATACGACCTTGTCGTTGCTTAAGCCAAGAACCTTGCCATAAGGATAACCTTAATTATAATCCTAGCACAACCCATATCCTAGTGTCGTTGTTTTTCTATAGCACTAAAATCAGGAGACCCATGAATCACTAAGTAGGCCGATGGCCGGACCAAGTCACGCGCCATTTGCTTGGGTTGAATGACGTTGCTGTGTCGCTTAGGGAGTTGATATTACTTTAAATTAATTGTTAATTAGCTATTTCTTTATTTTCATCGCCATAGCGAACGCCCAACAAAACTTGGAGATGAGGAAATGTTCTACTTCTTAGTTTTTGGGTTGATCTCTTCTCGTCGCAAACCTGTACATCGTCTAATGTTTTAAGTTTATGATATCCACTTTTAGTGCTTTAAAATTAGCAGTGCGGAGCAAGTCGGCCCGAGTCTCGAAGCGTAACTGAGCATTATTCCGACCGGTACAATCACCCAGATTTAGCTGCATCGCACGCGATTTTCTTTCGATATAGGTATACTCAAATAAAGGCCTGGCCTCGGAGATAACGGCCCGAATAGCAAGTCGTAAACCTGAAAAATCAGATGTAAATGTGCGATGACGAGGGGATAGATCATCACAGCCGTCAGCGGAACATGATTTTCAAAATGGATTTCCTCCAGGCCCCTTCGCTAATGTAATTAAGCGAGAAGTACCTGGTAACCTAGTACCAACTTGCGCAGCAAACAGGCAGGAAAAGCTCCTGTAATCCTCAAGATATTTTCTGGCCCGCCCAAGCTTCGGCGAAATTATACCATGGTAGAACGTTGGAGAAACAGGATCCGTATTTCTCGCCAAGTGTTATCGAGATACTGTACAAAAGCTACCACTCTTGTTACTAATTCGCTACACTTTCTTGGCTAATTCATTCGAGTTTATTGAAATTGTAGGTAATACGTCCAATTGTTCTGTTAATTTGCGGTCTACTACGCTACCTAGTCCTGAAGGACGTCTAGACTTTGCTTACTTCGTCCCAGGCGAAATAAATGTAGATTTGCTAGGGTGGCTAAGGTTGGCAACAGGGTGAACCCCCCTAAAAGCCCAACAATTACTTCGCCTGGGACGAAGTAGATTTGCTTAAAATCGAGCGATGTTTGTTTAAAGTTAGTTAGTGTAATGCGATATTAGGTATACTTTGTATTACGGGGTTAACCCCCTTCCTATCTGGGCTCGTATACGTATACTTATTTGTACTAGCTTTCGATTCTTGTACTAACTAGAGGTGAATTTTGTCTATATAAGGCGTACGTCCCCTTGTAACTAGGAACCCGGTCACACTGCACTTTTTTCAGCCTACTCTTGAAGCTGTTCAAATCACAGTCGTTCAAGATAACTTTATATTACCCGATATGTTTTTCTCTACCCATCTCTTCGTCGCGACTCTTCTTGCAACCGTCACAGCTACCCCTGCCCCTCAGAGAATATTCCCAGATGATGGTATCTACCGTTGGAAAGTGACAGATTTGTTGATCGGGTGTGACGAGATCCCCAACTGTCCTTACGACTTCCACGTCTAGGGAGATGATTTCAACAAGGATGGGCTAAAAACCCCCGCATTCCGAGGAACGTGCAAGGGGGACATAGTAGGGAAACCTTTCGTAGCATGTTCTTTCGATGACGGCGAGCCCGCTGGCAGAACTGTCTCCGCAAAATGGGTGAAATCTACGATCACGGATGATGGGGCTCTTGTAGTTAGCTACGAGTTCACAGATGCATCGAAACAAAGGTGGAATTACACGTCGAGTCCTGCTGAGGTTAACTATTTCTATTTGGACCTGCAGACTTTCAACATCGATCAAATACCCGCGCCAGTCAAAGTTGGACCTCAGCCTTCTTAACAAGGTTCGACACTTGGAATGAGGTTCCCAGAATTCCACGATTCCGTTCATCGGTGAAATATTCCAATGATTCCTTAATTCAGAACGGGGTATCCCAGGGGGACAGGGCTCTAGAATTTAGAAGTCCAAAGGGAATATATTACTTTTCAACCATTAAGAAGGCCTAATTCGATGTCAGACAATTGCTATAAATATAGATTAATTTATTCATTATATGATATTTAGAAATTCAGTTACTTTTCACTTATCTTTCGTCCCTACATATTGTACTCCTTGTTTCACTTGTATCGATTCACTTGTAGGACTTCCGTTTCGATGCCTTAATTGGGGAATTTATTTCGTAATTGGGACCAACGAAGAGAAAATAATGCTTCTATCGCGACGCCTTTGTGTTCTAGGCTGACTGATCAATGAGAAAGTGGCATATTTGCACACGCATTGGGTCAAGAACTTGGGCCAACTCAACCCCATCTTCTCAGAATCAATCACAAATTGAGCATGCCGGACAGATTCAGGGCCGAATCAACAATGAAGACCAAAATGTATCTGCGGGTCCCTTGAAACTCCTCGGTTGAAGCAGCTCAATTTCTACGAGCGTTGAAATAGATGTCTGGGCGGTTCTTGCGCATCACGGGCTCGCTTAACCCTTTTTTGACGAGTTACTAGAAGCCCCGTTAGGCCGTTCGGCATTCAGTTGCCTTAGTTATATGGGCGGTCGCTCTTTCTCAAGGTTTGTTCGCAAAGATCGAATGGCTCACGGCCGCGTTTTTGCAACGCTCTTGCCATGAAAACCAGCCTGTCGGATTTCAATGCGGTAGAGCGTTCCTTCCCATCCAGCGTTTTGCAGCGGCTCTAATTATCGTTATATGATCTGGATTTCTGCACAACCCCTCTTCCATCAAACATCAACTACACTCGTTTAAAATCCCTTAATTATTATAACATATATTTACCTATATGTCCCGGCTTCGGCAAAAGTTGAGACGCTGCCTCCCTGCAAAGCGAAAGAACGAAAGCGAAAGTGAAAGCGGAAAACAAAGCCCCTTCAACCTCAGTCCCATTTCCAGAATGTCGTTAGATAAAGAAAACCGTTCCGAGTTCCGCGACAACATCGTGCCGACGCCTCTTAACTGTGGACGCTGTGACCGACAGATCGTAAGCCAAAAATACTATCACTGTCTCGGGTGCGTTAAACGTCGCACTTGGCCAGCTGGTGAAGGATACAACCTCTGTCTTGATTGTGCTACGGTCGGAATTTATTGCGCGTACGATAATCATGCATGGTCCTCTCGACTGTTAAAGAGAACGAGAGATGGGCAAAGATGGGCGAGTGCAGGGGATTACATGCCGCCGATGCAAGTTAGAACATTGCCACACGCCGTCCGAGAAATATATCCTGCCAGATTTTGTCCCCCACAAGAGGGATGGCTGCCGGAGGAGATATTTTACGATGACCACCGCTTTATACGGGCGAGCGACCCCCGGGAGATTCTCATTTACACTGGAGGCGCTATCCTTCATCGCCGCAGAGGTGGCCGTCGTGAATATGCAGGAGGCTTCGCATTTGGGTACCGTGCCACCACCTTTGCCCGAAATGGTAGCATGACACAGAAAGGTACCATAAGCGGACGTTTGGAAAACTTGGGGCCAACGGGGAGAAGACAACCATTTACACAAGATCGCGCCGACCTTCGCGCCATCGTAGCCGCTTTGCAATTTCTTCCTTGGAATATGGATTGTAATCGAGGATGGAGAAGTCTTGTTATAGCGACGGCATCCAAATACGTTGTCAACAATGCAACTAAGGGAACCATACCCAGAGCGTGGGAAACTGAAGGCGAAACGCCCCACGGAATGGAATTGGTATGTACTGCAATATATTCCGCCTTGCTAGTTTCTTTTGAATTACTCGCTCTCTCACTTTTCTAACATTACACCAGTACGAGTTCACCAACGAGGATTTATGGAAGCTCATGATCTCCGAAATCCGCAAACTTCAAGAAGACGGCGTCCAGGTTCGCTTTTGGAGAACGCCCAAGGGAGGTGACTACAATGGAGGAATCGATCGCTGTGTGAGGTACGCTCAACGAGCTGCCCTTGGGAACGAGCAGGAAGAGTATCAAATAGTAGAGGCGGCCGATCCATGGCTGCCCCCACCATCACCGTCGCAACCTGAAAGTTTAACACAAAGATATGCACCGCTTGGCGCGCCAGACAATATTATCTTGCATGACATGCGGCACTTGTATTAAAATCAGCGTTGAATAGATTACTAGCTATAATTAAAGCGAATGATCTGTTGAATTGGATTCTGTGTGGTTTTAAGAGCAGTCAGTGTGGTAATTCAAGACTAATGTTCCAAATTTTTGGGGGTGAGATACCTCGCTTAATTTCTTGTGATTGACAGCACCAAGACTTTCAGGACTTAGGACAAGTAATAGCCGTAAACACTTTTTGATAATAATCTATAAAAAACAGTTTGAAGGTAGCCCTCTTCCGCAGTACCTGGCCCACGACTTAAGCTATGCACTCGACAGCGAAGGCTCGTCTCGAGCATCAACTTGAACTTACACCCCATGATTTTCGACTGTAGGAGTGCTATTTGGTACAAACCTTTTCACCCTCATTCCCAATGCTGCTCGATCAAGAATCTAACTTCGAGAGGAACATCAAGCGGGCTAGCTAATGATTTACCATCCACTAATCCAGACTAAGATCCATTTTTGCCACCTGTGATTTGTGATCGACTTTGTTCATTCCAAAAACACAATGAATAGTACTCCGCACCTAATATAAACTAGTGTATATGGGTACTGTTCAAGAGACTTAAACTCCTAGCTAGCTACATACTCAATACAACCACTTCTTTACCCACATCTACTTCATCCTACATATGTCCTACTAACACTTTAACCAATCAAAGCGACTACATACCAAGTTACCAACGGCCTCGCAGAATAAAAATAAAACAACAGGGGCCGATACGGCTATCGAGTCTCAAAGCTACAATCTTCTGCAACTAATATCCATGGAATGTTTCATATTTACTGCCAAGAATTTAGGAACGAAAGAGAATTACGCCAGGTGAAATAGAGAGTGTAAAGTTCCAAGTCAACCGCTTCATGTGCCTCTTACGCCAAAAAAAAAAGACCATATACGGTATATGATAAACCACACCCTTCACTTTCACATCCCCTTTAACCAACAATCATCCATTATTCCCTCCCCCTCTCCCCCCTCTCCCCCCTCTCCCACCTACCCCTACCCCCTCCTTAACCCTCTTCCCACGTCCCACTGAATTCGCAACAACGCACAACACCCTCATCCTTCCAAGTAAGCTCCTCCTTTTCATCTAAAACCACTCTCAGGCCTAGCTAAGACCAAAGTACCAAGGTATCGCAAGCAACCCACACACAGCATGGGAGCATACATCCCATCCAAATCCCTACGTATAACCATCACTGAGCTCGAGATTTTCCTCTTCCTTTGGCTCTTGAAGTGCGTCAAGCTATATTTGAGGTCTTCCATCCCCCCATGAACACATTACAATAGTTTGATAAAAGGAGAGAGTATGGTGTCAATGCACTTTTTCTTAAACACTTTTTACATATGTACTTAAAACTTACTTAGTGAGTTAATTGGGACCCAGTGGTCGTCTGGTAAAAGGGGTATAGGTGTGGTGGCTAAATAAGATCACGGCTTGATTCTCAATGCGATGATTGTGAGTGTGAGTCTTGAAGATGATTGTGAATCGCACTCGCGGGTTGACTTCAATAATGACCCGCCTTCTCATGTCATGTTTTGTAGAACAACCATATCACCAGCGTATTTCTGTTGGAGGAGAGAATGCAAGCGTGCGTGAATGTAATTTCGATACATTTATACTTCGTGGATGGTCTTGTTAGTTTTGGAGCTCTCCTCAAGACTAACGTGCCGCTGTTGCCTTCACGTTGAAGATTTAAATCTTCAAGCGACAATAATCTTCACCTGGCGAAAAATATTATTCCAGAAGAATGATTCAGTCTAATGGGACAAGCCCTCTTCATCCCTGAGAACAACAGAAAAAATATTCAGAGAAAGAATCAGCAGGATTATGGCCTTAATCGGCCTATGCATTTCCGTCTATTGTAACTCTATAAGTCGTTCATTCTAAAGTCCATACCTCTAAAGTTGTCCCACAGCATTCAACTCCTAAAACCCATCCACAGCAATACCTTTTGCCTTCTCCTCAGCCAAACGTTCCTTATTATCGTCCAGCCACCAGATATGCGTAGGATCAGATGGTTTACCGTCATTACCTGTGAGGTCGTCCCATGGTTTGATTCCTGTTTAAATGTGTTAGCATCCAAGGCGTTACAAAGAGAGTCAGAAATCCGAGGAGCCGATTGAGAGAAAAAGGGCTATGGAGGAAGGCCTACCAAAGATGTAATGACTAGACCAAAAGATTAGCTTTCAAATTCATTTTTATGGACAGAAGAGGGTACATACACATTCTTAACCTCATCATCCCTCCAAATTTGATGATGCACTCCCTCCCATCTCAAAGTCTTAAGCGCATTATACGTATAAGGCAATGGCACCCAACACCCCTTGAACAAATCGGAAAGCAGAGATTGATCCGCGAAATCCATGTTAATGGCGTTATTCTCCATATAATCGACGATTAAGTTGTATACATCGTCAGATGGGTTTACAACTTGTAGACCGCCGTTCATGAAACCCAGAGGTCCAACGGCTGGGTCTGGTCCTACTGTTTGGGCGATATCTGGAGTGTTGTGTTGGGATGTGAAGGCACAGTTTTCTGGTATCCTGATTTGATGTTTTAGGTTCTGAAGAATGGCAGAGGAGGAAGGGAGGAAAAAAGGGCAAAGGGGACCAACCAATCTTTAGGGTAGTGAGCTTTCTTCAAAGGATTACAAACACAAGCATGTCCCGCAGCGTACACTCTCTTACCCATCCCTGCCAACTCGGGACCATCAAGCTCCAAGTCCATCAGCTCATCCATGTTCTTCCGCACCAACATATCACTATCCAATTGTACCACTCGGTCATATTCTGTCAAGCTGAAGGGAGTGAGTTTCGTCCAGCAATCGTAGAAGCGAGGGTCGGCAGAGTAATCCTTGCCGGCTGATGGAAGGAGATATTGTACTCTTTGTGCTGGGATGCCGCGGGCCTTGAGGGCTGCGTGGCCTTCTGGGGGAAAGCCATCGGTATAGAGTGCGACCAGGGGGTATGCAGAATTGTGTTTTTTGAGAGAGTAGTCGAGGGTTAGGAGACCTGAGAGGTACTTGGTGTTGGTAATTAGGGTTGTCCAGACTTATGTCATTATCAGTACCCGTATCGTATCCTCGCTCGGAGGGATGGAAGTTAGTTACCTTTTCTCGACTCCGTAACCCTGTCCTTAGTGTCAACCATATTGGCAATTGAATTTCGGGAGTAAGCGTGGAAGGTAAAACTTCAAGAGGAATATTGAGAATATGAAGAGAAGAAAGTGAAGCCGGCTTCTGGGAGCTTTCAATACTTCTTTGCTTGGTGGTTAGACAGAGAGGACGATCAATGGCGAGATGGAGAGCCAGTGATGAAGACGTGGCGCAAAGCACTCTTATATAGCAGCAAACATCTATTTAAAGAACTTGTCAGACAGCGCTCTCTGCGCTCTTTACTCGTACATTGCGACGAGTCCACAGTGACCTGTCCAATCGGCCGAGGTGGGGGGCGTTGATCCCAGATTCCCGACAAGACTCGATGAAGACTCATGGCTCTTGCATTTAGACGAGAGAGAGGGGCGGGGCTTGGAGGGGTAATAGACAGATGCAGGAGCAGGTGGACGGACCATGGCTCCTGCACAGGCTTGACAGGCAGTGATGTACCCCTGCAGAAATGTCTCTCGAGTCGAACCCAAAGTCTCCTCTCCACCAACCGTGATAACAGCTCGTCATCACTCGTCCAGAAGAAACCACAACTCGTGGAAACTCTCCGAGTTGGTGTCATGATATTGCTTGATCGTCCGCGGCTGTTTATTCGTTGAAACAAGAATGCAACCCTAATCTTACGCCGGAAAACTTCCCGCTCAGTTCGCCTGACAGATAAGCAACTGATAACTTTGATTTTAACCTTCATGTCGTCTCGGCGTGGAGAGAACAGGCTTATTTGGGCCAACTTGATACTCCCGACCGCAATACACAGCACAAATGTCGACGACCATTGCTGGGCATGGAGTTGGCGCAAGTGGCGAGAAGAAGGTCGTGATGGACAAGAAAGAGGGTAGCAAGAATTACAAGGGTTTTGTTGCAGGTGTATTCTCCGGAGTCTCCAAGTTGTCGGGTAAGTACCCATTCATATTCCATTGACCTTGATCACCCACATTGCACTCCCCTCAAGGTCAATGGCCTTAGACAGACGATACAGCATTTCTTCTACGTTTCACTTTCCCAAGATCACAAAGCTAACCTCAATCCCCAGTCGGCCACCCCTTCGATACCATCAAAGTCCGTCTTCAAACCTCCAATTCCGCCCAATTCTCCGGACCCCTCCAATGTCTCCTTCAAACGGTGCGAAAAGAAGGTGTCAAAGGCCTCTACAAAGGCGCCACACCCCCTCTCGTAGGCTGGATGTTCATGGATAGCGTAATGCTAGGCTCCCTAACATTCTACCGCAAACTCCTGCACCAAACCCTCTTTTCTCCATCCCGCATGTACAACTCCCCCTCCGCATTCGCAAGTGTCGACACTCCATCCCACAAACTCCCAACCGTGGGCCATGGAATGGCAGGCGTGATGGCTGGAGCAACAGTATCGTTCGTGGCCGCACCGGTAGAACACATCAAAGCACGTTTACAGATCCAATACTCGAATGTTCGTTCCGAGAGATTGTACCAAGGACCCATCGATGCATTCTCCAAGATCTACAAATTCCATGGTGTGAGAGGGATATACCACGGTCTTTCAGCAACTCTACTGTTCCGCTCTTTCTTCTTTTTTTGGTGGGGGTCTTATGACCTCTTCACGAAACTTCTCTCGGAGAAAACTGCGCTTTCCACCCCAGCCATCAATTTCTGGGCCGGTGGACTGAGTGCCCAGGTCTTTTGGATGACTAGTTATCCTTCCGATGTGGTGAAGCAACGAATTATGACCGACCCGTTAGAAGGGGGGTTGGGGGATGGAGTCAAGAAATTTGCCGGTTGGAAAGAAGCGGCGGTGACAGTATATGAAGAAGCTGGATGGAGGGGTTACTGGAGAGGCTTTGTGCCTTGCTTCTTGAGAGCTTTCCCCGCCAATGCGGTAGCATTGGTTGCTTTTGAGGGGGTTATGAGAAGCTTACCCTGAGTAGATGGGATTCAACATGCGTGATATATTTGGGTTTAAAAGGACTTATACATTGGGGGCGTTTTGATTATACCACATGGTCGATAGAATAGCACGGCATATATGTAGTAGTATTGTAGAAAGACTAGATAAATCTCAATTCATGAAAATTACAACATTAGAAGCTAGGAAAATCTCTCGAAATGGCTTGATCGTGGTGGATGCCAGTAGTGTAAGTATATATCGGTTATTTCAAAAATGCATAGTGTGACGAGAACAATAAAAGTCTAATTTGCTCCCGGACCTTGACATAGTCATGTAGGTTTTCTCAAAAATGCTATTTTCACCGCGAAATTGGAAAGAGGAGTGATTGCAAAGAACAGGAATCAATGTGTGAAAGTCCATATCTTAATCCAGGCATTCACAAAAGTCACTAATCACAACAATACATCATTTCAAGTAGAGATAATTTTTGGTCGTCTGGGCCCCACGCCTCACAGCTTATCATTGAAGAGCTATTCCTGCTATACGACCCATATGCACCAAGTCCAACACACCCTTATATTTTGATTTCGGTTCTTTACTCATCATCATCCTCAGCATCGTCGTTGACGACGTTGAAGAAGCGGAGCTCATAGACACCCTTGGAGGTAGAAACAACACGGAGCCAATCACGGAGTTGTTGCTTCTTGAGGAACTTCTTGGTCCTACTCACATACCCAATTAACACATATTTCTTCGAAGATGTGTGAAGGTGGGGTAGGGGAGCCAACGTACAAGTACTTGAGGTATCTACCAGAGAAATCGATGTGTGCAATGACCTCAATCTTTCCATCGCCAATCTGTTGGATCTTGACAGCATCCCCGAGGTTTCCGACTCGGTTGTCGACCTTGATCTTGTCCTGGAGGAACTTCTCGAAAGCGGACACGTCGAAGATCTTGTCGCTGGCCGGTTGGGAAGCGTTGATGATGAACTGTTACAGCGTCACTGTTAGCTTTCGTACTTCGCAGATACACACGAATTGTAACAGAGAGAGAGAGAGTTGGGAATTACCTTCTTGGTGACCTTGGCCTGCTTGCCCTTTGCTCCGGATTTCTACATTGAATCTTAGCCTACTGTATCACGCCGCAACCTCTTTCGAGGCGGGCCAACAGCAAAGCGCATGGTTCATGTACGTACTGTTGCTGGTGCCATTTTTGATTTTTTTTGGTGTTGGGTCGCAAAGAAGTATGATCCTGCGCCTCGAGTTGGTGGAAAGTTTTCTTTGGTGTTGATGGAATGGTGAGTCGTGTTTTCAGGCGCTGATGGGCGAATATTTTTCAGTGTTAATGCCAAGAGTTTGAGTGGCCTAATCTTAGCGTCTAAGTCACGTGATACAGTGCCAAACTCCCGTCTGTTTTGACAATGGAAGGCTTTTCTGCAGGTTGATAGAGGATTAAATTAATATTCATAGCTCGCAAGACATTGTTCTCTTCAGATTGTTTGATCAAATGTACGTGGTGCAACGAATTGAAGAAGTCCAACATGAAAACATACCCAGTCAAACAGTCAGCCAATAACATCTTATCCCTTCAGCATATTACTTCTTTTGAGACCAATATATCTCCTAAATGTTCTTTATATCTGACGACATGAAAAGTCGTCCATTACTTAGGTATTGTTGTGTTTGAAATATGCACTAGAGCATCTTGAATGGAATCTAGGTATTTGTCATCTGAATACACTGCTATGACGTAGACATTATTTCCTACTCCATATCTTGAAAGAAATGAGAGAAGAAAGAGACTAGCCAGGTTGGAATGCTTTTATGAACATTCGTATTGGAAACATGTGCCAATTGAAGACAATATATAGTTGGCTACATTATTAGCAGTAGGACGGCCCAAATGTGAGCCCCAAAATAATGCTATGATTCACATATACGGAGTAGTAGTGACATGGATGTGTTCCCTAACTAACAGAACCCAGACAACTACGTGGCACAACATATCAATAAATCACAAAACAATTACACAACATATACCAAAGGTAATTTGATTGTTGAAGGGTATCAAGATTCATCCGTTCCCATGGTTACTGTACAATAATGCGCCCCGGAAACCATAGAAGGTCGTAGTCCGTAGACATACAACTCAAAAAGAAAAACACGCAGAAATCGTTCCCCCCAGTATGCATCAATCGTAAGAGAAAAATTAAAACCCCTGCTCGTTTCCTCCAATCTCGATCTATATTCCATTTGTGGTTGGGACAACTATGCTCGGCGGCAGTTTTACGGATATCATTGGATCCGGAATATCCGTGCCAAGTTACAGAAAGAGGAGAGGTGGGATGACGATGCAGGCGCTAAAGCCGGAGAGTTCGTGAGGTGGACAAGAGGTATGGGTGTCGGATCTTGTCGGTCATTAATCATGAAAAGTGAGGATTGAAGAGCCGATCTGTCAAGATATTGTTCATTGACTTTCAAGGTTCTGACAGCATTCTGTTGATGTTGTGTTAGCCTCATGTTGATATGAGGTCAGGGATTCCCCGGACTGTGGCGTAGCTGCCAAACCAGGGATCGAGGTACTTACGATTTGATCAATACTTCAGAATAATGTAAAGCGCGTGAACGATACCGGGAATGTACTGTAAACGGGATTAGTATTTGCGCAATGAAGACAGACATCGCGATAACTTACACCAAGACATGTCAACAGAATGTTGATCAAAAAATCAGCTCCGCATCCGCGCTCAAGGAACACTCCTAGAGGTGGCAGAAGGACGGCCAAGATAATCTTGCAGATATCGGAAGCGGTGAAAGGCATTTTGGTTGATTTGTAGACTCTTGGTGGTTTGGTATGAAGATGTTTGGAACAATGGATCGTGGATTGATAGATCTTTATTGGAGAAGAGAGGGAGACAAAGGTAGAGAAGTAGGCCTCCCTTAAGTAGAAGCTGGTTCTAGGCAAAGCCACCTGCAGTCACACTACGGACTTCGGCTAGAGAGGGCTACGTCATTCCAGCCACGCTGTGGCGCCGGGAGTTATTCCAATATCCCTCGCCCTGATTCGTCTGCAGGTGAATAATTACACAATTCATGCTTTGGTAAACCTAGACGCCTGCCTCCCAGGGCATATTCCGATGAAATCAGGAGGTTTTCCATGCAGGCTTGATTCGCTGGTCTGTTGTGGCGCAGTTACGCTTCTTTCGTGGACTGATGGGCGTTCATTTTCTCCGCCATTCCACCAAAGCCCATCACAAGCGCAGAGAGGAAATCTCGTCACCACTAGTGTATGTGTGCATGCCTTGCTTGGCAGCGAGCAGCTGTGGCGCTATTCGTGTGACGACGCTGTTTTCCATGTTACCTTGCAAAATCATTACCGCAAGTTACGGATGTAGATTCTGGCATTTCTTGTACTCTTGGCTAACAGGTGCAACATCTGCCGCCACTTCCGGATCCATATGATAAGTCCACATCGAATCAACAGAAATAGATTTCAAAAGACAAGGCCCCCTTCTCAACCAAGGCGAAGCTTAAACCCTGGAAGCTGTGGTCACACTCTCATCTTTATATTCAATTATCGTCATTTTCGGTGTAAGGAACCGACCGATCGTCGTTTCCTTAATGTTACGTACGGGTCCAACGTTGGACAGTGACGAGGTAGCAATCGAATTCTCGATGACCTTCAAATTTGTATCTCCTTGTGTTCTTGAAGGTTGGTGTTTACATAACAGCGGAACGCTTGATTAAGATGAAGACAATTCTCTACCAGTACAGACATAGAGTTAGATGAATTAAAACACGACAGCATTAGAGAAAGAGTGGTGAAGTAAGGTGGGTACCTAGGTAGAATCAAATCAAGCTTATTATACCTATTCATTACCTTTAGGGACTCGTTGTGCCGCACTATCGAAGGAGTACGAGCCTCTGATTAGACAAGGAAAGTCGTAGAGAATTCTTTTATCTTAGTCTAACTTAACAAAAAAGTATTCTATTCTATTATTTGTTTAGAATAATAAATGTAAGTAATCATTTAAGATCTTTTAAATGTTTTAATACTTAGAATTAACTTACGCCAACAGTTGAAAAACAGATCTCTACTACTTTTCTTGTTTGACCAGTAGAAGGAGCGAGCTCCACGAACCTAGGTAGGTAATTTACCCCGAGCCTACCCGTCCGGTCCCGGGGTATATAAAATCTGCGGGAGCCTTCTTGGCCCCTGCATTACCAAAAACCCCCCTCCCCACAAGAGGAGAGGAAAAATATTAAGGTACAAACACGATGGAATTAAACCATCTTATTTTCAATCCAATTTATTAAATTGGCGGTGCAGGGAATCGAACCCTGATTGAAACGGGATCATGTGTTTAATCCTTTGAAGGAGAACCACAACGTTACGTGCTACCATTACACCACACCACCTGTTCTCAGGTTTTGTTTTTGACTCGAGATAGTTATTTGAGTATATGAAGATATTTCCGCCGTGGGCGGGCCTTCTTGACGGCGGGGTAAAGCCTAATTTAAGCCGATGGGCGGGTGGGGCTATCCAACCACATCATCGCTCCCTCCTTCCGTAACGTCCTGCTGCTCTGCGCCTTCCAACAACACCTCGATTTGTCCGAAATTCACCAATGGACTCCTGACTCCTGACTCCTCACTCCAAATCTGCTGTCACATCTCCAAGCGATAATGACCACGATAACATGTAGTGCGATCTGCCTGGCTGATGATGCCAACGCCCCCTGTCTGCAGCTTGCCGCTACCTGTTTGTTCTTTGTAGGTCGAAGTCGATAGCCAACCCATGGCTACGGAGGTAGGGAGTAGGGAGGAAGGTAGGTACTTCTAGTATAAAAAGTCTAGCCGTAATGGCACAGTGGCTCTTGCTTTGTTGTCCTATTCTATTCTGCATTGGCAGGCAAGGCAAGAGACATTGACTACCTATGGTGTCTTCGGTTGCCTACCTACCTAGGTAGAGGTAGTCTTCGGCAGCATTGGATATCATCAGAAGGCCGTTATGAAATACCTACGCCCTGTGACAGAGATATCTTACCACTTGAGTAGTTAATCTATTTCTTATCCAATTGCCACCAGGCAGATGTCAAGTACCAGACACGGCACAGCCTAGTCAGGCACCTCGCCGCGATTTATTGCGTAGCGTGGTTGGTGTTGCACATCAAAATCACACTCACGGCAACAGCCTTGATCGCAGGTCAAAGACTGGTACTTGTAACGGTAGCCTTCAACCTTCAATATCCAACTGCCCCAACTTCCATCCTCCGCCTACCGCAATCCTCCCCCACATTCAACTTCCTGCGTACTTCTTTCTCTTCTTCATCTCCAAATATCCATCTTTCGGGGTCCGCTCATCATATATTCTCATGCGCGCCACAAGTCCACCTCTCCCATCATGAATTGGACGGGCGGCGCGAAGCAGAGGCACTCCAATGCTGCCGGTTCTCTGAAGCATCGACAGCAGCAGCACTTCGCGAAAGTCAAGGCCAATCCCTTAGCAGGGAAGAAGCAATCACCACGGAAGCATCCAAACGTTGATCGCTTGCGCCAACTTCATGAAGGAAACAGTCGACCTCGACAGCCTTCCGCTGCCATCATTGACCCGCGGGAGTCTCACACGTACGACGATAGAAACACCAGTCAGCGGCATACCCAATCTGATCCGTTCAAGGTTCATCCAGCCACATTCGGCGAACCAAAAAATACCCATTTTCTTGCCTCCCAGCAGCATCATCCCACTACGATAAAGCGCGAAAAGTCCTCCCGCGCGGGTTTCCACCCTCCCACTTTCCAATCCCGCGTTGAAGTAATGGAATACCAACGAGACTCGGTATCAGTGGCTTCGGGTGGTTTTGATCACGAAGCTGAGGGCTCATTGATGGAGAAGAGGCGGAAAATATTGCTCAAGGGAGACTGGGTCTGTGTTGGGTTTCAGCGTCCTCCGCAGGTTGAAAATATCTCATCACAAATTAAACACGATGTCGCGAGGAGAAGGAAAGTTAGGGATGGTCATCGGGCAAGATACAATAATGAACCACAATCCCATTTTCCTATCCGGGATCACGAATATCGTCATCAACAGAAACCTCGAGAAACTCATGAGCACATGCCTCGAAATACTGGTCAACCTGGTGTCCGAATCTCTATTGGCGGAAAATTGACGGCCCCAGGTCTAAGTTCAAGTTCTGCAGTACCTAGAAGCATACAAAGTCAAAGTTCTCAACGGTTTTCTTCTAATCGACAGCCATCATACTCCTCGGATGTCATGCTGCTTGACAACGAAAAAATGCGATCAGGGAGTATGAGCTCCCGGGGTCTGTCAAATGTTCAGTTGGCAAATGAACGTAGGGCCACGCCGGAAGAGCAAAGGCAACCTATCTTCTGTCCATCTTCAGCCTCTCTCGTCCATCCTGTTCCCAGAAGCACCAGAGTAGCCCCGATACTACGAAGAGAATCCGTCGAGAGGGACGCTGCTGATAGTACTATTGCTCAAGTTGGACGAAACAGACCGATAGTCCCAAGTTCTGAGGTTCTAGATAATTCCATATGGGAGACTTGGATGGAGGCAATGAACCCCGAAGATAACAGCAATACAGAATCCACAACTGACAATCAAAACGTTCATATAAGTCCTGGCGTCAGTGCTGCGCCGACTTACGGACCAAGATACGACATCACAGAGGTTGCAGGGATGGATCATTTTGACGAATTTTCAACGGATCTGGGTCCTTTCAAACCCGTGGATATCCCACGAGAGCTCTCGGACAGTCGAGATGAAAAAAATAATACAAATGGATACTCGATTGATGACCAATCTGAAATTCCTAGTTATTTCGGAGAGGGAGCTGAGGCTTACACTGAGTCCGATATCCTGGATGTCAATTCAGCAAGCGGAGGGTACACCGAAGAATCAAGACAGGATTTCAAATTAATGACACATAGCGCACCTAGTTCTTCGCCAACAAGTTATCGCAGGTTCAAGATGCCATCACCACTTCCGGAACTGGCATCCGATGAAGACAACGTATCCAGTCCTTCCATATCACATTCGCCCAACCATAAAGGCCACACAGTAACAGGGTCTCCAATATTCAATCAGCGAATTAACCTTAAACAGCAAGAGCCTGAATTAACTCAGCAGAACGATACTGGTGCTATGTGGAATGCTCTGGCAAAAGCTTTGGAACCACCGGTTTTAGAAGAAAGCGCGGCTGACGATGTGTGGAGAAAATTTGTATTTGGAAGCGAAGGAGAAGACGTCGATATATTTGGTCAACAAGTAACACTTGGCGCATCGAGTCTTGGACCGTCTCGTGGGTCGTCTGTCATGGTGCAACAACCCTCTAGCAACTTCGATTCGCATGGAGTTCCTCCAAATACTACCAGCCCATCACGATTGTTTCCTTTGGAACAACCAACGACGTCTCTTAGTGACTATCGTATGGAAGATTATGGATCTAGTTACCTGGAACCAGACGAATGGACCTACTCGGTGGGTACTCGGACGGATTGTGCTACGAAAGGCGGATCGGCCAGTTTGGCAGCTGTAGAGGTGGTTTCGTCCGCAACATCAAATGCGTTCAGGACAACCTTGGGTGGAGGTACAGATTTTTCAACGACACAGACAGATCGACGAACCTTTACCACAAGCAGCCCGCTCCAAAGACCAACGAAAAAAGTCATGTTTACTAAACCAACTCCTTTCAGCAGCTCGCTAACCGAAGCAAGCTGAGAACGAGACGAGGTACTACATATTGGCAAGCGGGATAAATGGAATGACAATGGTGTATCTAAGAAGCAAGGAAAGAGGGTCAAGGACATCTACAGTCTACCCTCCTCCTGCGATGAAGATGATCTAGAATCTATTGAAGATGATTGCTATTTGGCTTTTGTCTGGCTATGGCTTGGGATATGTACTTGTGGGTTGACAGATGAAATATCTGATGTGAGTAGGAAATCTAGCTCTCGCCTTTGCCACATCTACAGTTAAGACGTTTGATGGCAATTTTTCGTGTTTACAGTTCGCTTTGATTTGCCGCAAAGAGGATCTCTTGGTAGTTCGTTGCCGATAGGACACACTTTAATGTTGTCTGATGCTAGTGATACCCAATAAAGGACCAGTGAAGTTGGTATTTCACAGATCTTTCCTTGTGGTGTAAATTTAGCTACGTGAACAGGAGACCGAACGATAGTTCTCCCTAATATTTGGTATTTCACAATATCTTGTCTCTCTTTCTAGGCCTTGTTATCCAACATGAATTCTCGAAGCTGCTAATGTGACTGGATTCATGGATTGATTTATTAAATGTAGAACTTGAAAGCTATTAAGTGCCTCATGGTAGACAAGAAAAGTGGCGCAGTTTCACTATTTAGCTATTTAGCGCAAGTTGATTCTGAGTATTGAAATGTCTAAAAGTTCTAGAATAATTGCTTTTATTGTCCTATTGGTTTGGATCAATTAGACTGATTAGTCTAAATATTTTATATAGTATAATAGTATTTAGTGGAGTTAGGCTAAGATGAGAAAAGTCTCTGCGACTTTTCTTGTCTACTGGAGAGTGCTAGTTCTCGCCAAGAATTTATTATAAAGAAGCACAAGGTTAATTACGAAGTGAGTGCTAGATCGCTGATTGGTCAATATAGTACCCACCCTGAGCCACCCCACCATCATGGGTTTTTGCCGAGGCACAAAAGTCGTGATGTAATCAGAACCTAAAGTTTCTACAGAAGCTCAGCAACAACATCGCACAGTACCAAACACCACAGTCGCGTTACTCAATACCATGTCTTCAGTCAGATTGGTTTTTCGTGCTGCGAGGCCTTCAATGGTCTTCGCGCGTCCAATTTCATACACCGCACGCCAATTAGCTAGGCCAGGAAATGCAAAGATACATGAAGGGACGGAAGAGCATCGAAAGATACAGAGCGAGAAGCCTCTGAATCCTCATATGACGAACACGAATTCCACTATCACAAACAGCATGCCATCTGCAGGAACCCATAATATACCACCAGAGCTAATCTCTTCCATTGACCCGAAATTTGCGCCGAAGGACTCGAGTCCAGAGAATACGGACCGCATGACTGGAGGAACCCAGAAGGGCGAGGGAAACGGGGGGACAACGACAGCCGAGATGTCAGTTGGAGAGATGGAAGGGGCGTCTTTCAAAGTTGAGCCTTTGCGTCGAACGGGCGAGGACGCAAATACAATGAGAGCCAGATTATTATGTTCGCAGCTTTCCAGCCTGTAGCTTCGGATTCGTTTGCTAACTATTCTACTTTTAGATCAAAGTCGTAAGAGAGGCATACTAGAAAGTGATCTTCTAATGTCTACTTTCGCCGAGGCACATTTACGGGACATGACAATGGAACAAATGGCTCAATACGACCTCTTCCTAGACGAGAATGATTGGGACATATACTATTGGGCAACCCAACAGCCATCACCAACATCACAAGAAACCGCCGAGGGAGCAGGCAAAGGACCAGAAGGAGCTACGGCAAATGTACAGGGTATCGAAAAAACCACAGATGCGTGGCGACAAGGTAAGCCGAGAAGTGGAGAGTGGGCACAAACTGTTGGCACTTTCAAGCCCGCATATCGTCCCGTACCAGTAAGATGGAGGGATAGCGAGATTTTGGCAATGCTTAGGCGGCATGTCATTTCGAGGTCTGCCGGGGGTGTTCTCGAGGAGGGTGTTGTGAATGAAGGGCCCAAACAAAGCGAAGGCGGTAAGTTTTTTTCTATTGTGCAATTCTTTTCCTCACTAACGAACTTTTCAAAGGTAAAGGCATGGCTTTCATGCCTCCCGTCTTTGAGACTGGCCGTTGAAAGGCTTCAAAGGTTGTAATAATATCTCAGTTTTTTATCGTTCGCTGCACCAAAAAGATGCTGTAAGAACAAAACATTGTAATTACTTCAGCTAAACTAGCTCAATTGAAGCTCAGTTTCATTTATGACTGAGCATAGCTATTGAATGTTAGGGGTTTCTTTCAGAGAGTAGTGCTCTTTATCCCTGGGATCGAGGGCCTCCTACGGATCTCTCCGTACATTTATCTGCCTAGATCTGATGTCGCGATATTTCTCAGGAGCCCACGAAATTCGAACAAAGCACCCCGCATCCTTTCCTTGTTCTTTGTGAACAAATTAGCATCAGCCTAGTATTCTCAGTGACAATTAGTCCATCTACAATGCTCAAGGTGGCAGGAATCAACGTTGTTCGCTTCAGTTGGAACTGTTTCACATCCTTGAGTCTTTGGAATGCTGTTGCCAACCAACCTCTTTGAGGAATGTAATACATTTATGACCCAACCACCCACAAGCACACAACATCCGAATGGCTGGGGAGAGAATGCGACCTGAACTTTTAGGCTATAGCAAGTTGGCTCTTTGTTTGAGGGAAGAAAATCACGTGTGTATATCCCACGTGTAATAGGGGGTCAATGTAAAGCCACAACATTCTTAAGGAGCCCATTGTGCCAATAATGTCTAGGTAATGCAGAAGGCTGGGAGCTGTTCTATGCAACTGACCTCCTGCATAAGTATCCTCCTTGGGGATGTTTTGCTTCCCAGCATCATTCACATAGCAACGCGCCTCTCGTACCTGCATAACTCAAAACACTGGGCTCAGAAATAGACACGAGGTCTCATCTCACTCTCACACTCTTACAATCTTCCCACTCTCACTCGTTAGCTTACTTCACAATGTCTTTCCCTGTTGTCGCCTCCTACAACACCAGCCCCAATATGTTCGGGCCGAGCTACGAAGAACTCGACAGCGAATTCTTTGACCAGTTTCTCACATTCAGCCCCAACCACAATGGTGAATACCCCCTAGCTCCAGAAGCGACAATTGATTACGTCGACTCTGGGGATGCTTCTGGTAGCTCCCACGACGACGATATGAAAAACCTCAGCGAGCACGGCTCGTGGCCAGGCGAGGGGTGGACAGCCGACTTTGGCGAAGCTTCGTTAGATGAAGCTTTCTCAATCAAAGATCATGACTTTTACTCAGAGCTCTCTGGGAGAGCTGCGATCTCAGATAGCGAGCTACTCTCTCTTGAGGGTATCACTCTAGACTCGCCCATAAAGACCACATTCTCACAAATATCATTACCATCAACACCATATCCTTCCGTCGCTGCCGAAGCTCGAAGAAAGTCTCGAGTCGCAGAATCAATCTCAAACAGCCTCAAAAAAGCAACCACAAATTTGGAGCGAACACTTAGAAGCCCAATTCGCAAACAAAGCGCAACGAAGCTCACCCGACACTCAAATCACAGCCAAAAAGAGCTGGAACAATTAGACGACAAATTCCACCTTGATGCTCTGAAATTCAAATTCGACTTTGAAGAAAACCCAAGCTCTCTCTGTCTCCTCGATAATTTCCCAATCATGGAAGCCATCAAACTCGAGAATATAGATACCCAAGATTCCTCCATCCTCGCTTCGCCATTAGATACCCCTGAGCTCTGCGGAAATCACTCCCGAAAAGTCTCACAAAATTCCATGCTCCCAACTCCTGAGCTACAAAGCACAGCCGCCTTCTGGCCAGAAACAGCCAGTCCCTCGTTCTCTCCAGCAACCTACGATAGCGCTACTTTCCTCCCCACCGACCCCAATCCTCCTATGCGATGGAACCATGCCTCCAAAGCTCCTCTTGCCCACCCTTTACCAACAGGCTACCACACCAACCCCCAACTCGCGACCAAGAGTCTCGCCCTACAGCTTCAGAACGGACTGGCGCATGACAGCAACGCCAACGACTTCTCCTCTCTCCAAGCGAGGAGACACAATCCCATGATCAACAACTCAGGACTCATGATCCAAATGCCACCTCAATACTCCACACAACCCCAAATCCACCACCACCAGCAACAACAACAACAAATGCACCAACCCCAATTCACATCCGAAAACGCACGCATCTCACGAGGATACTACATCCCACCCTCCGCCCAACCACGACCCACCCACCAAAACCACCACCGACGACACACCTCGCACGCCTCCCCTCGGCAATCCTCGCACGCCGAGACACCCTCCGCGCGCAAATGGCGGTCCCAGAATGCCGAATCGACGGGCGGCATGGTGGATTTCGTGAACTATACTCCGGATGATAGTAAGAAGATCCTGACGGGGGTTGCGCCGTCGGGAAGTAGTAAGACGAAAGCACGCCGGGAGAAGGAGGCGATGGAGAAGAGGAGAAGGTTGACGCAGGCGGCTGCGAGGGCTATTAGGGCGGTGGGGGGGAATATTGATAGGCTTGTTGAGGAGGGGTTGTTGGTTTAGATCTGGAAAGGGGTGGGATATCTATATCTATATCTATATATGATAAGCGATATATGGGGGGTGAAGAAGATGGTAGATGGGGATGTGTAAGGGGGGTTTGTAGGATAGGGATGAAGACAAAAGTCTATGATTTTTTCTTTTGATATTGTATTGTGGCATTTATAAGAAGGAAATATGTTTTTACCTAATAATATTTAATAATAATAACTTAACTATCTTAAAATAACTTTGGCTCCCTCTGTCTCTCGCTTAGTGATTTTGTGATCATGGAAATGCCAAGATCCCTTTCTGACTCGTGTCTTCCCTTCCTCTTTACAGCCTTCAGATTTCTAGCAAGACGGGGTCGCTGTTCAGGTCAAATTCGACGTACAGTACAGTAGCGGGAGAGTTTGATGTCATGTCAATGCTCAAATTGCTGAAGGGCTCTAGGTATAAACTCAAGGGATGACATGTCAAGGAGTAGAAGAGACCCCGCTCCCCCCCTTTTTCAAAAACAAGTAATCTGCAACCTGAATACATGCAGGAACCACCCTTAGGAATGGAAGATTAGAGTTGATTATCCGTTCCTTCTCTTCTCTCTTGCCTTCGACCTTTGAATAACCCCTTGACTGACATCTTGGCGAGACCTAGGGTAATCCTGAATCATGGGGAAACCCCTCCGCCTTTTTCCTTTTACCAGCATATTCTCCCTTTTTCGCTCTCAACTAGTTGGGAATATTTTGAGGTGTTAGTTGTGATCGTTGTATTTGGAAACCTGGACATAGTTTGGGATCGTAGGGATAGAAGATATGAGCCGCGGTGCTGTCCAACAGATTCCTTCTTCGAATTACTTCGAAGATCCCAAGTTGATTCGACATATTCTTTTCATATACGGGGACGAGATCACTTGGGGACATGCTCAAAACAAGGAATATCTCCCAGAAGCATTTCACTCGTGTAGAAGTCATTGATATATCCCACGACAGTAAAGCGAAACACGAATTTTACGTCTCAAATGGTGAACTGCGAACGCTGTTTGATTCTAAAAGGCGTTGAGGATTCGAAAGTAGTACTGGAACGTGTCTCTGATAGCATTGGAGAATGCTAACGAGCAAGACCTGAAACTATTGTAAGAGACGACTTCGTGTTTGTAACACTGTAATGAGCTGAGGAGGGGGGAAGGGATCTTCATATTATTTTGACTGTTTACTTGATTCAAGAAGGGAAAGACATATGGTTGGAATCTTAACGAAAGATTGGAGCAAGAGCTAGAATTCTTTAGAGAAACTGGGAACAAGATGCTGCTGAGAAGGCTCCAGATCTATCTTGCGATGGATATAGTGGCGAATAGATATCAAGCCCACCCTGGGAAAAGCCATTGATAGCATGTGACTGAGAAGAATGTCATTGGGACTGCGTCTCCTTTGCTCATGCTTGTTAAGTAATGATGAGTAGGTAGGTTGCTTATTCCAAATTCTTCAGGAGAATCAGAATGATGACAGCCGAAACTTCTGAACCTTGACGGCGTAATGCACCCACTTTTGAATCTGTTGAAAGTATTTGGCGATCCATATTTTGTAGAAATCAACATGGTACAGATTCATAGAAACAAGAGGAACAAGTTTGTAGAGCAGGCAAGGGAGCGTGAAGGAACGGGAAAGTGGGTATACCTGGCCTCGACATTAAAGGTTATCGAGGAGTTATTTGCTTCTTGATATCTGGCTCTCCCAAAAATAGCCACACTAAACAGAAAAGTCCTGCGCAGTACTGTTGTGTTAAACTCCTGTCATTGCTACTTCGTAGTCGATGCTATCTCCATTGTATATGTACGTCTGACACCATTTTTATACATAACCCTCTCTCGGGTTTCCATCATGAACGCCAGCAATGCCGTAATGTAGGACCCTGTATCTCCAGATCCATTTCTGAATATGGTTCGGTATCGTAAACCCTTTTATCCATTGTTGCTCATCATAACGTAGCGGCAGCTTCGACTGCACCCGCAGCTTTGAAAGCCGTTTTGTTCGTATAGGTGACCTCAACAGGCCATTTCCATTCCGCCCATTTTGCCCACGCTAAGAGGATTAGCACGCAATTACCCGAAGTTGTTTACTTGGACAGCCACTTACCCCAGTATGCGAACTTCCTCCCAAAGTATTTCCCAGCATAAGGTATAACCACCATTGTCAGAGCCAGTTCTATCTGCTGTAGATTCTCCTCCCATTGTCGTTGCGCATCGGATCCGTCATCGGAATCCAGATCACTGCTGTCTATAGAGGAAGGTAGCGTATCGATTTCGTCCTGGTCATTGGAGGATTCGGGAAGAGCATCTTGTATGATATAAGAGTCGGAGGTAGACATGTTGTGCAGTTTGTTTTATGATGTATTGGGTGTTTCTGAAGAGCACAGGGAGCGCTACCGCTGATACCGCCGATTCATCGAGGAGTTTGAGGGGATCTGGAGATGCGAGACGAAGCTGGGTTCGGGGTCGTGTTGAGGCATCCGCATCATCCCAGGACCAGGTGAAGCTTGGAAAGTTCAAGCTCCACTCAGCCCCCATCGGATCGGACCCGGGATCGCAGCGGGAGGGGCCGAGATGATACACGTGATCATCAGCGGCAGCCTGAGCTGACCTAGGTTTTCACCCTTGTCTTGTAGCGCGGGCACCGTTGGAATCTGTGACTCAAGGTCCGTGACTCAAGGTCTGGTCAAAGAGGATTATCTTTCAACGTTTGTGCGGCGATTTTGACTTTCTCAATCACACCACAACCACCACATCGCATTACGAAGGACAATTAATAAGAAAATCCCCTGTTGCCACATCCAAGTCTAACAGGAAAGCGGTCCCACAATTTACGCCAGCCTAACCGCAATCATGGCGACTGAGGTAATATAACTCCAACCCCACCTCAGCTTTCCGCACCGCACCACACCACCACCTTTCCTAACCAAGCCTTAGGAGTCCCAGCACAAACCTCGCAAATCAGTTCAGTTCAGCGACGGAACCACAGTTGTAGACGAGAAAGGAGAGGTCACACTGAAGGAAGACGGTCAAGAAGGTACAAAAGACACCGCCATGTCGCACTCACAATCTCCAAGTACGCTGCAACTTCCGCAGATGTGGGCATCAGTTACTAACTCTCCCAAAGGCCACGATGAGACCGCAGACAAGGAAGAGGATGAGCTCGCCACCATGCTGAAGAGCAAGAAGAAGAAGAAGAAGGTCAAGACCGAGGATGCTGAGGGTGGCGATGGAGAAGCTGCTGACGACGGTGGACTGGACCTCACCATGAAGAAAAAGAAGAAGAAGCCAAAGACCAAGGAAGGCGCCGAAAAGGATTTCGCAGACCGAGTCGCAGCTCTCGAACTCAAGGACGGCGAGACTGCAGAAGGAGAAGAAGCTACTCCAGCTGAGGCAGAACCTGTCGATGAAGGTGATATGGAAAAAGGAACTGGAATCTGGCAACACGATGAGACAAAGGCCATTGGCTACGAGCTCCTCCTTTCCCGATTCTTCACTCTTCTTGCGCAAAAGAACCCAGACCACGCATCAAGCGGCTCCAGAAGTTACAAGATCCCACCGCCACAATGTCTACGTGAAGGAAACAAGAAGACGATCTTCGCCAACATCGCCGAGATTTGCAAACGTATGAAGAGAACCGATGAGCACGTTACGTCATACCTATTCGCAGAATTGGGTACGAGTGGTTCCGTGGATGGTAGCAGACGTTTGGTCATCAAGGGTCGTTTCCAACAGAAGCAAATTGAGAACGTTCTGAGACGATATATCAGTAAGTCCAATTTCTATTATCTGCCGTATTTTGAACAGATTTTAACCGTTACGCAGTGGAATACGTCACCTGTAAGACCTGCCGATCTCCAGATACTGAACTCAACAAGGGAGAGAACAGATTGTATTTCATCACTTGCAACTCATGCGGATCTCGACGATCTGTCACTGCTATCAAGACTGGTTTCTCTGCCCAGGTCGGAAAGAGAAGAAGACAGCAAGGTTAGATTGTCGGGCAGATTGGCAAGCCAGGCTTTGGGTCTTCTTGGTGTTACGAAATTGGGTTGGCATTGCATATTGCGTGCATGGGCTTTGGGAATTCCGGATTTTGTGTGCATCTGGTGTGCTCGGGAGGAAAAGCAGTACAGTACATAGTTGTAGACTTGACGAATTCTAATGATGAATATTTCCATGGTAATCGAGGGGCCAAATTGAAAGAGATGTGCAGTAATCAGAAAGTGGCAGTAGACAGACTTACTATACCATGATAATTCTCGCTTCTTTTCGAATGTTAGCACAACCCAACAATTAATCTAGCTTTCTATTGCGGTTCAAGTTGTTGAATCGAAGAGCTAAGTCAATCGCATAGCCAAACCCCAAATGTAGAACAACGGGAGAGAGTTGTACTGCCATCTTTCTCGTCGATCGAAAGAGTTGAAAGGTATAGAGTATTGCAAGTTGCATTGCGTGGTTCAAGGTAAGCGATAAACTTCCATTCCGTATTGGCATACAGTTAGGGGGACATGAGAAGCACTCTCAATAACACATGAACATACAATAATAGATGTATTAATTTATTACCTTCTTTCCTTGGAGTCTTTGTGCCACCAACCGACGTCGGCGCCAAGGGGATTTCTCCAGGGTTTAAGAGTGCGCCTAGTCCATTTACGCGCCCGGCTGTCGAACTCCAGATGACAACCCCTCCTCCGTCATCCTGAGCACTTTGCATCTCCGCTCCCATTGGACCGTGGGATCAGCACACTTTTGACGCCGATTCGCATTGCCATAGGTTGCAACCCCTCAGAATAGGCACAGCCACATTGGGCATTGGGCACACACACAACGCTACGCTACGCTACTAGTATCGGGGTAGCTCTTGAGGTGGGTGAGCTGCTGCTGCTAGTGCTGCTGACAGTGAGCTTTCTTTTGACATCTCTTCATTCTCTGTTCTCCGGATGCCCATATCTCATTCCTGCGATTCTGCGTTGCCTCGATTATCCTTGCGGGAACGGCCAAGTATCAGAGCCATCGAGCTGTGAGAAAGCGATCCGAAATTCAACACGCAATTAGAAATCCGGAATCCGCGCAGAACGCAGAAACAGCAGGGTTGACAAGGCTCAACTACCTTACAAGTACACCCCCCAAGACGCCATCGTGAGGGAAGAGTCGTCAGTTTTAGAATAAGAAGTCGTGCCACTTTCAATTCCCTTTTCTTTTCCATTCTCCTTCTCACTCATCCACTGCTACCATTTTCCAAAACTTCACCATGTCTTACTATCCTCGTACGTCCCGTTTCCCCTTCATCTGATACTGGATACTGGATACTGGAGATTGGATACTGGGCGCATCCGCAGCTAACCACCAACAGCTCCCCCAGGCGCTGGTAACGGCGGTCCAGGTATAATGATCCCCCGCAATAGCTCATTCACACCAACTTACCCATTGTGACAGCCCAACCAGGCCAGCAACACTATACTCCCCCTCCGTCCTCTCCCCCACCAAACCAAACGACCCATCAATACTACCCTCCTCCTCCTCAGCAAGGTTCTCCAGCTCAGTCTGGCCAATATGCGCCCCCTCCACAGCCAACATCTCCACAGCAGCAGCAACAATACTCCTCACCATCCCAAAACTTCTCCCAGCATCGCACCTCATACCAACAACCCCCACAACAACAGCAACAGCCTCCAGCGCAAGCGCTAACGTACGAGCAACCACAATCTTCTGGTCATGCCTCACATGCCTCACATGGCAGCGCGAGTTATCCCGTCGAGAAACCCCCGCTAGATACGAGCAAATCAGCAAATCTTGACCATGGAGCACCAGCAGCGGCGCATTTCATAGGAGCCAGCACAACAGCCGATGACGTAGGGACGTTCAATGGAGGAAGTTATCGCATCAGCCACAGGGACTCAAACACCATTGTGACGATACAATTGGCAATGGGATGTCCCCTGACTGTGAAACCTGGTATGTTGAATCCGAAAGGATAGCCCCTGCAGAGTTTCGCTGACTCGTCCCAGGTGCCATGATTGCCATGACACCATCTATTGTCCTGAAAGGAGCAGTCAAGTTTTCCATGAAGAAGCTTCTCGTTGGAGGTGACCTTGCGCATTCGACGTACACTGGCCCTGGGGAATTACTCCTCGCCCCGACCTCTATTGGAGATATAACAAGTATTAGACTGACCGGTAGCGAGCAATGGTCAGTTGGTCGCGATGCCTATCTTGCAGCTACCCAAGGCGTGACAAAAGAGTACAAACGGCAAGGTATTGGAAAAGCCATGTTCTCTGGCGAGGGGCTCTTTGTCTACAAAATCAGTGGAACGGGGTTGTTATGGATTTCAAGTTTTGGCGCCATAATTCGCAAAGATGTAGGCTTCCACCGGACTTCTGAGATCCCGAAAGTACGTGCTAATCAAAAATTAGCTTGCCGAAGGTGAGAAATATATTGTGGATAATGGACACCTGGTAGCGTGGAACACTAAATACATTCTTGAGCGCGTTGCGTCTGGTGGTATTATTTCCGGTCTTTCATCTGGTGAAGGTTTGGTATGCAAGTTTACCGGGCCTGGAACCGTCTTCCTTCAAACAAGAAATCCTGTAGGTATATTCTTCTTATCATATGATCGATTACTGACCTGTTCAGGCTGCTTTCGCCATGTGGATTTCTGCAAACGCCACACAAGGATAGACTGATTTGATGATGATATGAATTGCTTTGATGCGGCGTCTGAAAACTTTAATATGCTTGGGATTCCAGCGGGAAGGTAGTAAAATCACAATTTGTTGTTCATCAAACGCTCCTGCTGTTTTTGTCATTATGTGTTCGTCAAGGTCTTTCAATGTGTGACTTGAAGTACTTCGCTCCTTCCCCTTTTCTTTGCCGAGGAACAGGCGGAAGCAAAATGGCAAAGGTCTCTTTCTGTTCTCGATTTCCCTCTCTTCACTTCACAGACATCCACCTCACATTAAATTAACACTTGTAGCAAGTTTCCGCTCCACGGTTCTGTACCATCCAATTTTGGAGGACTCTTTTGGAAAGTATCATCGTTTTCAAGTCCTATTTGCAGCAGAAGGCACCACACTACACAAGTCACAGTCAGGAACATCCGTCACAAATTCACGAGGGTAGGACCACTTTCATCTAGCAAGAAGGCAGAAGCCAACCTGTGGAGTAAGACAAACTTCCATTTGCATTGTCTATCAACGCTAATCAGCAAAAGATCCCACAGTGGCTGCTGAGTCTCAACCGCGGTTGGGAACCTTTGCCTCACGCAAGAACCTCAAGTCCATATCTTCACTGTCGCTTTCATCTCCCCAATCATGAGTTTACGCGAAAACCGCCCCCCTCGACTGGCATCTAGGCCAGTGCTGACTAAGAAGACATCTCTGAACGGCCTTCGAGAGTTCAAATCGAAGCCAACTTCTGTTTCGAGCGACAAGCCATTGATCAAGACGGCTGGGTTGAAAACAGCTCTACGTACTCGCACCATTCGTTCTTCCCCTCGAGCTTCTGTAAGACCTGTATTGTCGCCAGGCAAAAGAATCGGTCTTCGTCAGCCTGACTTCAACCCCAAGGTTGCAGCAGCTATTGCTAGAGAGGAGATTATACAAGGAGAAGCTAAAGCGGCTAAAGTATCGGAGGATACAGCATGGTCACCAGTTGGTCACGGACACCCAGATCATCCTGAAGATCCATCAGAGACTTCGCTCTCTCAATTGTTGAGTAAAGCCGGTATTGCACCCCCGCTTCCTTCAAAGAGCTCACGAAGATCGTTGGTATCTACCTATACCACCATTTCCGATGACGAAAATGAAGATCTGGAAGAGAAAATTCGAAATGCCCTTACTCCACCAGAATTTGCTCGCAGAGCACAAACCCCATCCAGCATCAAGTCTGTCAGATGGGACCCTGCTATCATCTCGTACGGTAGCATCAAATCCGGTATCAAAGCAAGGCATTCATCTCCAGAACCTGGCTCTCCATGCCCCAAATCACGAAACGATTTTGCGAAAGCTTTGAGAACTATCTCGCAATTGGATAAGAAAGAACAGAGGGCTGTCTGCAAACTACTACTAGCATTGGATGTAACCGAGTCCGACGAGGAGCCAATTATATCCCCTAAATCCCATGGGGAGAAGAGCTTGGAGTGCGTAGCAGAAGAGAAGGTCACCAAAAAGCTCAACCCAGAAGCACCAGTCTTTCGCGACTTTTCGATCCTGAAAAAGAACATTGTCCAGAACAAAAATATTGACGAAGGAGAGCAAGGTGACAAGGCTGTTCCGAGAGTCAACTGTCAGCCTCCAGTCGTTACATCCACGCTCCGGGAGGCATTTACTAAGCCCGCTCAACCACCTATTGTTACTTCTACGCCCCTCAAATCAAAACGGGACCCAAAAGAACCTACTTGGGTCAACATTTTCAACCCACCACCGCCTGAAGATATGCCTCAAGGTTTCCCAGCTTTACCTGCTGCTGTTACTAATAGTGGCGAGACTTCTAAAGTAGCCCCTATGCCAGATTTGCAGACTTCACAGCCATTGCAACCCATGTTTCCGTTTCATCCGTTTCCTATGGGCATGCCAGGTCTCACGGATTCGGTCTGGGTGCAGATACCTATGCACATTCTCCAAAATCCTTATGGCTTGCCACCCATGATACCGCCTCAAGGACCTTGGAACAACGCAACTATTGACCATACTACCGCGGCTCCGCAAATTTCCCAGGCTCCTCGTGCCCCTCGTGCTGCCGCTCAGTCAACGCCACCCAATCCGCCAAAAGTTTGCCGACCTCCAGTCAAGCCAAGAATGCCCAGAGGGCCACTCATAGACGTGTCTTCATCATTCATCCCCCCTGACGATGGTCCTTGCCGAGTTACACATGCAGATAACCTTAACGAAGCCTGGCGCCAGTCACTTTTGGACAAATTCATCGCCAAGTATCCACAAACAGGAACTGCCAGTGAAAAGGCTCAAGCTCAAGCACCAGGTCATATGCCTCAAGCAGCAGCGATTCAACAACATCTTGAATTGCTTATCTTCCAGGAGAGGGAGAGAACCGCACTCGAGGGAGGTGTTTCCAGGAAGAATAAGCGAAAGTTTTCAGCAAATGGGTTTGTTGACCATGCGCCAGCCAATGAGCCTGGCAACAGCAAAGGTCCTGCAGCGTGGGAGTGAATTATAAGGAGAGAGTCTGTGTATCAATTGCTATGGTATTGGTTTGTGCAATCTGCATTACCCAAAGATATGTTACTCTCTTGAATGTGGTTGAGTAGTCCAGGTATGAAGTATGAATTATGAAAGGTCTAGGAAAGGGAATTGTGGCATTGTTTTATCCAAGTTTATAACTGCTGGCCTGCAGCAAAGTTCTGTTTTTCCATTGTCACTGTCAAGTAGCTCTATTATCACTCTCAATTCAAGATTTTATTTGCAAGAGTTTGGTTGGTCGAAGCTGGGTAAATAATTGTGGGTCGCTTGTGCTACTGTACCCCTGTAACAATTGGAACTTACGAGTGAACCTCCGCGGTCGAGATTCAAAGACAAATACAACACCACCCTCCTACCTAATTGTCTTTCGTCCCAGACCTTCCGCTGACGATCGCGCCGCCTAAAAATATACAGGCCCAATTATAAAATGTTATTACCTTTCCTTAACACCTCATAGTATTGGAAACCACATCATCACATCACGATGGCAACACCAAAACACGCAGCGCAGGTCGTCGCGACCCCACCAGTATCTACACCTTTCTCGACCGCCCACCTTGCCTTTTCTCCCCACGGTCCTCGATCTGTTGTCCCGTCGCCACAGCAGGTCAAAAAATCTCCTGCGAACTCAAACACCGTCTATGGATATCCCAGCGGAGGCGGAGGTCATCCTACTAATTCCTCCTTTGGGGGCGTAGGCTATGATAGTCCATCTGCGGCAATGGCTTTGGGTGGTGTACATGGGATGGGAGACTTGGATGCAGCGATTGGAGGTCAGGGGATGGGTGGTCTTGGGGGGTTGGGCAGAGCGGTGGGAGATGATGAGAAGAAGAGGAAGTTGGAGGAGGTGGTGTCGATTTTGTCGGTAGGTTATTGCTTAATGGAGGGTTATGATTTGATGGGGGGTTTCTGACTAAACTTTTGGACAGAGTAATAAAGGACGACTGAGCACCACGGGAATCGCACGATTGGTTCAACGAGCTGGGTTGTCTACGGACTGGATGGATGATGATGGGCTGCGGGTCTTGATTTGCGCCGGCCGAGGATTCGGACTCGATATTGCCTTTAGGGCTTCAACCATCCATAATGTGGAATTGACGATACCTGAATCTCCTGAGATTGTGTCGAAACACTTACCGAAAGCGGGAAAGATTTTGATGCGTAATTTGAAGATTGGCCCGGGGGAGAGTTCGTTTACAAAGGAGCTCGACCGGTTTGCGGCGAATTTGGAACGATTGGCTACGCTGGATAAGCTAAGTGGTCATCCGGGACTGAAATGCCATGAGGCTCTTGCTGGCGTATATGAGAGTCTGGAAAGACTGCATTTATGGGAGGTCAAGAAGATCAAGGAGGATCAGCCCGAGATGGGAAAGAGAGATTTGGCATATGTCGAGAGAGCCGCAATGTGTAATCGCAGTGGCAAGCCGGCTATGCATGTGAGAGATAGGATTGGACTGAGTCTGGATTATTGGCAGACGAAACGACTGATCTCTTCTCCCACAATATCGCGAGAGAAGGAACAGACTTGGTCACTGTTGGTGGAATGCGCCCCTGCTACTAGCCTGTCTGTTTTTCCACCTCTGCGCGTCTCTCAGGATTGGATCTCGAAGAAGATCTCCAAATCCGCTACGCAAGTTGAACTTTTCCTTTTAGATGCCACACAAGGACCCCTTCTTGATTGGCAGGAGCCTGAGAATGTTCTATTTCCCACAAACGACGACCCGAAAGGGGATACCATGGAGGGAATTGACCAGGCGCCAAATCAAAAGGTTCCAGAGGTGATATTCGTCGCGAAGTTCGATCCTCCGATCATCGTACCGCTGCAATTAGCGATGCAGATTCATAATGCTACGCAGGCGCAGTTTGATGTCTATCAGACTACCACCTTTGATGAGCTTATGTTCCCTTCGGGCGCCATGGATTCCATGGTTAATCACAACGAATCAAGAACAATCCACTCTGAGACCACAATACCGGTCTTCAGTCGTTGGGGTGGAAGCATGAATCTCCAAACCGAGAAGAGCCATCGCAACACTCTCCTCATCGACAGAATTGGCTATGGCAGAACCCTAACGGAACTCCCATTCTCACATCCGAAGGAACTCGTCGGTATCCTTCCCTCACTCCGCCAATACGCATTCCTTTCTTCTCTCCTCAAAAAGACCTTTGGCCCTGAACACAAACCCAAGCCCGACCCTGAAGAAGCAAAACCACGGGGTCTACGACCGAGCAAAAACGAAGAATTCACTTTCTTCATGTCAAATGCTCCACCTCCCACTCCCGTCGTCGATTACCTCAAGTTAGATGTGGCTCTGCAAATTGACTCGGATAAGATCAAGTTGCGTATCATCTTCCCGTTCAAGAAGGCGACGGCGGATGTCACGTTCTTGATCAAAGCGAATGCGGCTCTGGAGGTGGTGAGTGAGACTTTGTTGGGGAAGCAGAAGGGGGAGGGGAAGAAATTGACGAGGGGGGACTTGGCGAGGATGTTGGAGGTTACGGAGGATTTGGGGGCTTGGGTTGAGTTTGTTAGGGGACGGTTTGCGTAGAAGGGGGATGATGGGATGATGGGATGAGGTAGATGGTGATTGGGGAGGGGGGATCCTTTTTTTTTTTTTATGAGTTTATGATACCCAGGCTTGCTTTATTGGTGGCCTTGTATAGTAGCGAAAAGTTCATTTCAAAAAGTGAGATAATTTTGGTCTTTGAATTTGAGGATTGTGAGGGTATCTTTTTCGTACGCTTTGTGAAGATGTCTATTCGCTTTCCTTTTCCTTGATGGTTCGCTTCTGTAGTTCGCAATTGTAAATGTGGTGTCTTCGTCACTACCTAGTGTAAGAGTGGCTGTATGGTAAACAAGTATACAGCTCCTACTTTCCAAGTCTGTATCCGTGACTCTACCATATCACGTACAGATGAAAAATTGCACATGAAGAAAACTGCTAGTCGTCACTTCTGGGGTATGTAGGAGAGAGGGTATACTGTAAGATTGCCCTCCAGTGTAGAAGGGCGTTCGTTGGTGAGGACTTAGATGTATGTATGATGTACAATACCGAAATATTGTTACATCAATATTACATGCCACCTACATTTTCATCACAAAATCTACAAGATGAAGAGTAGCATTCAATCATCTCTGATATTGATTATCATACTGTCATACGGATATCTGCCCTTCCATACGTCCCTCCCATATTACTACATCCAAAGTCATGATTGCATGCATCCATCAATCCAACCCATACAATAACATGCAATTAAAAAAACCCAGTAATCCAACCCCTCCTCCAAAAAATAATGTTACAATCGAAACGCCCCTCCTCCATTCAAACATCCGCATATCGTTATTAAAAGTTCGTAATCCAGTCCCATCGTATCATTATCCTGACCAAGAGGAATTTCTTTCGTTGCGCAATTATGGTCTTTTGTGAGTTGTTTTGTGTGTTGTTTTCCTGGTCCGCAGTTTTTTGTCCTTGATGTTTGTTTGTAGCGAGGATACTATACTGGATTCGTTAGTCGGAACTAAGTAAATGTTGCTGTGGATATAGCATAGAAGAAAGGAAATTTCTAAGCATGGAAACATCCCAAGGATGTGACTTACCAAAAACAACCCATCCTTTCAATCATTCTTCATATAGAAGAGGTGTATTAGACCTGGCTCATGGAAGGCCCACTCCTCCTACTAGAGAGAGACCCCGATTTGTGAGCGAGGAACGAGAAGAAGAGCGACCCGACGAATGAGGCGAAGAGAAACCAGAAGAAAGCGGTACTAGCTTGTAGTTCGTGGCATCTCTTGCTGGTATTCAGAGAACCATTCGTCATGGTGTTGGTAGTGGTATATGTCTGTCCTCAACATTAGCCCATCCCTTTACCCCATATACAAAAAGAAAACAAGAAAAAAAAACATACAGCATTCCCACAACTATGCACCCCCAACTTCGCAGCCAACACCACCCCCGCGATAAACGTAAACATCGTCGCTAATCCATCCAGAGCAAGCACCACGATCGGTATTGCGAGACTCTCCATGATGACCCCTGCGAGCCCAAATAAGAGGGCGATCCATGAGATTACGCATACGAAGATGGCGTAGTTTATGGCGGATGGGTTCCCCGCGATGGCTTCGCGGATTACGTTCCCGATCAGCGCGGTGGTGAGGAGGGTCCAGAGGAACTGGAGCCCGCGCAGGCCGAGGAGGGGTAGGGAGATCATTTTTTGGTGGTGGGGTTGAGAAAGGTTGGGTTGGTTTTGTGGTTTGTGGGTTGTGGTTTGGGTTTGGTATTGTGGAAGTCGAGGTGGAGGTTGAGGTTAGAGGAGACAAAGAGAAAGAAGAATTGGTTTTCGTGTTGGACTCGAGGTCTGTAGATGAATCACGGAGGACCTATGGTGTGATGTGATATGGCACAGTCGGTGTCTGGGTGTTATTGTGTTTAAGTCAGAGCTCTGGCCTGCGTCGCACGAGCGAGGAACTAATGACGTATCGCCACGGCCGATGAATGATGCAGATCGAGCGGAGGGGTGAGAGTGCTTTACCGGTACAGTAGCTCTAGCTCTAGCTCTAGGGTATCTGGAAGCCAAAGTCTCCGAGTTCAGATATGTTCCAAGGTCTAGATTCCCAAGCTGATCAAATTCAGAAGAACTCCTTGACCTTTATGTTTGGTTCATCTCGTGCGACTGGACTGGGCATCTGCAAACAATGGTGCTGCCCTGCACTGGCGTGGTGTTTCCCATCTGCCGCCCTCGCCGGATATCGGTTGGCTTGCTGACCCGGCAACTCGGGATTTTGCCCTGACAACACCGCCCTAATACCATTCTGGCCTATCGTTTCATTGTCACATCCTCATACGGGAACATGGGCTTTCTTTGTCTCTCTGAATCTCAACTAGATTTCCGAATCCTCTCCCATTTCACCTTTGTTCACGGGATCCAGTAACAATAGATCCCGAACTTTCTGGCCCAAGCTCTCTTTGATAATGTAAAAGTAGCCAAGATCTGGAGATGCCAAGGGAAATTTGTATTGACGTCTGCGGCTGGAAGCTTATTCGCTGGGTGGCACTATGCCGACTTTTCATTCGTACTTTACTTCCAACGGCTTATCAGATACTCTACAGTATCTGAAGAACCTTTTCTACGTGAGTCGTCTGTTTTCATGTGAACATGCGATCCATGAATGTGATCCAACTCTATGTGATACTAGTAATTGAAATGAACACCCGACGTTGAAGTGAGAAAGAATACTTCCTTTTACACGGATCTACCTATCAACTGGATACCAAAGCATTTCTTAGGACCGAGTTCGTTGGAGATTTCTCGGATTCAATACTTTATTACGATGTGGTGTAAGAAGGGGATTTAGTCATTTTATGGTTCTCCAATGTACTGAATATGAATCATCTCCCGGGAACATGCTACCTTGCGTATCCTGGCATCCCAACCTACAATCCGAACTAGACCGATGTTCACGTCAAGACCCTCTGTCTTTCGGTCCTGTAACGGTGCGATCATAGTACTAATGTGCGAACATGTGTTCGATGGATCTCACCGATTAGGACCTAGTAGCAATGCAGTAAAGCAATTGATTATGGTCCGTGCTTGGCCATACACACTCTTCGAGCTCAAAATACAGCACAAATCATAGATAGTTGAGGGGAGATATATCTTTACACTGATGTAGAGTCTCTCAACAACACCTTTTGTTTTGGCTTTAGAGAGAGTTAAAGTCAACGTCGTTAATAAGCACCGACCATACTCTATCTCATCTCCACTTGCCGCAACGAATCAATCCCAAAGAATCTTAAATCTTACCGACTAACATTTGAGCCTCAGAGAAACGGATTGTTGAAACGCTAACTGTATTCAAGTCCCATTTCTTTTAAGCATGCCCCTCCTCAGTTCCGCTGTAAAGCTATTAGCTGCCCTTATTAACGACTGCGAATACTAGGGCTCCTTCAGCCTCAACGAACCTCGTCTCCTTAGCCAATATAAACGATTCAATTCTCATCTATCAGGATAGGAGCCTTCCATTCCCTAATCAACCATTCACCACATTCACCCCCTCTCGCAGTCATAACCATAAGTAACACCCCTCACACCAAGTCATCCGATATATGCCTGGGTAGCTCAATGGAAACATTGAGTGAGCACTGTAAGAGCTTTACTTGAAGATTGACTAGTGAAACCGCAAAAAACTCAGTTCATCTGGTTTATTGTCCGAGGCCGCCTTCTTTGAGGGTGAGGATTTTTTTGAAGTTTTTCTTCTTTTTTTGTTGATTTTTTTTGGAGGGGAGAGCGGGGAATGGGGTGAAAATGGGTGATGGGTAGATAGGGAGATGGGTGGAGGTATGTGCATTTTGAGGGAACAGTGAATAAACAATAATCCGTAAGGTCTGGTTAAGCTTCTCGCTACCTTTTAGGAAATGCAAAAACAAACACACAAGAATTCATGCGTAAACAATAACTTATAATCTACTCACACTCAAGACCAGCTAAACGAATGACCAGAAGAAACAACTCTCATAACACACCTACCTAGGTACACCCCCCTCCTCTCCTCTCAACCTCGTCCCCACCATTCATCCAAAATGCCTCCTCGCAGATCACATCCTTCCACACCACTAAAGAACAGTAGAATTCACAATCGCAATCCCCCGATTAATACAAAGCACCGTCCTCAAATCCACCCCCGTAACATTACTCCCACTAATCGGATACGGAAACTGTCCACCATTCGGCGCATCCCCGAAGGGAAGCCCGAAAGGAACCTGTCCGATGCTGTCCTTGAACGCGCGGCATTCGATGGCCGCGCCGAGGGGCACGCTTCCACTGCCTCCGGCGTAGTTGATGGTTTGGACGTTGACGACTGAGTTCTGGGAGGCGTCTCCGGCGAGCTGGGTGGGTTAGGAGGGTTGAAGAGGGGGAAGGGGGAGAAGTACATAGGTTAATTGTCCGAGGGGGACACCGCGATATACGCTCCCGTGGGGGTCGACGGTCCCTTCTGGGACTTCGACGCGCACGTGCACCCAGTTTGTGATGTTTCCTGAGCTTTGCTGTTCATCTGTTAAAGAGGCTGCGGCGAGGACGCCTGCTACGTTGTAGCTTGTTGGTTGATTGAGGGTGGGATCCACTTGGGACGCGTTGGCTGGTGGTGCGAAAGGGGCGGGGGTTTGCGCCTGGGTGATGGAGAGGAGGGAAGTTGTGAGGGCGATGGTGTGGAGATGCATTTTGATGAGAGAAAGAAGCTCGGTGGATAAACGAATGTATATAGATTTGAAGGATCACCAGGATGAGCGGATTTGATAGTACAGAGGCAATTTGATAGAGAACGAATCGATCGCGAGGTACGAAAATGAGCGACTGGAAAGATGAAATGGAAATTTGAAAGAGATGGTCGTTGAGGTGATGTGCATCTCCACTTACTTGTACGAGTGCCGGATCTACCTTCATCTTTTGCAGATTCTATTCTGGGACTCTTGGCTCCTTGGCTGGCGACGACCGTCGTGCCCTCTTCATTTTCCCAACTGTATCAAGTTCCATGGAGTTGGGATTTTCCATTACCATGTCTTCTTCCTTATAGTGTAAACTTATTTGCAAGTCAAATGATTAGGCCCTCGCGAAATGCCATGCGTGCAATGTGATCGCTTAGCTTTCGAAAACCTTACGGTTTTCTTCAGCCACACGCTGTTGTATGCAGCTCATAATCGTACACTGAAACTCAGCTACACGGTAATATTCTTGGGGAGGAATGTTGGTTGGGGCTGATGTATATTGATGAGCGAACGCTGTAGTCGTAAGATGTGGTGTTAAGCGAGGTTTTGTTGATAAGCTTATGCTACTACCACCCAAGGCACAGCGACCACCAACCAACGTACAGCTGTTATCAACCAAGGCGCGGCTATCAGAGTATTGGATCTGAAAGGGTGGTCAGTTCGCCTTCAAGAGCTTTAAAAAACTAATGTGGCCACAAGGGTCATATGTGTCAAATTCTTCAGGAAACAGGAACGTAAATTCCGCACAGTTTTAGAACAATCCCAAATACCCCTAGACATTTGACATTCAAGTTCTAGAGTATTCTAGAAGATATGGTGAGATATATAATAGTAAGTCATTCCAGGCTTATAGCAAGAAATATAGGTCGTTATATCATCGAAAGCACCATCAATCACCCTCCCTTCCGACCAACACATACAATCCTCGGAATACAAAAAGCCGCACCAGCAACAGCCTCTTGATACGCATCCTTGATCAACTCAAAGAACTTACCCGCCGCATCTTCTTTCCCCATCTTCAATAACTTGAGAGCGAATTCCTCCATGGTCAAGAGATGCTGCTCGTTAAAGGCTCTTACCAACTCAGGTTTGTCATCGAAATGCTCCATTGTCACATCGAGAAAGCCTTCTTCAGTCATGAGTTTTGGTAGTTCGAGGGTCCAGTTGTATCTGCCGTTAGCGTAGGACATTTTCACCAACTGGTCGAGTGCTGGTGTTTGGATGGCTGGATCTACTTTCTTGACTCGCATGTTGACACAATCGAGCTCGTCCCATTGGAGATATCCCTCTATGAGTAGACAAATCAGACACTGAGCCCGAAAGTTTTGTCTTATACTGCTGGCATTGTATACCACTTCTAATTGGAAAATTGAAAAGTAGACTCACCCAGTTTCAGCATTCTAAGCAGATTTCGAATGACACCCTCTGGTCGACCCTCAACGACCATAACCAACAACCGCACATGAACAAAATCAAACCTCCCCACCAAATCCTCAGGTAAATCTTTAAAGATATCCCAATGACGCATGGATGTATTCGAAGGAAGCCACTTCTCATGCGGTGCTTGAGAAAGATCATTATCGAAGCCCTCCAACATCGCATTTGGAAGGGTTCTAGCGACATCTAAAAGCCACTACGATGAATCAGCATACGTCATATCATCGTTGGAGATGAAATAAAGAAGTTGAAGAGATAGAATAGTAACTTACTGCCCCGGTACCAGCAGCAACATCTGCGATGATGCAACTCTTGGATATTGGGATTGATGGGTGGATGTTGAATCCTATCGCGTCTTTCCAGAGGTAGAATTGCAGGTTCAGACGACATGCTGCGGCGTGGGTGCGGTCTAACATGTAACCCTGACCTTTTGCAAGGCCGAAATCTGCCATTGTGACGAGGAGGGAAGTATCGAAAATATTTAATGTCGTAGAAATGAATGTATTGTGATATGAGAAGATGCTAGATATAAGTTGGGGGTCAAGAGAACCGTTTTGTGCCCCGCCTTGTAATGTTACTGTGCCCTCCATATATAACCAGTTTGAACCCACTTTTTCCAACAAAAGTCGCCCCAGAATAGAAGCTTAAGAGCAGATCGAAATCCCTTTCGTTACCCAAGTAGAGGCTAATAAGAGACTTGCACGTGCAAAATTGAAAGGTACCAAGGTGAGTGCTTATTCAGAACGCCACCTCTACTGCATTTCCTCACTTGAATACTGCTATACTAAACCCCAATACCGAGTACATATTGGCTGTTTGCTCATCTATTGATCTATTCTGCCATACCCTTTCATCATTGCTGTTCCAGTGTAAAAAACAGTCTCACAAAAGCCGTAAACTCCGTCTAATACCTGGTGATACCAACAGCGATATAACCAACAATTCAACCAACATCGGAAGACAACTGCCGTCAGGTAGTGTCAGAGAAAGGCGGAAGGTTTAATGGGTAAATACTGAAAACACGGAGAGAAAGCCAAATTCGGTGTTGTGTGCATTTTGGTCATCATTCTCTTGATATTTTGTAGCTTTAGCCTTTATTTGTTTTCGACGCCATTACTTTGATACTAGTGATGGCAGTAGAAATAGATTCTACTCCCTTAGAAGCTATCAAACCGCCAACCCACAACCAGGATACCAAACTTTCGTTGGAAGCAAAGCCATCTTTAATAGAGGGAATTTCAGAAGGAGTAGTTGAGGACCAAAACATCGTCAGTTTTGGAGAGGATGACCCGGATAATCCAATGCAGTGGCCTCTATGGCGGAAATGGTCGATTGTCTTGCTAATCGCAACAATTTTTATGCTCACTTACGTAATAATTATTCTAGGCCGTTGGAGCACTGATGGGCAAGGCAAGTACATCCAAAAACTTCCCTTCACTGACATGTGGACCAGCAACTTTGGAACCATCATAATTGTTCCAGCTGTACCGCAAGTCTTGGTTGAGTTCAACACCAACGATGGTCTCTATTCAATAATCCTCGTCTCAATATGGGAGCTAGGAGAAGGATTTGGACCGTTCCTAGTCGGTCCTCTTTCAGAAAAATATGGGAGAATACCGATATACCATGCTGGAAATCTATTATTCATCATTTGCTCAGTTGCTTCTGCTCTGAGTAGGAACATATCGATGCTGGTCTCTCTTCGTTTCTTAAATGGATTTGTGATAACCTCTTCCACCCCGGGCCCGAGTATCATTGGAGATTTGTTTCATAGCGAAAATAGAGGAAAGGCGATAGCTTTAGCCGTCTCGCTCCCCCTTATAGGGTCGTTCGTTGCCCCGATGTTGGGAAGTGTCATTGCAGATTCTTTGGGATGGCGTTGGGCAATATGAATTGTTATGATTGCCGTCGGAGCCATTACTTGTCTGTCCTTCGTTGTTTTCCGTGAAACATACCCGTCGAGAATACTGGAGCAATGGGCAGAACGAATGAGAAGAGAGACCGGAATCTCTCTATATATACCAATTACCAGAACAAAGGAAACAACTCCTTCGTGGAATCGATGACTCGACCGATCAGAATTCTGTTCCGGTCTCCAATCGTATTCATCATCTCATTCTACACAGCCCTCACATACGGTTTATCTTATCTGATTCTGACCACCCTAACGCAAGTGGTGGAAGAAAACTATGAATTCAACGAGGGGAATGTGGGGTGCTTGTTTCTTGGACGAGGTATACTTCGTCTCTCTCCCTACCAGCCCCCCCCTTTACTAATCTCGCTTAGCTGTTGGGAAGATCGTTGGAATGATTCTGTACGGTTTGGTCTCCGATCGCTATATGAAATATAAGAAAGCCAAGACTGACGGATCAAAGCCAGAATATCGCCTTCTGTCAATGGTTTTTGGTTCTGTAGCGCTTCCTCTTGGGCTATTTTTGTACGGTTGGACAGCAGAAAGGCATGTTCATTGGATTGTTCCGATCGTTGGCATAGCTATCGTTGGTTTCAGCATGCTGCTCACAATTTTGCCAACTGACAACTATCTAGTTGACTTGTACGAGCTTCATGGGGCTTCCGTAGTAGCAGCTGGACTCATCTTGCGGGCGATGTTTGGAGCTCTTTTTCCTCTGGCTGCTCCTCCGATGTATTCGAAACTGGGACTTGGGTGGGAAAACTCGGTTTTTGCATTCATCGCCGTTGGATTTGTTCCGGTGCTTTTTTTTCTAATGCGCTATGGGGAACTTGTGCGGAAGGGCCGCAGGTTTCAACAGGAGTTGTAGGAATGAATGGATATAAGGTACTCGTAGTTCCACGAAGATACCACGGCTGCTGGAATCAAAAGCGTCGAGTGTTTGTATGTTCATGGGGAGTTCCATAATTTATTTAAAGCTTTCGTTATTGTTTTGAAGTAAAATTTGTTTGTGCCAGTAAGAAGAGCGTGTGCGTTTTGGAGGCTTCTGGTGTGCATGCTTTCCTGCGATACAAGCAAGAACAGCTCAAACATCATATATCTGCCTTGGCAGTAGATAGTACAGTACAACAAATAGTATGTAAGCCAATGGTTCTCTCAAGGACGCGATAATATAACCTCATCTCCAGCCATGGTTTTCTGTAATAAATCTGTGGTTACGCAGCAGCTTCTTTGAAACCTTTGAAAGCTGACCAATGTTATCATTCGTTGTCAAATTGGTACCAGTATCATTGTATACTTAATTGTACGCAGATTCTCTGCTACCAGACCCTACATGAATCCCATCCACTTAAATTTAGTTTGCATGAAGTGAAAACCATTCGTTGTTAATGTCTCCTTCAACTGGAGACTATTAGTGTGAAAGCCAGCACCAGCGTGAATCAATTTTGTTTCACAGTGTCTTGGTGAAGTGGGTTTATCTGATAGACAGGACCAGCGTGAAGTTGGAACGGCGAACATACTTGAGGTATACGTGCCGTAGAATCATGGATAGACCAGCCTGGGTACAAGAATACATTCTCTAAACTTCTGCCAGACGCAGACACGTGTACTTCTCTAAATTTGTCGCACCTACACAACACCACACAACACTATACGATCAAGGTATAGCCCACAACCTTTGCACAACAATCCAGAACCTGGCTGAAGAAAGGAACGAAGCCCTTCTATTGCAGTAACGACCCAAAAGATACCTCTCAAAACCTGCCACCATCGAAGCTACAAAATAAATGTGTGAATATCACCGTTTCGTCTGTAGCATATGTAGAAATACAGCCCATCAATACTTTCGACAATGCCTCATTCGAAACACCCACAAATGCAAACAGCAAAGGAAATATGATCTTAAATATTCCCCTAAACCAAACACACCTTGCCCACACTGCTGGAATCCTGCAACATTGCCCAATTTGGATCCAGCAACCTCATTCACTAAACATAACGTATTCTTTATGTTGTTCTGGAGTCGTCTCAAAAAATACCCTCATGGACAAGATCTCCTCTCCTACGATTTTACGTCAATTCCGAATTTTTCTGAGATGGAGGCATTCAGCTATTTAACATTTTGGGCTGAGCTAGATTTTGTCTTTCGATTACGGTTTAATGAGGCTAGTTTGTTCAGACCGGATGCATTTGAAGAGACAATATTGCGGAAGATGATTGCGACATGGTACGACGATGGGGTCGACGAGCGGCCACAACTTGATCCCAGAGAGGAGAGAACGGAATTAATCATTGAGTTGGGCAAGAAAAAAGCCAAGAGACAAAGTGTTGGAGGAGAGCAACAGGAGCACCGATGCTCAATTTGCTTAGCTTCTACCATTACTGAAGACGACGCGCCTGGCGATTTTGAATTCTTTCTAGGATTCAACGGAAAGAGCTTTTCATGAGATTTTAACTTGGCTTCCTTCCTCGGCGAGGACTTCGATAACGATTCTGGAGATGATCAAGAAGAGCAAGCTTATATGACACCTTGCAATCATTTATTTGGTCATCAGTGTCTCCGAAAGTGGTTGAACACGAGAAAGCTGAAGCCTTCTAGTAAGTCCCAAGATTGTCCTATGTGACGAGCTTCTTTTGGAAACTTTGCGAGAATTGAGGCACAGTATCAATACGGGAAGAAACCCCCTGCGTGGTGGGCGATCATTACGAGAACTGCAAATAGAGCTATGAGGGAAGCGAAAGAAATGGAGAAAAGGGCGAGCACTGATTAAGGCTGGGAAGCGAAAATTGGTCTTGGAAGGAAGGTGATGTGAATTGACGGTAGGAAAGATGATACATGGCATTCTAGAAACAGCTGTATTTCATTTATGAATAAATGGTATTTTTTTGTGCCTAACGTAAATCTATACCTATGACTTTCTTTTCACACTAAATTTTGTCCCACCCAGCAACTGCAACTGCTGATAAATTAAGCGTACTTGAATAGAACTTTGGAATTGTGCCCTACGAAATATTGTCGCCCTTAATCAAGAATCATTAACGTTAGTAGACTACATCTCCCCGCCTGAGGTCACCTTCTTATTTACTATTGTCACTTCATGAAGACTTTGGTAACATTCATATAATATCTACTAGATATTATCTAGTCATGGTCGCGGACCAAATGGGTTGAGCTGGTTAGTCTATACGAGCCTCCGGTTCTCTCTGTTTATTATTTTCGAAGGGTTCAAAAAAAAGCAGTAACCAGGGGGTATTAATGAGGCAAGAGTTCCGATTTTTCTCTTTTTATATTTCAAGTTTAGTTGAGATATGGCGCCGCTTGTTCTGGGTATGTACTAAAGACTTTATGCTGTGTATTAGAGCTTTTAGATCAGCCTATGTTTAAAGATAGTTTTTGATCATTAAAAATACAAGGTATTTGACAGTACAGAGACATGTCTTCCATCCCGGAAACCTGGACTGCAGAAGGAGTAATTAATCACTATGCATTGAGATCAGGAACTTCCAGGTACCACTCACTCTGACATAACTATGAGTGAAGTGGGTGAGGTAAACAAAGGTTCTGGACATGTGTATTTCTAACAGTAGCTGCGTTGTGAGGGTTCTTATGTAAAAGTGAATATGGATTGGTATAGTGTTTTGGCTTCGTTTAGTGAATACATTTAGTAGGATGGAGCTGCCTAGTCGAGGCTAGCTCCTAGCGTGGCGCTTCCGAATTAGGAATGGCGCGGAATCTTGTTGTGTATAAATAATAGCTAGCTCTAGAACTTCTTAGCTAGCTCGCGATCAATCTCAACCTTATTCTGGACCAGTCCTCGTACCCTCCTAGTGATATCCTGACATGCGTCAAACCCAAGCAAGCGCCTTAACAAGCTTGGTAAGAAGACTTCGCTTTCTATAAGAGAAGCCTCCCATTACCACAAAACCATAAAGACCTACAGGACCTTTAGAAATCATCAACAACAAAATTCTGCAGACAGCGGAAACACAGCACTCAAGTAAGCTGCATAGCGAACAGCAGCGAAGAAAACCTTCCACAAAAACTCTTCTACAGACATACAACAAGTACAAGATGTGCTTGCGCTACTCCTTTCAATGCCTAAACGAAAACTGCCGCCATGTTTTCGTACCTGAACCCAGAAGATGCAACTCATCATCATGCCATGCGATGACAGATACAACAGCCTCAACTCTACTCAGCACCTGGTCTATAATCAAAATCGTCGTTGCCCCTTCTGTTGGTCTTTCCCAATCTCAGAAGAAGCTCTGGCCAAAGCACGTAGAATCTCTCAAACAAAATTGTCTGGCGAGAAGTGCTTTGACTTCGTTGCTCACTGGGATAGACTTCGCGATTCAGATGAAGGAAAATATCTTTTAGAGACGGAGTTTACAACAATTCTCGACCCATATCATGCGAAAGCTATGGAGGGGTTTCTTGCGATGGCGGAAGCGGATTTTATTGTCAGATTTCACGACTCTACCTTCAAGACACCGGATGAGTTCGAGATGAAACTGGCATTCAAGATGTTTTTTTTCTGTCTCAAAGAGCGAATCGATGAGATGGAGCTTAGACAGCCGAGCGCAAGGGAGGAAAGAGCTGAGTTGATCGTTGAAATGGGAATTGCTCGAGCAGCACTAAATTTGAAGCATGGAGAAAGCACCGAATACCCGTGTTGCTTCAACGAATACTGCTCTCCGACAGAGGATCCTCCACGATACCAACCCGTTGTTCCCGATGACAATCTACGCGAGGAGAGTTTGGAGGGACATGCCCTGAAGGAACAGCCCTGTTTGACACCTTGCAACCATCTTATAGGAAGTCGATGTCTTAGAGAGTGGTTGATGAAAAATGTTGTGTTAAGGAACGACTGACCGCTATGCAGAGAATTCTTTGGGACTCTTACCAGAATCAAGGCACAAAGCAAGGCCCTAACCACGCTGGGGGAATCTTCTGATGAGGCAACATTACTATGGTCCAGTTATTTGATTTCTTCTCCAGGCGAATAGGCGCAATAATTCAGCAATTCGACCGGTCTCTCAATTGTTGGAGTACAGTGGCAATGGGGCAAATCGCAGTGTAGTAACGTGTCATTGATAGCGAGAGGATACCATATAGATGGGTTCAGCCACTCGCTCATATTAGATGGATGATATTGAGAATGCCATTTCAAACTCCGCAAGACATGAATTTCCGTGCAATAAAGTCACGAATCAGACAATTTAAAATCCACCCGAGCAGACTCTCTATTGTAATACGCCAGCCAGTCAGCCATCGGCCAACTAAAATAACTCAACTGACCGTTTTGCTCCAGAGTCTAATGCTAACTGTCTGATGACAAATGACCTTCTAAGTTGTTGTCTATTCCAGTATATGTACAGTAAAACTAAGTAATAAAACGAGTGTATATACACCACTGTAATTTGTTCTATAACATGCCCCCCCTTTAAGCGATTGAGCCTCATTTAGCAAAAACCTGATAAAGAATTTCTTAAATTAACAAGGTACAATAATTGTACCAAGATTTGTAAATCAAGTCAATATCCCTTCCAGTCAGCCCATCAGAGAGGCTGTAAACAAATCCCAAGCCCGACCTTCTAGAAATGTCCTGAAAGTATTGAAAAAGCCCCTAACCACGACCCCAAAGTCAACAAATTTAATTGTAATTGATGTTGAGCTGAGAAGCAACCTCTCAGCTCAAATGTGCTTTAGCTAACAGAAGTAAGCCAGAAAAGCAAAATAAATCATTGGCTGGCTTTCAGTGATTCAACAACAGGCCAAGCTAACTTAATGCACAATCTACTGCCTAGCAATTGTAATTTGTATCAACCGCGCTGTCGACTTTCCTGATTTAAATCGTTAGGTGGATAGGAATTTGGCAAAGCAAGCGAATTTACAAATTCGTTTCACCCAGAGTCGAAAGGTTAGACGTGGAACAAGTGTACTTTTATCAATGTAATTAGTCAAATTCTAGATGTCTTTCGAGACAGCACGTGGCTTAGTGGATATAATCATACTATATATAAAGCTATTGCCTAATTGAGTAAATAGATGTAAGGCCATATCTAAAACTTAATGAGATCTTCTATAATAAGATTCAAACTAAATAAAGTAAAATCTATCTACTCATGTACTCGTAAACTAATTTTCTAATTAGAAGTACTATAAGTATATAAAAGCCCTGTCTTAAACTACTAGCTATAACATAAGTAATATGAGACATTCGTATTCTTAGCGTAAAATCACTTCTATTTTACTCTCCCCCTCTCCCTTATTTCTAAAGGGGGGGTTCTTTTTTGGATCCTGCCCCTGCCCCCTCTTCCCCCCTAAAAATCAAAGGTTATTTGCTTGGTGTTTCCGCATACAAAAAATAGCCTTTTATTTAGGGGGGAGGGAGGCGAGAGCACGACATAGGGTGGTACGTCCTTGGCCCACCTTCGAGAAACCTTCGAACGTTGTAGGAGAAGGAGGCTCTCCTAAACCGTGGATTTTACGCCCGTGCACCCTACTATCTATTACCCTTTCTTTGAACCCTTAGAATAAATCGCAGAAATCTTAATTTCAACCCTAAAGTTTACCCTGGCATCTTTTTCTTTGTTGACGTAGAACGTTTTTGGGATTCGGTAGGGTTTTCTGTTGAGTAATATAAGTCCTTGATCGAGTTTGTAGCGGGACTAAAATGTGCGGTTTAGTGCCGTCATGGAGAGGGAGGTACCGTACCGTACTTCGTACTTGAGTTTCCAGACCCTTGTAATTACCTTCTCCTAGAAACTGAAAGAATGACAAATTGCGATGTGGAATTTGCGGTGAGGGCGAGGATATCTTTACCTGCTTCCGCATGGGACAGCTGGAACAAAAGTCCACTTCTAACTTTCCGGACTTAACTCTCCCCAATTACTGCTATGTCCTTACTGGGGGGTAGAGACCATAGAAGTACTTCGTCCCAGGCGAAATAATTGTAGGTTTGCTAGGGTGGCCAAGGTTGGTAACAGGGTAAAACCCCCTGAAAAGCCTACAATTAATTCGCCTGGGACGAAGTACCTTTGGCGACTGAAAAATTGACACATGCTAGACAGCACATTCATGAGTCAGTCCACAAATACCGAGTATGAGGCTCCAGGAAACCATCTCCGATAAACGTGCGGAGGCGGAGGGTCGGATCAACCCAATAATTGGCGATGTTGTCGGAGATAAGAGCCGAGAATATTTCATTCCCTCGGCAACACCGCGGTCTTCATCCCTGGGTATCTAAGCAGTTGAGGGGTTCCCTCATCATTTTTGCTCCGCCGATAAGAATCAATGCCGATGAAGTCATACAATTGTTTACATCGCCATAACAATTGCTCTTTCTTCGCCGAATTCCCTTGAGAGGCCACTGAAGTCTCTGGAACAAAGCATTAGCGGATGAAGTAAGTTTAGCATTTCCCAAGTCGATATAATCCCATGACCATCGACGGGAAAATAATCCACAACTCCACAATAAAGGTTGCCAGCACAAGTGGGATAGATCCGAGTGCGTACCGTAGTTCCATAGCCTTCCAGAGCCCCAGACACAAGCCCCAGAAGACAGCAAGGATTCATTCGGAATTAGACTAGCTGTCACCCATTGCGTAGTGCTTGCCACAAGCGCAGGAATCCAGAAAATATGTCGACTATAAAACTACCGGCTTCAGCTGCAACTGAACGTGTACTCGCCCTCACAAGTCAATTCAAAAACTCCTCAATTGCAAATCAAACCCCAAATCAAGCAACAATGTCTGTTCCATACAAGTTCCACGGATGGATGGGTCTCGATAAGGCGAGTGTTGAGGGGAAGATGGTATGGCAGGAATTCGAGCCAAAGACATGGACTGAAGACGATGTTGATATCAAAGTTACCCATTGTGGTATCTGCGGTAGTGATCTCCACACTTTGAGATCTGGATGGGTATGCAAAGCCCAAGAATATGTATATTCTAACAACCGCTGACCCTGCCCTCAAGTTCCCAACAACGTATCCTTGCTGCGTCGGCCACGAAGTAGCTGGCATAGCTGTCAAAGTCGGAAGCAACGTAAAACACCTCAAGGTTGGCGATCGATGTGGAGTTGGAGCACAATCGGGTGCTTGCTTGGAGTGTGAGGAGTGCAAGGCAGGCAAGGAGCAATACTGCCAGAAAGTTGTCGGAACATACAACAGTAAATGGCCAGACGGATCCATGGCATATGGTGGATACAGTGATTACTGCCGAACCAACGGCCACTTTACAGTGAAAATTCCGGATGGAATAAGCAATGCTGAAGCTGCGCCCATGTTGTGCGGCGGTGTTACCGTATGGAATCCTCTGGTTCACAACGGAGCAGGACCCGGAAAGAAAGTCGGTATCGTTGGACTTGGAGGCCTCGGTCATTTTGGTGTGATCTTCGCAAAGGCCCTGGGTGCTGAAGTGACCGTCATCTCTCGATCTGATGCCAAGAAGGAGGACGCCATGAAAATGGGAGCATCGAAGCTCATTGCAACTGGAACGAAGGGCTGGGCCAAGGAGCATGCCAGAAGTCTGGATCTGATCGTGTGCACAATATCCGACCCAAACATGGCCCTCGACGACTATTTCCAACTCCTGCGAGTCAGTGGAGAGTTTATTCAGGTAGGAACGCCCTCGCACTAACCCCTTGAGAGCGGGAGCAAGCTGACGATCCACCACAGGTTGGAGCACCCGAAGACAAGTTCCCAGGATTCTCCGCGTTTTCATTGATTGGAAAAGGGATCAAGTTTGGAGGATCTGGTATCGGCTCGCCAGCTGACATTCAGAAGATGCTTGAATTTGTCGCAGAGAAGAATCTCCATCCTGTGATTGAGGAAAGACCAATGTCTGAGGCGAACCAGGCGATTGTTGACATGGAAGCTGGAAAGGCTAGATACCGCTATGTACTGGTTAACGAGAAGCATGCCAAGGAGCTGTGATGGAATATGATAATGATAGTAGGAGTAGAACTGTAAATGAAAGAACTGATGACATAAGAAACCAAACGATGTATTGGTGCTGGAATGTGATGTGCGGTTCTTTGTCTGAGAAGGCCACTCTGTGGTACTGGCAGACCAGAATTGTCAGAGACCTAAGCTTGCCTTGTATGGTTGGTGTTGGACCTGGAGCTGCACTTTTGGAATTGAACAACTGAAAAAGAGCATCAAGTGAAACAAAGAAACAGGGCTAGGGCTAGGGCTTATACTGAGAGGAGCAGGAGATGAAGAGAAAAAAAAGTGAAAATCAGGGAAACACAAAGTAGTGGTGAAGTTCCCGTCTGATGCTGTCACCTTGATGGCGAGATGCTGACGGTCTACGCTAGGCCATTTTAGGCGCTAGCGTGATGGGAGCTCATGGCTGCGGGTGTCACTCAAAGAAAGTCGGATGGACTAGAATGCGCGACGGTTGACCTCAAGATAACCATCCCTTAACACACTCATACCTGGTTGTCCCAGATCGGAAACTCCACTGCGCCTCTCTACCTCCAGCAATACCACCATACGAGATCTGCCCCCAAAAGTCTGTATACTATTCATGCTCCTCTTGCGTATCTGAGGTCTCCCTCGCAGGGCAACTTCAGCTTTGGCGCCTCTTTGACTCGAAGGCGAACCATCAACACCTTTTGCGTCGCCGAACTTGTCACCCCTCGGCGGTTCTCATCCACACCTCCCAAACACCTGATTCGATCTCAACATGGCGGAATATGAGGATGGATACGAATATGATGATTACGAGGAGGAAGATGCGGGAATCACGGCCGAGGACTGCTGGTCCGTCATTTCAGCCTTTTTCGAGACCAAAGGCCTGGTGTCGCAGCAGCTAAATTCATTCAATGAATTCGTCCAGACTACGATGCAGGAGCTAGTAGAGGAGAATTCACAGCTCACCCTCGACCAAAATAACCCGCCATCCCACGATGAGAATAATCCCATTGCGCTCCGTCGTTATGAAATCAAATTCGGTACCATCTTGCTGTCGCGACCTGCCATGACCGAAGGTGATGGAAGTACTTCAGTCATGTTACCACAAGAAGCACGACTTCGTAATTTGACCTACTCGAGTCCGCTATACCTCGAAATGACGAAGAAGGTTTCAGTCGCCGTTGAACGACCGATTCCAATTGACGAGATGGACGAAGAACAAAATGATGAGTTTCAGCGAACTGGCGAGATGCCTACGAGACTTCTTTGGGAGGATGAGGAGTCAGGACGGGACATTTCGGAAAAGACAGATACGCCAGCTGATCGAGTATTTATTGGGAAACTGCCCATCATGCTGAAATCAGAATACTGCATTCTTAGGCACCTCGACGAAGATGAGCTCTACGGTTGGAACGAATGCCCTTATGACCAAGGTGGTTATTTCGTTATTAATGGGAGTGAGAAGGTCTTGATTGCCCAAGAACGAAGTGCTGCAAATATTGTGCAGGTTTTCAAGAAAGCCCCACCAAGTCCAACTCCTTACATTGCAGAGATCCGAAGTGCCCTTGAAAAGGGTTCTCGACTGATTTCTTCAATGACCATCAAGCTGTTCGCAAAGGGCGACGGACAGAGAGGTGGTTTCGGCCAAACAATCAAGTCCACGCTTCCATACGTCAAGAGTGACATTCCTATTGCTGTTGTATTTCGAGCACTCGGTGTCGTTTCCGACGAGGACATTTTAAATCACATTTGTTATGACCGTGGCGACACTCAAATGCTGGAAATGCTCAAGCCCTGTATAGAAGAAGCGTTTGTCATTCAAGATCGAGAAGTTGCTCTGGACTTCATCGGAAAGCGTGGTAACAGTACCACATTGACTCGAGAGAAGCGTGTGAAACATGCCCGCGACATTATGCAAAAAGAGCTACTACCTCACATTTCGCAGAAAGAGGGCAGTGAGACTCGAAAAGCATTCTTCTTGGGCTACATGGTTCACAAGATGCTGCAATGTTCGCTTGGGCGACGAGAGACTGATGACAGAGATCACTTTGGAAAGAAACGTTTGGATCTTGCTGGACCTTTACTTGCCAAGCTTTTCCGTAACTTATTCAAGCGACTCACCGGAGATGTTTACAAATATCTTCAACGTTGCGTGGAAAACAATCGGGAATTCAACCTTACTCTTGGAGTAAAATCCACTACGATTACGAATGGTCTAAAATACTCTCTGGCTACCGGAAACTGGGGAGACCAGAAGAAGGCTGCCCAATCAACGGCTGGTGTTTCCCAAGTGCTGAATCGCTATACATTTGCTTCAACCTTGTCTCATTTGCGACGTACGAATACCCCAATCGGTCGTGACGGAAAGATCGCTAAACCACGTCAATTGCATAATACCCATTGGGGGCTGGTCTGTCCCGCTGAAACTCCTGAAGGGCAAGCATGTGGTTTGGTCAAGAATTTGGCCCTTATGTGCTATATCACAGTCGGTTCCCCGAGTGAGCCCATCGTGGAATTCATGATTCAACGAAACATGGAAGTCTTGGAAGAGTATGAGCCTCTACGATCGCCAAATGCCACGAAGGTTTTCGTCAACGGTGTTTGGGTTGGTTGCTCACGGGACCCAGCACATCTCGTGAAGACTGTCCAAAAATTGCGACGATCGGGGTTGGTTTCTCACGAAGTCTCCTTGATTAGAGATATTCGTGACAGAGAATTCTCTATCTTCACAGATGCTGGCAGGGTGTGCAGACCACTTTTCATTATTGACAATGACGTTGATAGCACCAACAAAGGTAATCTGGTCCTCAATAAACAACACATTCAGAAGTTGGAAGAGACTCAGGCGATGCCAGCAAACATGACCCCTGAACAAAAGGCTGACGCAGGATACTACGGCTTCCAACAACTTATCGAGGACGGTGTGGTTGAATATTTGGATGCAGAGGAAGAAGAGACTGTTATGATAGTTATGACCCCCGAGGATTTGGACATTTCACGTCAACTTCAAGCTGGGTACCAAATTCGTCCCGACGAGAGTGGTGATCTCAACAAGCGTGTTAAGGCTCCAGTGAACCCCACAGCACATATTTGGACACATTGTGAGATTCATCCTAGTATGATTTTGGGCATTTGCGCAAGCATTATTCCTTTCCCAGATCATAACCAGGTAAGATTATGGTGTTTAGCTACAGTGAGTATATTGGTTAACCTTTTTAGTCTCCTCGTAATACTTACCAATCTGCTATGGGTAAGCAAGCTATGGGCGTCTTCCTGACGAACTTTGATCAGCGTATGGATACTATGGCAAACATCCTCTACTATCCTCAGAAACCCCTCGCTACAACTCGTTCCATGGAGTTCTTGAAGTTCCGTGAGCTTCCAGCAGGTCAAAATGCTATCGTTGCTATCGCTTGTTACTCGGGATATAATCAGGAAGATTCCGTCATCATGAACCAAAGTAGTATCGATCGAGGTCTCTTCCGAAGTCTGTTTTATCGTGCATATACAGACCAAGAAAAGCGAATTGGAATGAACGTTGTAGAGCAGTTCGAAAAGCCTTATCGTTCGGACACTCTCAAATTGAAGCATGGTACATATGACAAGCTGGATGAGGATGGAATTGTCGCGCCGGGTGTTCGTGTATCTGGAGAGGACATCATTATTGGGAAGACTGCACCTATGGCTCCTGATGCTGAAGAGCTTGGACAACGCACCAAGGCACACACAAAACGTGATGCCTCTACGCCATTGAGAAGTACCGAAAATGGTATCGTTGACCAGGTTCTTATTACAACTAACGCCGAGGGCCTGCGTTTTGTCAAAGTTCGCATGCGTACAACAAAGATTCCTCAGATTGGTGACAAGTTCGCTTCTCGTCACGGACAGAAGGGTACCATTGGTATCACATATAGAATGGAAGACATGCCTTTCACCTGCCAGGGCATCGTACCGGACCTTATCATCAATCCCCACGCCATTCCATCTCGTATGACCATTGCCCATTTGATCGAGTGTCAATTGAGTAAGGTAGGTACTCTTCGAGGAATGGAGGGTGATGCAACTCCTTTCACTGAGGTCACTGTCGATTCGGTGTCCAAACTCTTGCGCGCTCACGGATACCAATCTCGTGGTTTTGAGGTCATGTATCACGGGCATACTGGTAGAAAGATGATGGCTCAAGTGTTCCTGGGACCAACATACTATCAGCGTCTTCGTCACATGGTCGACGACAAGATCCATGCCAGAGCTAGAGGACCTGTTCAAATATTGACAAGACAACCGGTGGAAGGTCGTGCAAGAGATGGTGGTTTGCGTTTCGGAGAAATGGAACGTGATTGCATGATTTCTCATGGAGCGGCAGCATTCTTGAAGGAGAGATTGTTCGAGGTGTCAGATGCTTTCCGAGTCCACGTTTGTGACATTTGCGGACTCATGACACCGATTGCGTAAGTGATATTTCAAATGGAGACGTCAGTATTCGCTAACCTAGTTACAGAAAACTTCAATCCCAGGCCTTTGAATGTCGCCCTTGCAAGAACAAGACCAGAATTTCCCAAGTACACATACCTTACGCGGCGAAACTTCTGTTCCAAGAGCTTGCATCTATGAACATCGCATCAAGAATGTTTACCGAGCGATCAGGAATTTCGGTTCGCTAAGGAGAGGGGGCAACTGTAAGAACGGGGAGAGTGACAGGACTCGATTTGCATGAGTGGCGTTTTAGGGGAGGACAGTGATATTTTTGCAGCGAAAATAAAACTGGGTGCATTTTCTATCTCTGGCATGCTTTGGTTAAGAGTAAAGACGCAAAGCAGGACCAAGATATTTTATTCCAGCACGCAATGCCAGTGCTTGTACAATCTATAAATGTTTAGCGGAGATTGGGGTGGTCGTCATTAAAATGGTCATGATGACGACGATAATGCAAAAATTCATGTGCCTTGTTCTTTCCACTGAAATTTATATTCCCTTCGAATGGGATGATTCCTCGTCGCCAACGCCGTCTTCATATCGAATCCCAACCAGTTTTTATCATCCCAACGCTTCCCATAGTTGTTACAGTATGATACTTGTAGTAATTTGTACATGCATATAATCGTACATCTTCGTCTTTATTTTCCCCTTAACCATGTATTTATGCTGGTATTTCCTCCGAGCAATCATGTCATCGCGGTTCGGCAGGTCCTCCATCGTGTACGCTTTGTAGCTTTTTGTATTCTTCCTCCATGGCCCTTTGCATCTCGAAGTCGAGCTGACGCTCCCGTTTTGCTTGTTGGTTCTGCATGTCTCGGACCACGCCTGCGTGCATTGCCTGCCATCATAATTAGCTTGTGCTGATGGTGGAAAGGTCGAGCAGACGAACGGTTTTCTCAGCCTGCTGGGTGTAGTGCACAAAGAAGACTGTGCCGACTGCGAAGAGAGACGTCCCCGCCAATGTGAGTTTTGATGCGCGAGACATTTTTGGATGTGAGATTGGAGGAGGATTAGGTGGGAGAGATTGAAAGCATGGTGTTGTTGCGGAAGGCAATATTTTGGAGGGGTGAGTGAGTGCTGGAACCGGTTGGGCTGTGAAGCCCATGAGCAACGTGCAGGGATGCGACGACAGCTCTTGCCATGCCTTGTTCCACCAGCTCCCCATGCCATGCCAGCTTTGGACTGCACATCTACGAGTTCACCATCCCGAGAACACTACACGACTCCACGCCACGATATTGCCCTTAAACGGATCATATTACCCTTTGTGATTGCTCTGTTAAGGCGTTGGACTTGAGATACCGAGGGTTGTTGCGAGATTAGTACTTGTCAAGATGGTATGTGCTTGCCTGACTCTCTGGTGGGTTAAAGAGGGCATCTTGCTAATACGTGTTGGGCAACAGTCGGCACAGAACTCGGCGGGTATTCAGACGCTGCTTGATGTATGTTCTTCTCTCCAGGACTGGACTCGGGAGGCGGATGCGCGTGGGGTTTACGACATACTGGAATGGGGAGGGGCCGTTACGAGTTAGATTGAGGACTGATCACTGATGTGCTGGTGTTGTAGGCTGAGAGAGATGCTCAGAAGATTGTTCAGACTGGTAGGCATATTGAAACTTGCTGAAACTAATCGGAAGTTATGCTAATTTGTGATTGCGGTGTAGCTAGAGAATGTAAGACCTGCCACTCCAATGCGACCCAACAACGATACGAATATGCCGGCATGGAGTTCAAGAAGGAAGCCCATACTGATCATAATGCCTCTGAATAGACCGCACAAAGCGAGTAAAGGAAGCCCGAGACGAAGCCAAGAAGGAAATCGACTCGTACAAGAAATCCAAGGACGACGAATTCAAGAGCTTCGAGGCCGAGGTACTACACACCGTTTCTTTCATATCAGCCTACCTTCTTCCTACCTACCATAACAGATCACCCCTCAAGGCCTCACCTGTAACAACATACTGACCCAAACATCGAAATAGCACACAAGCGGCAACAAAAAAGCCGAAGAAGAAGCTTCGAAAGATGCTGAGTCCAAGATAAAAGAGATCCAGGCAGCCGGGAAGAAGGGACAGGATCAGGTGGTCACTGATCTGTTGAAGGCGGTTTTTGATGTTAAGCCTGTGGTTCCTGATCGTATCGAGGTTCCAAAATAGGTTCTTTAATATCTCAATTTCTGCTTTGTGATGATGGGGCTGTGATAGAAGATTGTGAGAGAAGATTATGGGTGCGGAATGGGAAGACGTGATGAGTGGATTAGGCGGGGCTGAACTGGACTGGATGGGTCTGGTCGGCTTGTGTATAGAATAGGTTGCCGCTATGAGATATCCCATTTCTCGCTACAACTCTCCATCTTACACCCATCATGCTTTCTTTTGTTTGCACTCTTTTCAGCGGTTAGTGCTGTCTGTTTGGCGGCTGTGTTACTGTTCCTTCCTTATTTTTATATCTCAACTTGCTTGCTACGACTTTGTTTGGGGCCTGTTTAGCTGGCACTTTTCATCAGTATGCATTTTTGAATGCGCTTCTACAGACACTTCCAGGTTGCCTGCATTCTTATGGTTCCTAGTTTCTGAAAGTGTATATTTGTTTGGCTAGTATACCTTTCCTTGCCTTGGTTTTTATATAAAGCTACCTACCTATTTGAACTCATGAGTCCTGTATGGGTTCACTTACTAGAATGTCTCTGCAGTATCAGGCGAGAGTACCTATAATGAAAGTGTATACCCTTTAGACATAGAAGGCCATGCACTTTCCAGCTTATTTGATGCACTTTTGTCGCAAATTGTCAACCAGAAAATCCCTTACTCTTTTCATTTCGTGATTCCTGATCATTGGCGAACGACCTCAAGGGGCTTAAGTAAACACAGGTGATGCTGTGACTGGGTAGGAAGGTCTCCAATCAGGAGATATCGGGTGATCTTGCTGCGTGTGTAACAGTGGTAGATACGCACAGCCTCGTCAAATTTCTTCTTCTTCTGAGCGCCATTCCCCTTCAAAAGCCATCTTCACTCCAACTTGTTCTCCGCCGTTCATCACAATTCAACGCCATGGCCTTCGGAACCCTGTCAGAGTTCGTCGTAGACAGGAAGTGGCTTTCTCTATATTGGGATTTTCAGTATCTACTTCGGCGGCGTGATACCAGTCTACGTCGATGTTGTTTCAAAGCCTTCAAGAAAACCATCAATAGTGGGGTCTCTGAAGTGACAATTCATGAAAATCTAGCTTCTTTTCGGAAGTCCGCTGCGTCAGGCTGTTTATTGTGTTCATTTGTGGATAAGTCCTGTGGTGTAGTGAATGGCGACGTGAAGATGGTGGTTTGATGGGAGGATATGTTTCAGAAGCAGATGGACTTGACCCTGGACAACCTGAACTCGGATAAATTTCTGCTTAGTTTACATGTAAGACGTGCGGAGGAACTTGGGGGTGGGTGACTAAGTTTCTATGCCATTTTCTTCCTTACTATTTCGTTAAGAATTATCCAATCAGGTCAAAAGCTACTTGAGCAAGGAAGTCTTACCTTTATCTGTTCTTTCCGACAAGAGCTTTGCCATAGCTATCTACAACCATTGCCTCCAAAATCACAAAAATTGCCGAATCAAAAGTGCTTCCTGGTACCCAACGCGTCTTATTGGGGTTTCTTGGCATAATGGCGTACCTTCTTTACGGCTGGTAATTACCAAAGAGGATCACCATGGCGGTTATCTTGCTCTGAGCCATTGCTGCGGATGTTCTCAGCCAATAACACTTACACATGCAAATCTTTGTTACATGCAAATGGATATTCCGCTCTCCGTCCTTCCAGAGACATTTCAAGACGTGGTGCAAGTCATGGGATGGCTCAAAGGTCAGCTTCTTTTTCTTTTTCATACATTTTCTTATTTCATTTCGCCACTGGCTTACGAGGTATTTGCAAGTCTAAGCAAATTACCAAAGTACCTTCCGTTTAAGGGCGCGTTCCTGAAACGCGTCAACTCACTCACCTGTTGAACAGTATCCTATATCTGGATCGACTCACTCTGCATACTTCAAGACTCGAAAGAAGACTGGCAAAAAAAATGCGCAATAATGGACAAGGTTTATTCAAACTCACTCTGCACCATATCCGCCTCTCGCGCAGCTTCAGCCAGGGAAGGGTGTTTCGGAGACCACACACCTGTCTCTAGAAGCCTGATAAACATCCCAATTTGGGGAGACTGTTGGGTCCTAGAAAAAGGCCCTTTCGATATATATAGCGATCTATTATTAGAGCCCCTCGCTCAACGAGCTTGGGCTTTTCAAGAGAATGCCTTGTCGTTCAGGAATTTGCATTTTAGCACACAAGGGCTAGTATGGGAATGTCAAGAGATGATCACCAGCCAGGAAGTTTTCGATAGAGTTGAGGATTACGGGATTCTCGATTTTTACTCCATCAAGACAAACTATTCTCGTAATGTGCAATATATATTCAATAACCCATCCAACCAGAGTGATCTTACATACCAAATCCTCCGAAACTGAAGGCAGGTCCTCGAAGTCTTTTCAAAATGCAAAATCACCAAAGAGGATGATAGATTGCCAGCTATATCTGGCGTGGTGAAGAAGTTTGAGGAGATGTTACGGGATAGGTATCTCGCTGGTCTTTGGTTGGGTCAGTTGCATACTGAACTTCTATGGCGGACTAGAACAAGAGCTCGTAACCGTCCACCACGTCGGACTTCTTCTTATGTTGCACCTTCTTGGTCTTGGGCTTCGCTGAATGCGGAGATTTTTCTCTTTGACTCGATTAGAGATAGAACGGATGTGTATTTTGCTGAAATCCTTCAGGCTAATGTGGAGCCTGTTGGTGACGACCATACGGGGCAGCTTAGAGGAGGGTTCATACGATTGATTGGGGCTCTGCAGCATGTAATGGTGTCTAAAGCCCCGACCCCAGAAGAATTACCATTGCTTGCGTTTTGCAATCTCGTTGAGCGAAATCTTCAAAGTGAGAGCGTATCACGGAATGGCACGGGTCAGGATATTATATATGGACATATTGACGTCGACGATATGGCAGGGGTTAATGAGCAATTCCTCTTCCTCCCATTACTTTCAACCTATGGGGATTGCCATGGAATCCTAGTCCGGGAAACAGCGGATGCCGGAATATTCACACGAGTTGGAATGGCAAGGACAAGAGACACACCCGACAGCAGGTACGATTATATATCAGACTCCCCCAATTGGCAAAAGAATGTGGCAAAAATGCGTATAGACTATTATGCTCGAAAGAAAGAAGCGTACGAGAATCAGGACTGCACGAAAAAGGGACCTCACAATCTCTTCCTCGGAGAACCAGAAGTACCTCCCCAGGGTTTGGTCCGATTGGTGCCACAGGAGATTACCATCATATAATCATTTTCTCGTTCATTCCGATGCTTTACTGTACGTACCATGTCTGCATGAGGTTACAAGTTCTCATATACTGACGATATCGAGTAGTTTCAACCCCTTTTTGGATTTCATTACTCTCACCTTTCACACTTTCCTTCGTTCCAATATCTGCTTTTTGATTGGTATATCTTTGTACGTAGTCCTTTTCGGGATTGTAGGAAGCACAAATGAGGATCAACGGGAGCGGGAGTTATTAATTTGTTATGTTCGTTATTTTTATCTCAGAAGTGGAGTTCTTGGAGGTTGTTGTACAGTAGGTACCTATGGTCAATGTACGCAGATCCTCTATATCAGTAGTCTCTTTATTCAATCATGGATCTATAGTAAACTGCGTAAGGAAGTGGGAAGCATCATTGTCTAGAGGTAGATACTTTGCCCTTGACATATCCTACTTCCAATGGATTAAGTTCCACATCTTGGGAAGCTCCGTTAGCTAACCATTTCCTAAAAATCCCTGAAATAGTTGCGAACCTTCTCTCGACACCTCGGGGGAAAACCCTTATACCTTAGAGGAGCACCCCCTTAATCCTGACCGCTGTAATTTTATAACGGTTATAGACCCAGCGTGTGATAGTTATATGTAAATTGAGACAGTACTCATATAATTGATTACCTTAGAGGAAAAAATAAAGCTTTTTAAATAGTTGTTAAAAAGGCTAGCAATTATATGACTATCTATAGATAGCTACAAAGATTTGAAGCAATATTATGTAATTAAAGTAGTCAAAATTTTGTTATTGCCGGGGATTGGAAATACGTGTTCAAAGAGAGCGACTTCCTCTAATACAATGCTACCAACAAAGCCTTATTCCATCACTACAATCATCACCCTTCAAAACCGAAGTATTAATGGAGCTTATTTCAAATTAATAAATGACTGAGCTATCTTGTCAAGTGTATCAGCCAGCATATCCGGATGAGACAGGAACGGACGGTGACCGGTATCGTATTTCTCAACAGTGAAATTGACACCGCTTCCCTCGATCATGACATCTTGGCCAGCGGCAGGGATGGCCTGATCGTACTCAGTGCGAATGTATTTGAGGTGACCTGCGTAGCCGGTATCCAGATAGCCGATGGGGCCCAACTTGTCTGTGACAGACTTCAAGGAATGTGGCTCGACGATGCTAGCAGCCCACTGTGCGAGCTCGTCGGGAACGCCGTTGTAGAAGACGGGAATGGGCTCAGGGACTCTGAGGAGACCGGCTTTTTTCTACGGATTGATTAGCAAAACTACTTTTAGGATCTCATCGAGCGAGCTTTTGATCATTATGGAGATTGTGGAGTAAATTACTTACATCTTCGGTTTGCCATTCCGCGAATCTTTTACCAATCATATCAAGAAGCGACATACCTTCTTGTGGAATAAAAGCAATTTCGTAGACGACCCCAATTATGCCTCCTGGCAGCCCATTGGAGGCACGCTCAACTTTGCTGAGGCCCTTGATAGCTACGCTACCAGGTATTCCGGCATAAGAGTGGACCACGAGAACTACGTCCTTGTCCCCTTTAAACAGCGGAGTGAAAATGCGATGCATTTGCGCGATATCATCTGTGAGGGTGTTTTCCTTTTTGTTGACGGTCTTCAGAGTCTCTGAGATGATCTTGTAACCCTTGTTCTCGAGACGGGGGAGAAGGAGTTTGAGATGCTCTTTCTGATGGAAAGCACCGACGAACATGGCAATAGTTGGCTTTGACATATTGTTCAAGTCTGGATAAAAAAGGGTAGTGTCTGAGGAAGGCACACTTTGAATTGGAGTATAATATGGCCACAGCGAAGGTCATAAGGACGAGGTCCAGGGGAAAAGCATAGAGGATGTTGGAACCAACAACAGATTTAGAATCTGACGGTGCTGCAGGGTGAGTATTGCCAATTGTTGGCTTGTAAATATCAAACTAAACCATGCTTACCTTCAATTCCATGCTTACGTAACTTTCCAACAGTGTGGGGAACGAGTCGAGTTGAGATAAGTAGGGGCACCTAGTCAACTCGACTCGAGTGGTTCTTAAATCTACTCAACTCAATTCGCCAAGTAATCGAGTTGAGTTAAGTACTACTTGAATAGTACGGAGTAGCCGTAGCCGATGTCGGCTAGCCGGTCCGATCACTCTGATTTAGCTGGCCCTATTACATAAGACATAAGCAATAGAACTAAGCGAATACGTATATAAGCGAGATAAGTCAGATATTCGGCGGCAAGTACCTCTAGCGAGCGGTCATTTAGCTAGGGGGCTAACCCTGTCTTATAGAGTAGAAATAGGGGCTCTTAAAGAACGTTCAGTAACTGGAATTCCATTCAATTCCATAGCCCTCTTGTGGAATTATCCCGTTCCATTTATTAAGGATTTGCTGGAATCATTCCATTCCAGAGGCACAAATTCCATGGAATATATAGAATCTTCAGATGAAATTCATCATATGACCAAGAAATACGTCCTCGCTCCCTTAGGCTAGTAGAAAGCTCTTATTTTGTCTTGGAAAGAGTAGGGAGAAACTCCCTTAGAGTGCTAATATAATATATAGGTATAGACTGTTTAGGTGTCCCAGACATGTCACGTGAATGTCCCCTGTCTACTCGTGCAACTCTACCTATATACCTTCGCGGCTATTTACTCGTATACACTGTATATACAGGTAGATATTCACTATAAATAGAAGTCCAGAGACTAATCTATGGAATAGAATAGTTCCATAATAAGGGTACTCTAGAAGGATTCCAGGTAGAATAGAATGGGATAATTCCATGGAATGTGGTTCCATGTGCCGAACGTCGCTCTTAAAAGAGAAGGCAATAAAAATATAGTAAGCTCAAAAGTTTAGTACATTTTGTAGACAGGGACGAGGATATACTGATAAAAGACTTCGTATTTTTCCAGATACTATTTATGTAAAATACTCGAGTTGTTCAGTATTGTGCTCCCACGCTGCCTTCCAACTCCAACAATTACAACATAACATGCTTGCCTCCAGGTAATCATTAGGACCTTCAGATTCCCCTGCGACTTGGCAATTCAAATGTGTACACAGATATGTAGCACCTGCACTCTAACCTTTTCCCTATCTAACTATGGCATTTAATCACCATAAACGGACGATTTGCTATCACAACCCCTTCTCTTATTCTCTTTAAGACCATTTCCGGGTATCAAATCAACTCTACCTACACAACATCCGCAAAGCCCTCGTCACATCCGCAAACTCCATATCACATCCGCAAAAACAGCACAGCCTCCACCAACAGACCCGGACCTCACCCATTCTCTGGTGTCTTAGATAACGATTACCAATATCTCAACCTCATTATATCCTCCATAAATTTAACTCAAATTTACCTGTCAAAAAATTACAAGAATACCTCTCTAGTAGAATAACTACCTAATGATTCCACCCTAGGCGGCCTTTTTGCTTGTCTCGATTACAACTCTTCAATGGAGTAAGTCGATATCAAATTTCTGTATATGCAATTAACGAGCGTGTAGTGGTTCTTCATGGCCTTGAGAAGCAAGTATATTTGGGTCGCCGGCTCTAAGCGAGAATCCTCCTTTTGTGATTGCCCAGGTCGTATTCAGCACTTCCATCTAATGCACACCTCCAAAAGCCAACTCCTTTACAAACATTCCAATCCAAACCCAGCTACATCCAAAAAATGATGCGCTCGTAGCCCGAATTAATAGTTCTACGGATCAAGCTACGCGATTTACTCGCAGATAACCGAATTTCCTTAATTTTTACTCGTAGTCGGGGAATATGGATTACTAACAAGAAGCCCTCTTCAGACTTCACATAAACATCCTTCCACTGACCACAGAGCATATCAATATACACATACACATAAACCCATGCCCCCCTCCGCCTAAAATTTCACACCTCACAAAAACTCACACAAAAAATCGCACTAAGCTCTTTCCTATTAAATACTATCTACTGAGCATCATTCGCTTCCCAGCCAGGGCCCCGCCCATTGATCAACTCATTGCTATTTATTATTTCTCATGGCCACTCCATACACTCATCTCAATTGATTCAACAAGCACACCGTCCCCCCCCCCTCCTTAAAAAAACGACGCGATATTTTTTCTTCATCCCACACCTAAACTCGAACCCCACCACCATCACCATGCTTCGGAAATCAACACACTAATTATTGTACAAGTGATTCACCTATTAAGGACCAACTCAATGAGGTGAGAGGACTGGAATAGGTAAAGAAAGTTGGCATCAATACTGGTCTCAACCTAGATCAGAATCAATGAAGTGACGGTCTACCGCGACCTCTGCCCCTTGGTCTTCCACGTCCACGACCACCCAAAATACCACCTCGTCCCCGCAGTGCCACGCCACCACCACGAAGGGACTTCTTCGGCGAGGCTCGAACAGCGGGGATACTAGCATTGCTGTCTGAAGCAGAATCTTCCACCTCCGACTCTACCTCATCTTCTTCATCAGAAATATAGGGCTCCGATTCAGCCTCCGAACTCTGCAATCTAACAATTGTGGGTCCTTTCTTCGCAGGTGAGACTTTGGACGTTCGTGACACCGGAGGTGATGAATAATCACCCATCATATCCCGATATTTTGACGAGACTGGCGCTGGAGTGGTTGAAGATACTGTTGCTGATTCCGTGGATCGCGAGGCAATCTTGGCGTCCTCGCCCTCCCATTCCATAGAACAATCTGGCGTGGGACTTCTCAGAAGTTGTGGAGAAACGGTAGATGTACTCTTGCTGCTCTCAAAACCCGGCGTCTTCGAATTTGAGGTGCGGCCTTTGTGGGTGACAATCTTGGCAGATTTGCCTTTCAAAGCTAATTTCTCCTTCAAGGACAGGAACTTTTGGGCTGGTCTCGATGGTTCGTGCTCTTCCTCTTCGTCACTACTTGGCGTTGGAGATTGGGCTGGCAATGGCGCTCTCTTTGGACGACCTCTGCCTCTTTTTGTAGGTGTGAATGCGACATGGGATGAACCATTCATCGGAATGGCTATTTGAATTCCTGGATTTTCGGGAGAAGCATGCCAGGAGATATTTGGCTCCTCCTTTACCTCTGGCGTACTAGCTCTAGGAGTACTCAGTCTTCGCGCAGTCTCGACATTTTCTGCTTCATGTTCAATAGGCTCCCTAAAGATATTGTCGACTTCCAAATCTACGCCTCCATTATCGTGGTCGCTTGAGTCGTCAGACACTATTTGCGTTACTACCTTCTTCTTTGGTCGACCACGACCGCGACGGACACTGCTATGCTGCTTTTCAGATGAACCGTCCATATTGAAATCATCTTCTCCTTGTGAAGATTCGACATCTTTTTCGGATCCACCAGACGACAAGTCAATGGCACCTGATGAAACGGTAGACTTTCTGGGACGACCACGACGTTTTCTGGGGGCGGGATCTGGTGTTTCCTCCTCCTCGAGTTCCTCCCCGTTCTCCAAAGCTTCTTTTCTGGCTTGCCATACTGATTTGCGACGAGGCTTGGGTTTAGTAACCGACGAAATAGGCGTCGCCTCCTCAGTATCATCCTTAGCTCGCATACTTCGTCTTGGGGTGGATTTTTTCTCGCTCGCTTTGTTAACACGACGAACCGGCTGCCCGGTAACACCCATCCCACTTTGTACGTTCCTTTTTCCTGTAGTTTCGGCTTCATCGTCTTCAATAGGTACAGCATCCTCTCCAAGATCTGTATATACCTTCAGTTGTACTTCTCTTTTTGGAAACTTTGGCTGAGCTTTCTCGACAGGTAGTACTCTCCCGTTCTCCGCTAGCTTCCTAGCCACAGCAAGCTTTCGCTGTTTCTTCGACGTAAAAAATTCAAGATCTTCATCACTGTCGTGACCACGTCGCCGCTTCTTGACACTATCCGTGGCTTCTTGTGGGATTAGATCAGAAAATGCCATATTGCTGTTTATTGGAGTATTTGGCTGAGGGGACTTGTTTAGATCGCCATCAAAGTCTGGGGGGTAGAAAAGAATTCTGTCCGCACCACTGCCCTGTTGATAATAACCAATACCCATCATCCGATTCTGACCAACATGTGAAGGGTCTGGGTATGATTCCGCGGCTGGCATCATTGGGGCTTCAGGAGCAGTCATCGGTTCTTCTAAAACAGCTACAGGACTTTGAGCTTCTGGGGCCGTCATTGGCGCTTCTGGAGCAAGCAGGCGTGATGGGTAATTTGCAGCGCTCTGGTGATTATAAGAATCGTATTCATCCATATCGTAATGTGCATCCATCATCCAAGCATTTTGTCCTTGATATGCCTCCTCTGCGTTGGCTTGATCCTGGGCGTTGTCGTTGCCTTGTCCGTTCATGTGATCATAGGGGTCGTCGTAATGGCCATTCTGTTCGGAGAATGAATTGGATACTGGACCAAAAGCATCACGGAGTGCTGGATCAATTTCATCCATACTAGCCAGTGCGGGGTCTATGCCATTCATGTTGGTCATATCGTCAATCCCGTCATGATTCTCGGCCGAGGGAGCTCCAATGAAAGGGTCTTGGGCGCCATCGTCCATATAGCTTTCGTTAACTGTATCCACTCGAGCTTTGTCAGCCTCAGCCTTCTCCTTTAATTTCAACATTCTTTGAGATTCTTTGGGGTTGTCGTCGCCCTCCGCTCGTAGCCAAGAGAGGTTTGTCTTGGAAAAATCGACCAGACTTTCAACGCTCCTAAAATCCGCAACGAGTTTTGTGTCGTGGCCCAGCAATGTTCCTTTCGGAGCATATGGTTTTTGTGTACCAGATTTCCTGCATTTTCCACACGAGCAAATCTTCAAACACTTTGGACAGCTCCATTCTTTATCCTCCATCACGGTCTGTGGCATCAAATCGAATGCGCGCCAAAGTACACCGTAACAGTAGGCATTTTTGCAAGTAGTGCAAAAGGCCAATTTCCATTTCCACTCGTGGTGAAAGCAAATGTGGCATGAATGGGTTTTGTTCTTTTGAGCAATAACCTTACGCTTGGTAAATTTACTTCTCTTTTTATTTTTTGGTCGTCCTTCATCATCAACCTCAGGCTCAACATCCGACAGTCCTGGAGAGGGCTCCCGAATTGTTGGGTTTTTGATATCGTTCCAAGGTCTGGCTGCCAACTGCTCTTGGCAGACTTCAGCAATTGGCTTTCTACCATAACGTTTCCTAGCTGTGTCGAGTGGCTGTGGAGATCTCTGAACATCGAAAAATCCATCCGCTTGGACTACGATATTTCGCCATTTCTCATAGTTTTGCACTAACTGGTCCCAGTTCCATTGCTTAACCCACGTGAGATTAGAAATACAAGCACATGAACGACCCATGGCGTAACAGTCCATACATATGTCGTATGTATCTTCCTCGCCGTTGGGTCCATACTCGATGCATGACTTGCAAGTGAGAAATCGATTGAAAATATTGCATCTACAGTATGAGCATGTGACATTGGAGTCGTAAGGAAGCATCTCCACGCTTTCTTCTTGTCGTTTGGGAGAAAACATCTCGCTGACCAATATCTCTCCATAAAGAAGAAACAATCGCTTGAAGTCATCCAGAACTTGCTTTATACGACCATATTTCCACATTTTCGGCTCAATGGTGTCTCGTTGTAGCAAATCGTAATACTTTACAAGCGTGTAGTAGATGATTGCCTTGTTTTTGTATTGCTCATCTCGGCACACCATTATTGCACGTGGAAGAGCTTCGTGTATGGCTAGTTCGAGGGTGTCCACAGTGGTTCTATTCCAGGCAACCTTCATAGTTCGAGTACCACGATTCCAGACTTGGTGGGGGGCTAGCGGCGGGATCAGAATCAGGTCACCAACTCTCTGTTCAACAACCCAGACGTTGAACGGCGCCCTCTTCCATGCATTTAGCTGTGCAAAATGCTTCTCAACTTCAATATCATGTCCAAGCATGGACAAGAAATATTCGGAAACTACCTCGCGTTCTTTCGTTTCCGTCATAAACCAGATCGAGCTGCCAGCTTTTTCTCCAAAGCCATCCTCTGAAGCTTCGACCATAATATTCTGCCCAAGACTAGCGCACATTTCTCGATGGGCTGGTGTGTAGGTTCCTTCATGGCCAATATAGCACATCATATTTTGCGCGCGCATTTCAGGTGGAAGGCTGCTCATCAGATCCCCGGCAGGCGCAACACCTTTTCCATATCGCATCTGACCGTACTCGTTTGGCTCACGGATTGCACCATCCCCCCCGGTCCTCGATTCAATACACTCGTTGAGGTAATAGACCGATTCAGGGATTGTTTTCTGTAAATGGTTGGCCCATTCATTGGGACAGTCGATATCTTTTAAATATAACCGTTGTCTCTTGGGATCGCGGTAGTTGGAAGGAGAGAACTGGTCCGTAAGTTGCTTCATATTTCGCAGGTAATGTCCCATGCTCATTGGTATATCAACTGCATTTTGAATGTCGCGAACTCGCTCAGCTGTGAATAACCAACGTTAGTAGGGGTTGAAACACATCACCCTGGGAGTACTTCACGTTTTGTGCCTAGATTTGACTCGAGCCATGTTCGACCAAATAAATCCGGGGGCAAAGCGCTTCCATAATCCTCAATAATTAGAGGCTTGCCGCTCTGAATGACCAGCGCAACAACCAAGGCCTCGAAACTCTGGATGGTATGCAACTTTAATTGTTCCACCGACAGCCTTGTTACATAGTCGAAATTGGGAGTAACATCTACCAAGGCGGCAAGATCGAAGTCGGGCGGTATAGGCACAAATTGCGCTTGGGGATGCGATTGGGGTGCCATTGTGGTGGCGGAAGGGAAAGATCGAAGTGTGGTGTTTTAGAAAGAGCGGCCGATCGTGTAAGACATCTGTTGGTCCTGCGCATGGCACTAATGGCGCATAGAATGAGCAGACAGATTCCGATGTGTATATGTATGCGGAATCCAGCGCAGTTGGTGTTGTGGTGAGGAGATGGTGGGATCGAACAGCATCCGCGCAAGCAAGAAGATTAGGTGAGTGCGGATGGGGTTGGAAGTGGGATCGCGTGAATGCGCGTTTCCTGTCACAGCCATTGGAAAGGAGGGGGACTCATGAAGCATATAGAAGAAAAGATCGGAGGGGGTATAAGGGGGGTATAAGGGGGCTTACAAGTGACAGCGGAGACCGCACAAGTACCTGTCTGGGTCGAGAACCACGAGGCAATGCTGAGAGGAGATGAAGACGTGAGGATATGAAGTCTTCTATTGGATAAGCCCAAACCGACGGGACCTGACGAGTTCACAGCAGCAGCTCAGCCTGACGCTGTGACCAGCCAAGAGTCACGTGGATCTAACAATGGTGAGGTCCACGTGGATCGCGATCGGGTCGGGTGGACCCAGGCAGTCAGGGACGGCCGGGGGATTTGACGACAGGCCCGGTCAGTGGACACTCGGTAACACCAAAAAGGCTCAACCTCAAAAAGGAGTAGAAAAGCCTCTCGGTCGTTACTTGGGGTGCTCAGAAGAGAGAGACCCGGGTGAGGTGGGGACGGTGAGTCTATTTCTGATATTTCTGCGTTTGAACTTTGCCAGTCCTTCAATTGGTTTCCCCTCGTTTGCTCTGGTACAACCAGACTTCCAGCTGGCTTGCATGCCGACGCTCACCTATCTCTGCATTATCTGTGGGTCTTTTGGCCCAATTGATGCTGACCTCTCACGACTCAGCATTGGTTCTATCAATAATGCTTCCTGCCAGTTTTTTCTGGAGCGTGTGGCTGGGTATGGGTATAGCGAAATCAGCTTTTGGCCCTTTTTGCTTCATTTTTATTTCATGGGACGATTGGCTAACATAAATATAGAGTTGTATCAAACGAGAAAAAGGCGCAATGTCTACCTTTGCGTTACTCTCTCTACCTAGCAGTTGTCGGAGTGTTTTAGCACGTAACTCGGGTACACTCCCTCATCTGTATAGAAGAGCTAGGACTCGTACACCAAATCTCCTCGCAAATACCAATATACGGCAACAAAAACTTGCCTATCCTCTCAAATGTCAAAAATCCATACACCATTCAGCCATCAGAGCAATTTCCACCACCATTCAAAATCCAGAAACCATGAATTCTACCACATCAAGCCAGGTTCTGACGCCCTACACACCACCAACGACCGGTGTGATCTCTATCCTCCCTTCATCATGGGTCCCTTATGCTGAGCTCGCCAGACTCAACAGTCAGACTGGAACCCATTATCTCTTTTTCCCCTGTCTCTTCTCCACACTTCTTGCTGCCCCCCTCGCCGTTCCGATGGCCTCCCCGCTTTCGGTGCTGGGAACATCTCTTCTCTTCTTCAGCGGTGCTCTCATCATGCGAGGAGCAGGCTGCTCAATCAACGATCTCTGGGACAGAAATCTCGACCCCCATGTCACACGAACAAGGCATCGACCCATTGCTCGCGGGGCACTAACGCCCTTCAAAGCATTAGCTTTCACTGGAGCACAGCTTCTTACCGGTCTTGGTATCCTCCTCCAGTTCCCAACTTCCTGTCTCTTTTACGGAATTCCGAGTTTACTTTTCGTCGCGACGTATCCCCTCGCCAAAAGAGTGACGCATTATCCACAGTTCGTATTAGGAATTACTTTTTCCTGGGGTGCTATCATGGGATTTCCCGCTCTCGGTGTGGACATGATGCAAAATTCTGCGGCGTTGGCGGCTGGTTTTTTCCTCTACACATCTAATATTGCTTGGACAGTTTTGTATGACATGATTTACGCGCACATGGATATCAAAGACGATGCCAAAGCTGGAATCAAAAGTATTGCCTTGAGACACGATTTACAAACCAAGCAAATTCTGAGCGGTTTGGCTGTAACTCAAGTTGGTTTGTTAGCAGCGGCTGGAGTTACAGCTGGTGCAGGACCTACTTTTTTTGTTGGAGGCTGTGGTGGTGCTGCTATCACGTTAGCTGTCATGATTAAGAAGGTTAATCTCAAAGATGTCAAGAATTGTTGGTGGTGGTTTGTTAATGGGTGTCTACTCACTGGAGGTGTGATCTCTACGGGGTTAGGCCTGGATTACATCATGAGGTATACAGCTTGGGAGCAGAGGTTGAGCGAAGAAAAGCAGGCGGTTTGAGTATGAAGAGTTGCAAGATATGTGTCTTAATTAGCATGTACCAAAAGGTTTCGAGATCTGCTAAATTTTGAAAGCAGCAAACACCATTGCGTTAGTTTCTCCCCTTGAGGTCGTTAGCAGCATCGCATTCTCCAACTTCTCTGAACATGTCGTGGGACCTTTCATGGGAATGCGAGTTTGAGTACGGGCTTGAATCTCAACGAGACCTAGTGCTTACAGACTTTTGACCCAGTAGTCCCGTCTATCTTTGCTCCTAAAATTGGGTTTCCTCCCAAGAAGAATCGCCACCCCTAAAGCAGGAAGACACTATCCAACAGTTCAACTAAAGTTTCTGTTTCTCTCAGCTTTTGGAAGTGAAAAGTTGTTGCTGAAAAAAAAAATAGGAGTAGTGAGAAACTAGCGAGCAAGCCCTTTTACGTAACACCTCCAAGTTTAGTCAAAAGCCCACTGTGAGACTGTACGTGATCTAGTCTCAAAAGTCTTCGAGGCAAAATCTTTGACATAATTTACATGATCACCATCTATTATTAGTCACAGATTGACGACCTCACATGTGAATTACAACAAAAAAGCAGGAACCACTATCAATGTAACCTTCAGTCGTTTGAGTGACCCATCAGAAATCGAAACTCTGGAGTCTTCGATTGACTGCTTTCCCAAACCTTCAAAAACTTGACGTAACTCGTTGAAAGAAGACGACGTGAGAATTGTCCATCACATGAATATACACATCCCACCAACCCTCTCCGCTCCCAAATCTCAAGCCAAGACCCGAAACTTCTGTGCCTCTCAGCCGCACCTCACAGCCCCCTCATCTCAGTGGATGATAGAGTACGTGATGCGCGAGTCCGCGACCGTGTTCTCCTTAATTGTTGTCGCGAGCAAGACTTCTGTCACAGATCAAATTGCTCTTTAACTCCTCTGCTGCCATTCTGGCTTTCCATTCCTTCATCACAACTTCGCAACGAATTACACAGTACACCAAGAAAACCAACAACATGCTCCACCGCAACGTCCGAGGTGGCCAGCCTTCTCCATACCCACGATGGCCATTCCATGGTCTAAGAGCTGCTCAATTGTTCTCTTCCATCACTGTTAGCAGTATAATGACCTATTTTATGCATTTTCTACGTACGTATCCTCCCTCCCCTTACCCACCTAGAAACTCAAAACTCGAAACAGAGAGCTCGTGCAGATGAAATATATCGGCTAACGAATAAAACACAGACGCTGCAAAATTCCAAATCCCATGGACATTCATCGTTCTCCTCGCTGTCTCGGTAGCGACCGTCATCTCCCTCGCCATCACGATTTTCCTGTATAATTTCCGCTTCCTGTCGCCGAGGTATAATATGCTTACCAATGGTGCGATATCTTGTGAGTTCTACCAGTATAGTGCAAGTTTCTGAAAAAGAATAAAAAAGGAAGTGAAGCTGATTGACGCTAAATAGTGGGCTGGGCGATGGGCTTTGGAATGCTCTCCTGGTCGATTAGCACCTCGAATGTTTTGGGCAAGACGTGCTCGAAGAAGGTGTGGAATGATAGCGATGCTGCGGTTAGTGTTTGTAGAGACTATAAGGCGCTATGGGCTATGACGCTTATTGGAACGTGAGGAGCCCTTGATCCACTTCTCCTTTTCCTGCTCCTTCTTCATTAGACTAACTAACAAATAACCGAAAACAGAATCGCAACCCTCGCGGCCCTCGCTCTAGATATAAGAACATGGAACAAGACCTACAGTCGTGGAAAATACGCGTTGCCGGAGGATGATAAGGAAGCGAGGAAGTTGAAGGATTTATCGATGGCTACGGGTAGTGAACGGAAATATGAAACGCTGAGGAAACCGGGAACGGCTGTGAACTCAGCGGGTTCTGTGATGCCTTTTCAGCATGAGGAGATGGATATTGGGTATCATACTGGTTATGGACAGGAGGTTGAGCCACATGGTCCGTTGATGAGATAGTGGGATTGAGGAGTTTTTGAAGGATTATGTGATGGTAGAGGAAGGAAGAATGGGATATAAGATGCGAAAATATGAGGTTGGTGGGAGATAATTCAGGAGGTAGGAGATCTGTACTGGGAAATATTTTGTTTCTGTTTGGAATGGGGCGTGAGGATATGCTGGGCTATTTGTCAATTTTGCTGAAGGATTAAGTATAAAGCTTTGTAGTGTAATCTGTGAATTCTATAAGTTCCGCATACAAGCAATGGACTCCTTAGTATTGACAATTTGGGGGCATCTTAGAATCTGACACAATCCACAAACCCAATTTCTCAATCCGTGAAATCTTAGTCTGCCCAGTTAATTGGGGGCTTAAGATTCGATTCAAACCCTTGGTAGTACATTCAAATTCTCAAAAGTCTGACCTTGAACATCGTGGAAGCTCTTTTTGGAACCCCAGGCGTAAGCGAGCGATCGTTCGTTTATAGTAAGGTGTTGTATTGAGAGGCTGGTGTAAGATCTTTTCGGAACACTGCGCGTAAGCGAGCGATCGTACATTTATATTAAGATGTTGTATTGAGAGGTTGGTGTAAGCTCTGCGCTTTTTGATGTATGTACTGTATATATTGGATCCTGTCAGCCTCATCTCCTACAGTATTGTAAATAAAAAGGAATTGTTGTCAGGAATATGTTGACCAGTGGTTTCCACCGCACGGAACCTGCATATAACGGAACAGGAGTGTACAACAAAGGAGGGGCATATACCAGGGCCATATAAGCCAGGCTCCTGCCCACAGTACGTACTTAGCTCCCCATTCATCCAAATACAACTCTTCTGGCACCCTGGCCTTCCATTTTCCTAGCAACAGGAATCTTACTGTACAATTTTAGTAAGGTGGAATTGGTATTATACCGGGAAATAATCCAGTTTTGTCCATGAAGGTATGTGGACCATGTTGGAGGTAGTAAGAATTGAATGAGGTATGGGCCTACTTACTCTATGAGTTTCTGCGATAATTGGTATGTCAGTTGCGATTGGGTCGAGTTTTTTCCTTGTTACTTATACTTGCTTCGTAAGGGCCTCGAGCTCGAATATGAGGAGTTAATTATATGTTTGGAGGGAAACAAACTGGGAGCGACTGTTGTGGAAATTTGTGAGTAGATGGGAAGTGAGGAAAAGAGGACAAGTTCGTGGTCTACTACGAGTAGTTTTCATTTATGTTTGCCACGCATTATTCGTATACATGGAAAACAACGAGACAAGCTGCTCGAAAAACAATTGCAGGATGAAGAAGGAATCAGAATCAACGGGACCGACGTTTGAGGATATTTTAGGAAATATATGGGTGCGGCGGGGGGATAGAGATCCCGAAGCATCCAAACACTGTCCCAATTTGGACTCAGCATCAAACGACAACTCCAATTCCCCAAACATAAAGAGTTGGATAAACAATGATTTGTCAAAGTGGATGAGCGCACTCGCAGATCATCGAACGGGAGGAGAAGGCCCGTTTCCCTACGACAGGAGGAAGATACGACAAAGACAGCGTTCAAAAAAGCTTCTATGCAAGCCACGGAACAAACCGATATTGTGTTCAAGAAGGAAGCAAAACCACGCCTCGCCAGTACGTCAGCAAGATTGATCACCTCAATCGAATGCCGAGGTGCTAAGTCTTGTAAGATGCGGGGAACCTTACTGTATACAAGCTGTAAGGTTGTAATGGCTGTCCGGTCTGTCCGATACATGGATGGCAACTGCAGGTAATGAATGCTGTGCCATCTTTTCTTCCAGATCAATCGAAGTACAATGAGACGACGCGGAGTTAAAGCGTACAGATTGCCAAGCAATCATGGAGCATATCTCGTAAAATAAGATCGGTCTGGAAGGATCTATTCCCTTGAGGTGGCTGTATGTTGTTTAATGCACGTACGGTAGAGGCGTCTGAAGTTTCATGCAGTCCCTTACTGCAAGGTCCAAGGAGTTCAAACGAATCTCGCGAGATCTGTACTTCTCTGGGTGTTATCATGGCCAGAAGTTTTGTCTCTGGAACGAAGGATGTTGATGCACAAAGGGGAAACGATGCTTCTTTTCAAGAGATCTGTGCTAAGCATCTTCTTGTAGAACGTTAATTGATGGACGAATATATCCCTTCCAGAATATGGAGGTACCAAAAAAACGTGCACGCAAAGTGGATATAAGTGGATGCGATGACTAGGTCAAAGTAAAGCTTGAATGGCTGAGACAACGGTTAGAAACGCGGCTTGGTTAGCTAAAAAACTTTGTTTTATAGAGAAAAAGTCGTCAAAGTAAACATTTTACTCCAATTTAGAGTGCACGTTTTTTGAGTCCCTCTATACTCTGGAAGAAATATATCCCGTATACCTTCTAGGTAAATGGGATTGCGATGTACCTCCATCTTATCTAAGAATTGGATTTGAGCTAGCTTCTCGTTGTTTAGATGTATTGCCAGTCAAATAAAGCGGAGTACGAGTAACGTTTCGACCTAAATTTCCACGTGTGATAAATGATAGATCTACGTAACTATGCAGAAACCACGTGGCAGAAATAGACGGTGAATTCGGTAACGTCTGCGTTAGGAAGGTATTGGGGCATAAATACTCCATCAGAGCGGCGGAGTATTTATCTCCCTTGCCGGGACGAGAATGTGAACGAAAATATTTGGTTTGTCTCATCGTGATGTTTATGCAAGGGGAAGTATGTCAATGGACTACCTTCTTGAGTAGGAATACTGTAAGTCTTACAGTGCCAGAGGCGAGGTTAAGGAATATTGAAATTGCAAAGCATGAGCCTCAAATGAAGTAATCAATACTTACAGGAATCGTCTATCTTTTACGAGTCAAAGGCCGGGAACGTATCCTGCCTTCAATAGGTTGAAAGCCACTGGAGGATGAGGCTATTCCGGAGGTAGCGAAATCTCGGGACGGGCCGAACATTGTAGGACGGAAACACCTACGTACACTTACGGCGTTTTACTATACTACTAATTTTGGAGCTACATACGGCCGTTTTCCCATATTCGCTTTGCAGTCGTGGGGTAATATGCAGCTCAACGGTACTTCGGCCAGTAGAGATCGCTTAGTTGCCAGGTCATACGTTAAAAAGCAGCAATACGGCACAGTACCGGAGATGTTTCTTCACGGGGTCGGAAACTTCCAATCCGAGTCAAATACGATCATTGCATTTAGGCAATTTTGGTGTTGAATGATAAGCTTACAAAATTGGAATGGCATCAGGATTAAGCATCAGAATGTAGCAAAGCAAGACAGGTGATGTAAAAACCTTCAACCTACTACACTCTTGTTTGGCTAGAAATGACTTCACATTCGCGGGCTTTCGGTTTGAAATTGCCCTCTCCGGATTCGTCATTGCAGATTGGCCTGGATCTGATAATACTTACAGAAAGAACGGATCCCCCGAGGCAATATGATTCGCTCGCATTTTGTATGATGAATTAACGTTTCCCGAGGTGCCTTTTTGACTACTCGGAGCTTTCTCGAAGCTGCATGACCTCCTAGGCAATTCGGGCCTAATCTGCTTTCAAGGGATGTTTTTGACCCTAAAATGAGGCTTGACGCAACAATGAGGCACCCCTTATCATTCATTTGTGTTCCTCGGTTTTCAGCAAGGGGCACGATGCACCCTCGAAATGTATCAAAAACCTTAATTAAGCAGGTATTTTTTGTCTTGGCGTAGGGATGCAGAGGATGGAGGGCAAGCAGAGGCTGTGCGGGAAAATGAAGACGAATATTAAGCGAAGTTTCAGGGGGCTTGAATTGAATAATTTATGAGCTTAAAAAAACACAAACAATGGGAATTGCCGAGGTCCACGATCCTTCTAGCAGCCTACTCGAGTATTCATTTTGTTCTATCAGCTAAAATTCTTACATAAACATTCACGCGCCACATACTCTTTTGATTCGCTAGGTCGGTACCGCTAATCCAGAAGGGAAATAGATGCGCCACAAATCAAGATCCCCCCTATCCACTTACCATTTAAGCGCGTATCACAACAGGTAGGCAAACGCCACTTTGCTATGCTAGCAGTTGTTGTCAGCACATCAAACGGGTGTTTTGTGGGGTTTGTTTCCGTATGCGCTTGTGTTTAGTGCCGCAAGCAATCTTTGTAAACTTGAGCCGCCGGGATTGCCGCCATGATGTCTCTCGTACATGAGCCTTCGCGGCTAGTACCCTGAAGGTGGTAGTTGCTTTGGTCCAAGGCTGTATCGGGCTTTATGGAAGCCTAAAATGGGCGTAAATTGCGAGGCCCCAGTATTCTTGGTGAAATTTCCGGAAGTGTTCTTCGACATTTGCAGGTGGAGAACGAAGCTGCATAGTATTGAACCCTCTTTGTAATGATCTATCTGACATGAGTGCGAAACAACGAGAAGTTTGGAGTTTGCAGTCAAAATTATATGGAAGAACTTAGGCCAAGCCGTAGCGGGGAAGGAGTGGGGCAAACGATGATGGAGAACCTGGAAAGGCGTAAACTGTTGGCCCACATAAAATCATCTTGACGACTAGGTATCAGCGTTTCCTATGTACCGATTTGAAAGCACTGGAAGGCGGTGCAACGTTCATGAGTACAAGCACCCCCGTCGCAAGGCATACTACCATTCTTAAATCTTACCCTTGCCATTGCAACATCTCTTTGCTATATATCATGGCAAGTGTCTTTCTTGGACTACATGCCAAGTATAACCCAGAACAACTGACACCATGAAACCCAAGTCAGGTAACCGATTCAGAGTTTGTGGGACACCTTCGAAAACAGGATGTATCACTTGCAAGTAAGTGGACTTCCGCCGACTGCTGGGACCATCTATGGACTGTGCGATTATCGTTCTATGTCTTCGAGAGCGCTAACAGGCCAACTAGAATACGCCGTGTAAAATGTGGTGAAGAACACCCGTTTTGCAAAAGATGTACTTCGACGGGGCGAAAGTGCGATGGTTATGCCCCCCAAAAAGTTCCCGACCCATCTTCCCGAAAGGCGTCATCCATGCCTCCTTCGCGAAATCACAGAGACGCATCCTCAAGCATAGCTGAAGATCCTATGGAGCAACATCTCCTGTATCTATTTCGAACTGTCACTGCACCAAAACTATCTGGTTACTTTTCAGCCGACTTCTGGCAGAGGAGGATCTTCCACGCGAGCACAGTTGAGCCTTCTGTCCAGCATGCTGTTATTGCAATAGCTGCGATACACCAAGATTATGTCAACTGGCAAAGGAGGAAGATTTCGGATCCATCGATGCAAGCGTTTGCATTTCGACAATATATTAAGGCAATTAGCTTTTTACATATCTTGATGTCAACCCAATCTCAACAGCTAGATATGACATTGATTGCGTGCATTTGCTTTATCACCTTCGACTGTCTACTCGGAAATCAGTAAGTACCGTAGATACGTAAATGAGAAATGGACAAGATCTAATGTGGAATAGCGAGTCAGCAATTATACACCTTCAAGCTGGATTAAAAATACTGGAAGATATTAGGTCGAGGAAGTCTCAGCATCACGATTCGACGATAGAACAACAATGGGAAGCTGAATTCGCTCCTCTATTGCTATCTCTAGGCACGCAAGCCGCATCATTTGTGAATCCAAACCACCAAGTATATAGATCAGCTCTTTGGATATCATTACGCAAAGCAGCTATCCATAATCGAAGCAACAGCTTCCGCTCTATCGATGAAGCACGCCACGCTCTAGATACTTTAGCGGCAGATATAACAGTGGAACGAAAATCTTGCGCAACCCAATTCCCCGATCTCCTTTCCCTCAACACGAGGAGGTTCAGTAGCGCAACACAATTGAATGCAATTCGATATTGGAAAAGGGGCCTCGATAACCTTTTGGTTGACACAGCTACAAGTGATCCTGATACGATGAGCAGAACCAATCTTGGAGCTTCGTTACTCAAACTCCACGCTTTAGTATATTCTATTGTCATCGATACATCTGCGGCGAGCGAAGAGAGGTTCGAAGAGGTACTTGCACATTGCGAATATCTCATCAATTCACGATCGATTGATGAAAATTTAAATTTCACACCCGATATGGGCATTATCTCACCTCTATTCTTCACGATTCTACGCTCACATACAATATCAATTCAACGACGGGCGATGGATTTGCTTTCCCAGGCAGAAGGACGGGAAGGAATGTGGGATACACAGGATGCGCTTCGCATCGCAAAGGGTGCTTTAGAAGCAGCGGGTCACACGGAATGGGAGGATTACGGATCGGTGACTGCTACTTCAGTACCTCAATCAGAGAGCAGACCTCGAGCTGGCGTCATGGATCGAATGATATGGCCATTCGGCGAGAGATGGGAGATATCTGTATCTTCTGCTCACTCAACTCCACAATTAGAGTATTCTTTGCCATTTTCTTCGAATCAAAATACACCACATTCAGCCACCGAGCCGACATTTTCATCACATCATATACCACCTCAATTGAAAACAGATTCTGGCTTTGGTTCCTCCACCGGTAGCGTACCTCACATGGGCAACGAATCAATGTTCCCTTCCATGCTTCATCCCACTTACGACTGGCCATGCTTTGAATAACGATTTATGTATGGGTTCGTTTCGCATTATTTGTAGAATAGCTTCCAGTGTTATAAGGTTAGAAGTGGTGTTAGGAGTAGTATAATAGTCGAGATACCAATTTATGAAATGATTTCATTTGAATCCAGAACTTTAGTTTGCTTCTGAAGTTGCGGATGCCACCTGGAGCCATCACTAGGTGGCTGAACTCTTAGCGCCAAAGGTTCCGTGCTAGTGAGGCCCAAAGTTGCTTCTCACGTGGCACTTTCTGTGTTATACTCTTCAGGCCTGTCTATTTATGATATGAATTCCTGAGAAATGGGTTTGTCAAATTGGGGAGATCTTGTAGTCAAGGTGTGAAGTCGGGCAGTCGGGCATTGATAACATTATATTTACCATGCTATAGGTTTTCCACTCATTACCTAAGTCCGTATCAATTATAATGTAATATATATTCCGATAGAGGACAACCACGTTTAAACCATACCCAGCGATTGTTTGACCGAACTATATCACATCCAAAACCATATATACAAGCTAGTTGGTAAAAGATATTAGATATGGGGCCAACTCAATCTTTTGTATTTGAGACTTGAACCTCTCAGTTTGTACAATAAGGGATCAACTCCATAATTGTTGAGTAACGTGCAATTTACGCTCTCCAAAAATTCGCAAATTATGCCATCTGCTACGGAAATTCTGGGCAACCCATCAGCCTTTTTACTTATTGAGGCTACCGGATCTAATACCGCCAGAATCGAATCAAATACTTTGTTACCTGCAGGCCAATAGATCCAGAAATTGAAGAAAATAACGAGCGAGTTATGAAACTGGCACTGAAAGACGTGCGTGCTGCCTGAATGGAAGAGATTCTTCTGGAATGGTCGTCAACTAAAAGACAAAGATTTTGAAGAGAACCTTGCGCGTCAAAATTTCTCAATATTCCTTGGTCTCATTAGATGATTGACACAGAAAGAAATGGTACCCCTTCACCTGGATAGTGGTTTCAACCCTTAAAAGCCCATGCTTGAAACGTTTCCTCTGTATTCTCCACACATTACCAAGCCAGATATCCCTTGAAATTTGAGACCAGACTTTGACTATACAAAGCTTCCGACTTTATGATAATCGCCCATTAACAGCAGAGCCAAACCTGGATTTCTTACGCTACGACTCCGGAGGTTTCAATACATAGGGCACCACAACTAATCTAACTATATCATTCACTCTGTGTCTTGTTCATCACAAAGCCCATGCAAACCTACTCCACAATACACGTGGCTTTTCGTTCTGGCTCTTGATCGCTCCTTGGTGATAATTCATTACACCCTATACACCAAGATACGGCCTTTGTGTTTTCAACTACCAATTTCTACGCTGCCTAAAATGAGTGTGGTACCCATTGTCCCAGTATGTCCGTAAGATCCCTAAGCCTACGAGTCTTGTGATTGACCAATAGCTTGAGGTGGGTCGCCAACATATCCACTCACGAGACAGATGGCATATTCGGAGGCTTCCAGTGAATCTGGAGAATCCTTTGAGACTTCATGAATCATGAAGTTTTGGAAATTTGTGATTGGACCAAATAAGCAAGACATGTAATAGGAATTGAGATGAACTACATCTGAAATGAAACTCTTTCGTTATATGTCTGGTGATATTTTTGACTCAACCATAAATCTATGTGAATCACGGTATGCTAATACACATGTGGTGGGGTTTATTGACAAAGCACTACAAGAAGTGATAGGAATTTAATTCCTTTTATATCCTTGGAGTATCTTAAATATATTTGATACCGCAATAAAGAAACTTACAACGAGTGTCACAAAACGTTCCAATGTTTAGGGAGACTGACTATTCACTATACAAAACTGTTTTATATCTACAAAAGCCCTTTGAAAAACCTAGAAATATGACTGGAAGATCTTATTGCCGCGGATTTTTGAGTAATATGAGTCTTTTCTCCTGATTTTTCAGTGGATAGGCAGAACAGTAAGATTCAGAGACCATGAGATAGACCCTAAGCCGCCCCTTAGTCCTAGTGCGTCACAACTATGAAATCTCTGGGCAGAATTGCTATGACTAAACATGATTCACAGCTTCACTTATAGGGCGGAATTTTCCGAAATTATGTATAGCTCTAAATGTGTACTACAAACTACGTTCCTTCTATCCTCTCCGTCGGCCTTCAGTGCAACACTCACAAATAGCATATTTGGCAGGATTTATAGTGAATGAGGATGAAGGCTTAGTAAGCGTATGGTGGGATATATCCTACCCCGCTACTACCACATGCCTTCAACACCACCACCAATATCCACCATATCGTCAGCTACACTTTTGTGAGCTCTCCTCTTTTAAGCTAGATCCTCAACTACCGACGTACTCTACGAACTAGCGTCGGCATAGCAGATGTGAGTCGGAATGACAGATGGATAGTCTAGGTTCGCTAGGCAAGGAGGGCTCTCTGGGTGTGGTTTTGGCCTAAAAAGAGGTTTCCCACGCTTGTTACACGAATGTGAGAGGGGTGGATATTTGCAGGGCAGGCGCTGGATACAGGCGGTACAGATCAGACGGTAGATATGCCTACTGGATAGGAGAGTTTCATAAGGATAGTCCTTCCTTTTCTCCTTTTTCGTCTTATTCTTGGTTTTCCCCTTTCCCTTTTCCCCTTGTTTTGTTTTGTGGCTGCTTCCTTTCGCGCTGCGCTGCTCAATGCGGTCGAGGGTGCTTATTCTTCGCTTTCCACTATATATGTGGGCGAATTATAAGCACTTGAAGCTAGCCAGTGTTGCCAATAGGTGGTTAACTATTAATTTTGAAGCAAAACCAGACCAAACCAATAAGCTAGAGGCTATAAACAAACCAAACTATTAATTATTAGTAGATAACCAGTGGTTTATAGTTACCAATGGTTATTTATTGGTAACTACTAGTTAACTACGGTACGCGTTAATAAAAGTGGGTTTTGTAAAGTTATAAATTAAAAAGAAGCTATTTACACGTCCGATCCCTGTAATCTAAAGTTATCTTTCTTTTGTAGTAGTATACTTAAAAACTTAAAGTAATCTCCTAATAAAATATATTCTATAGGCGTCGTACCTACTTACGTAGCCACACCTAACGTAACTTTATTAAAGCTGTATATTACGTGTATACTAATTAAGTATAATGACTAAGCAAAAACCTAGGGCCCTAGTAGGCCTAAAACACAATCCCAGGAATACTCGCCTATCAAATACTACTACCTATCACGTGTATAATAACTAAGCACAAAACCATTAAGAACCATGGTTAACTATTAATTTACGATCCCTTATAACCAAACCACTATATTAAATGGTTATACTAAAATCTTATAACAAAACCACCAACAAGCTATTGGAATGGTTAAATAATTAACTACCCATTGGTAACACTGAAGCTAGCCAGCAATACAAAAGAAAACCAACAATAAGCCTCATTTGATATAAAGTGTACCGACTGACGAGTGAACATATTAAAGCATTTATTAGAACACAACTCTGATTCACAAGCAGCTGTTAAGGCTTTTTGCACAAAATCAAGCAGTATGAACTTGAACTCTGCGTTGGTCTTCGCCTTGGCGCTTTGTTTCTCTCTTGTTCCAATCACAATGACGTCTGCTATCCCTTCTTCCATGACGAACCACAAAACCACCCAATTTACAAAGGTAAACGATTACTATGTATACAATCATAAGATCTATAAAGCAGTTTACTGACGCATGATTAGCGTAACAAGAATGGTGTACACTGTTGCTAGGACCCCGACATGTAAGCACTGAAATCACTCTTCATTCGTCTTTTGTCATTTTGTTTCTTCTACAATCTGGTACTTCCAGATCATTCTCACATCAAATCCAAATTTTAGCTAAATTGCCTCCTCATTCAGGCTGTTTCATCGCTGGGCGTTTGCTTTGAGAAGCAACGTAAAAAACGCCATAAATGAGGTTAAAAAGAATCCCAAATAGCGGACTCCATTGATACAGATTCACAGCGATTGCGGTGCACCGTTAGTATTTAAGGATGTTGTCTTATACCTTTGCAATGATGAAAGTAGTCTCTTGAAGTCAAGACCTTGATCTAGAAAGCTAACATAATTGACAGAATGATTATGATATCAAGCCAGACATGCAATATTTGATCACATACGTAGAGGATGTTGTTGAACAGTGTACCACTCCCGACTTTGTATGTACGCCTTGGGCTAGTAAAACTGCTATTATGAGTGGTTAAACTCCTCCTTTTTTATCTTTTGGCTTGAAAATATGGAGGGCTAATGTTTATAGTACGTTTGTGGACACGCCTTTGATACTGATGCAAGTCTTCTTTCTAAGTTGTTCTCGTTGTGTTCACTAATTCAATTCCTTACAGCATTACAACATTATTGTCAAATATGGTAAGGGACATTAAGGCTAGCTAATGTGGTACTTTAGGTTAGCACATTTAGGTAGTGGCGATAATTGGTGTTTGGCTAGATTTTGGGGCGGGACTCCAATACCTTGATGCCGATGATTGTGTCTTCTCAAAACGGCAATAAAACAATTCGTATGAGTAACTGCAGGTTGAACATGCAGTTTATCTGCGAAATTTGTACCGTGAATAATTTATTCTCTAGGCTCTGCTTGATTGTATGTTTTTTGAGTACTTGTATCACGTGAATAACTATGTATTCTGCTTGGATTTGGTATATAAGGGGGCACCCCCTTTCCTCCAGTACTTCCTTCTTTCACAACAAAACAACAACCTTTGTCACCTTCCAAATACCACTTAGAAAACATCTGAACACAAAGCATTACTTGCTTTTACCATACATCGTTATAAGAAGCCTCGTCCTTCTGAACTTGACCATGGCTCGATTTAACATTTCTATCTTTGCTACATACCTTTCTCTCATTTCGATGGTTTTGTCGTCTCCTTTGCTCAAGCTTCCCATGGCTGAGACTAGGCTTTTCACAAAGGTACATTATATCCCTTCCAGAGGCCTCAGGATCCCCTGCAGAAAGTCACTGACACCATCCAAGCGAGGTTCCGAAGTACACTGCTGCTACGATGAAGACATGTAAGCAAACGTTTCTGTCACTTCCGTCGTACCCAGTCAATCGTACCTTTGCCCATGAACTCGAAGAACTGGGGGAATGCCAGCTAAATCCGCAACATTTAGGCAGTTTCACGGCTGGAAAGAAGGCCTAATAGCAGACGCAAATGCCGCTATATCTGAGTTCGAGGGCCGAGGAGGCGGTCATCAAGTTCAAAGAACACATTGTGTGACGATTCAGAAGCATGTAGACACTGTTGTTCACATTTGTAACGATGTATGGAATCACTATCTGATGGCTACCGGATTCCTCAGGGGGTATAGAGCTAATCAACCCTTTTTTATATAGAATCCTGGAGAGATCGAACCAGAATACAAAACAATGACACGCACATGAGATCATCAATGGATGTCCCCCTAGAGATGGCCCGGTAATCTTCCTCCCTTTTTATGTTCGGGTCTAAAGTTCCTGACCTTTAGCCGTATGATCCTTATTCGGAATGCTAACTCTTATGATAGACGGTATGTGGACATGCATTTGATCCTGGTGTAAGTAAAAAGAGTTCTATATATACACTAGCTCTCAAGTTTATTTCGATTAACTTTCTTACAGAAATGGAATGTCGTCATTACGAATGTGGCTACTCCCCCGGGTTGATCAGAGGTATCAATCAGCGGATGAGGGCACCGGGAAATTAGGCCCAAGGATTATATGTATTCAAACAAGTCTCCATAGATCAACTTTCAATCACAACAACTTTGAATATTTTCTGCGATTTTTCGATATTATTGCCGTGATTCTGCTAGTCAAGACATCAAAATAATATAATACAACTTTTACCCCTACTACATTTTGGCTTTATTCTTAGTCTTCATTATCTTGTATCTATTGAAGACCAGCTTCTTGCCACAACAATACCAGTCGCCCAATTTGCTTGTTGATCACTAGCCTGGTTGCTGAGTACCCACTGCATGCTCGGTGCATTTTCAAAAGTACTTGTACGGGCTCCGCTACTCTAACCCCTTATTTCCATTTAGTTATTACCCCCCCATTCTCCTGTGTTATATCCCTTACTCTGTAATACCGAGGGAACAGGTTTGATAAGGCCATTCTACTAATTTAGTTGATTTTGATTGGCGGAGTACTAAGGCCAAGCCTAATTTGGACGTTCTACCTACCGGTTGCCTCAGTATTACAGAGTAAGGAATATTCACTAAGCGAGCCACAATCCACTCCATCACACCCTTTCAACAACCCACCAACCAATCCCCTTACAAAAAAAAGACCTCCAAAAAAAACCACAAAATCCATAAAAAGACTAAAAAAAACCGCAAAAAAATCCAACTCTGATCTAAAGAGCGCAGAGGACCTAAAACCAGACGTACTGAGTTTTACATTTTTGTTTAGCTTATAAGTACTATATCTTTTACAAGGCTAGCACAGTAACCTTTGGGCGTTCCAGACCACAAGACCATTGCAGTTACCTAGGGTACCACCAACAGGTGCATAATTGGTGGATTTGGTTGAGGGTGCTTATTCTGGCTTATGCAGGTGTGTGGTTGTGGGGGTAGGGTGGGTCCTGGGTAGAACGCTGCCTAGGATTCACTGATTGGTTGATTGATTGATTAAGTTTGTGTTCTCAGCAGTGCACTTGTTTGTGTGGTATTTACCATTTCCTTTCATTGAGCCCATAGCGAGTTACGAGTAGAAATTCAAGTGGTTATTAGAGTGTGGTACTCTCGTAGTGCCATTCGTACATAAAGAATTTACGGCATAAAATGCGGTTTTTGGGCTGAAAGATTGGTTTAGTATGGCAGCACTGAGAAGTGTGAATCGAAAAGTATAGTGTTCAAATAACATCTTCCTAGACAGGGCGATGAATCCCAGATTTCAACGATGTGTTTGTTGACTTCCATTCCACTCACACTTTTTGTGCCAATTGTTGACTGACTGAAGTCATCTAATTTTGAGCTTAGTATAAAAAGCCTCTACTGTGCCTTCATTCTCTCCAAGTTACACAACGACATACAACAACGAATATATCAAACAACATCACTTACGAACAACAAGTCAAGTCTGTTACGTATTACGATAAGAAACCTTATAAACCACGATTTATCTCCGAGTCTTGTACCCATATAAACTTACAAAACTTTGAGAACCTCTGGCGATAACCATGATTCGATTCCACACCACCGTGTTGGTCATATACCTCGCTATTCTCTCGGTTGTCCTGGCGGCAGCTATTCCGTCTGCTTCGTCGGATTCCTCTACCAGCGGAGAAGCGGTACTTGTCAAGGTAAATATCGCGCTTGCTTGCACTGCAGGACTTTTCAAAAGAAAGGGCAATTAACACGAATATAGCGTGATGGAAAACCGAGACCTAAAGGTGTGAAGTGTTGCAATGATGAAGACATGTAAGCAAGGAGTTGTATATTCTCCCGCTTCCGCCCTCAATTCATCTGCCATCTTACTCATGCATTTCTAGAGCAATAGCTGACATATTTGATCTAGGAAACTCCACGTCTGGCATCCTTGGTGGACAGAAGAGGCAGTGAATGCCATAAAATCAATAAAAATAAGGGGACGCATACTTGTTAGTGGCTAAAAAGGACTGTCCATATGTCACCATAAATGGAAGTATCAAGGTCTCCGTTTGCAACGATGTCAGACTGCCGTCCCATGATTTCTAAAGGTTTCATGCAAGCTATCATGCTAACTTGGCTGCTTTATGTTAGAACGATCACCCTATCACGCCCAAATATAACCTGATAGGTACTTACGCACAAGACATTGTAGATGGTTGTAAATATTCTAAAGCACCCGACGCGGCTACATACTGAATGCGTGAGGTAAGTAGCTGTCTGGTTTTTTGCATGTAACCTTTGACGATCCTCAACACATTCCCGTTGTTGTATGACGAATAAAACAACTGCTAACAGGTACCAGCAAGTTTGTGGACAGCAATTTGATGCTGAGGGCGTAAGGACGCACCTGCTACCCAATAATGAAATTATTTCACTGACTCATGACAGCATTGGAATGTCATTGTTAACCTCCAATATGACACTATTACGAATCCAGCTTAGAACTATGTTCTCTATCTCAGATCAGTAGTCCAAACTATATCAATCCTTTGGTTATTTATTCTGGAAAGAACAACCACCGTTTCGATTCTTCCATTTCCACAACAACCCTGGTATCTCGATCTTTGCAATCTTCCATCAGGCTCTACATTTCACTGTACCGCCCCCAGCCAGCTGGCCCACTGGCCTTCTCAGACTTTTAGTTCCTCCTATTACTAGATTGATTAGAGAAAATTGACACTCAATAAATCCAAACACAGTACCTAAAACCTTTCCCATGATTCCATCAATGCTCTGTGATGACCCCTCCCAACTCAAGAACGAACCGCCTCAACCAACCTCTCCAAACCACCCCCGAAAACTTCACTCAAATTCAACAGCTTCACAATTTCCCCTCCACTTAAAACTTCACCCGCACCCACACCCTCCAAAACCCCAACAAAAGACCCCCTAATCAAACTCCCGGCCCTTGAAAAACACGCCCCAACACCCGCAATCCAAACCCAAACCTCCATCTTCTGCGCCGACACCCCCATCCCTACATCCCTTCCACATAAAGAATCTCTCATCCCCTCAAGCATCGCCCTAGACCCCGAATCACTATCCCCCAAAACAGCTTTCAAGTAAAGCAAACAAGCGAATCTCATTCCCTTCTCAATCGCCCTTTCGCCTTCCCTGCTGCTTGTCAGTTGGTACTCTAAAGCCCATAGATTATCTGTAAAAGTATCTGGGTCCAGTTTTGTCTTCGTTTTGGAAGCAAGGGAAATTGTTTTGGTGAAGAGGATGAGATTGGTGAGAACTGGGATAAGGGGAGGAGAGATTGAGGTTTTCTCAAAGAAAGATTTAGAATCTAGGAGTAGGGAGAGACGAAGGGCGGGTGGGAGGATAGTCCATATTGGGGGGTTGGGAGATGGTGTGTAGGAGAGGGAGGGGTGTGTAGCGTAGGTTGTTGCTCCTGTTATGTCGGCACTGGTGGGAATGTTAGTCGATGACAATCGATATTGGTGAAGGATGATATGGACGAAAAAGTGCTGACAGTCTTACCGCCGAATTTTAGCTTCTACCATCCCCGGTAGTGGTTTATTCGATTTTCGCACTTTCAACATGTTTTTGATGCCTTCCATATGAATTCTCCACAACTCCTGTCGTCCAGCCATCGCCTAATCGTCATTAGCCTCATCTATAAATCTTCATTTCTCGAGTCTTATGTTGCTCCCGCATCAAAATAAACTTACCTCCCCAACCGCCAAACAACTCACAGCCCCAGTCCCCTCATCACCACCCTCACCCATCTCCCCTTCATTCCCCACTCTTTCCAGCTCTTCCTTCAACCTCCCCCCAACAATCCTAACCGTCTCCCCATAATACCACAAGATCTCCCTCTTCATCCCCGCATACAACGCCCCCGCATAAAGAATCCCACTCAACATAGCCTCATCCCCAACCGCGAACCGAAACCAGTTACCGAACGCAGGGGATTGAATTCTAGACATCGTTTCAGGGGGTAGATGGCAGGTGGTGCGTGAGAGATGTAGGATTGTAGGAGTGCATGGGAGGAGAGGGGCATGTATGTTGGGAAGTTATAGAGGTGTAGGGATGTGGGATGGCCTATGTTGCGGGGGGTGGGGAGGGGAGGACATGGTATGGTTGAAGGGGAGATATCCGATGTTGGCTTTGATGAGTTTTGATTATTGGGTTGCGTATGGGTCCGATGGAGGAAGTCATTCCTAACATGTTTTCGGACGAGTTTTTGAGCGTGGGGGTTCTTGGTTCCTGGGGTGGAGGCTGGGATGAATTCAAAGTGTCTGGGATTTTGCATCCGGCCATTATCTTTCGCATTGGATTCCTCGAGTACCACAGGGGATGACTTAATTCGTACATTCTTATCTGTGAATATTTTAGTTGTTGTACGGGGATTCTTTCGTCGCCCTGGGATATCCCACCCTCTGTGAACGGTGATGGACGGACCATCCAGAACAAGCACTTTGAATCCATTCATGGTGAAAGATACTACTTCGAGAAAGTGCGACCGTACAAGTACGGCATTCAGGTCCACTTAATATAAACCAGAGAGTGAGATGTTACTTTGATTATGTGATCTGAAGGTACATGCTGCGGGGAAATCGTTGGTGGCTAATAGCCAGCCACAATGCAATTACCCGAATATGGAATAAGCTCCAAATTGGGAACGCTTTTCATCATGCCTAGCCGCGTCGCGTTAGTAAGTTCTCTTGATGATCAGCAGAGGAGCTTACATATGGATTTTTGATGAAGTCCCAGAATGTAGGGACGTTATATGACAATTTCACTGGAGCAAACCGGATCTTTGGTTTAGGCTTGTCATCGCTGGTCTCATCTTCATCTTCCTCGAAACGCTTGATCATTCGAGTCGCGCATTGATATGACTCTCTATGCTCCAAGTTCGCCGAGTCGTCGAACTGTATTACACCAGGCTCAGAGCTATCGTCGTCGACGTTGAACCCCACACTGTCGCATAAAACAACTGTTTTCAAACCCTCGTATGAGTCCAAGTGACAATGTTGTAGTAAATTGCCATAAACCCCGTGTTCATCGAAAATGGCAGGATCAAAGGTGTCATAAACACCTTCGTACGCATAACCAAGATTCTGAACACGCAATAAGTCCGCGATGATGCGAGGTGGTGAATCGGCCAAGTTACGACGACTCAACCAAGTATCCAGCCAATCGGTAAGGAACTCCATAATGTCTTGCGCGAACGTGTGAAAGAAAATGATATCAGTTGTGAGATCAGCGTAGATTTGAGAGGTGCCAAAACAAAGCTGATATTTACTCAGAGCTACTTGGCGGGAGGCTTTGCAGACACCGAGAGCTGTCGGGTCAGGTACACGATATCGCTTATCAAAGCTTAACCGAGGAGCCATGCCAGCTTGTGGTGCAGTATAGACAAGGGGGCTCGTCTCAAGAAACGTTGATGTTGGCTCGTTGAAGCATGGTTCGCCAGTGGACATTTACATAGAGTATGGGCATAGAAATCTTGGTCTGGGAAGTGATAGCTCCCATATATATCTTTGAATCTCCAATGGAAAGTCGTTGAATTGGGGAAAGGTTGACCTATCTTTGGTAATGCCCGCATTTTGCCAGACGTTTAAATGAGCCTTGTAGTCCTCTCTCTCGCCTCGCCATGATTTCCTCAGTTCTATATTCCGGAAGAGTCGAAGAGCCAACTCGTCCATTTCACCATCCGCGACTAGTCCTCGATACCTACACTCCGCCTGTAAAACCCATAACGGTGTTGGGGGGTATCTTAGATTATCTCCATCCATATACCAACTTTGGCAGTTCACCGTCATGGCGGGAGTAATATTTGTGAAATGGAAAATTGAGTTGATGTGATTCGGATCGCGAGCGAACTTGGTGTTGTGTTGTTGACTGTTAACATACCCCTGGCCTGGGAGAGCGCGTAACAGGGTTGTAACCTGTACCGGAGATCACTCAGGTGGGGAAGGTTACTTTCCAATTTAAATTTAGGTAATAATTGTCAAATTGGGCGAATAGGTGACAGACTAAAAACTTTCCGCCTGGAAACAAAATGGTATATATAATGACGTTACTGCATAGAAATCAAAAGGGAGAAGGCAGGACATTAATTCCAATTTTATTTAAGCGCAATAATCTTTCTATGCAATAACTTTACCTGACCATGAGCACTCACGAAACAGCAGAGACCCACTATGTCACCATCCAGGGTGTCAAAATCGCGTATCACCGTGTGGGAAGGGACAGTGGCATTCCTCTTGTCATGCCAATGCATTTTCGTGGAAACATGGATTTCTGGGATCCAGCACTTATCAACGCACTCGCGGAAAGTCGACCCATCATTCTCCTCGACAATGCGGGAATTGGGAAGAGCGAGGGAGAGATAGCATTGGAACTTCAAGGATGGGCAAGCATTGTTGTAGGATTGTTGGATGCTCTCAAAATTGGGAGGATTGATCTCCTCGGTTTCAGTATGGGCGGAGGAGCAGCTCAACATGTAGCTCTATCGGCGCCACTACTGGTCTGTAAACTGATTTTAGCTGCGATTCGCACAAGCCTCACTCCCAATACCGTCATCGGTCCTAGGGATATCTTTCTCAAGCTCGCCAACTGGGAAGATTTCAAAGCCGCGATCGCAGTCTCGTTTTTCAATCCAAGCCCTCATGGCCAACTGGAAGCGCAAAGATCCTGGGATCGAATCATGGCTCGCAAAGAGAATCGGGCACCTCCCGTCAGCGTGGAAATGGGCAAGCGTCAGATTGAAGCCTTTTCCAAATTCAGCATTTCGCACCCTTTCAACCCGTATGAACGTATACGAGAACTCAACATGCCCGTTCTTGTGGCTAATGGCGACAATGACCTTCTCATTCCGACTGTGAATAGCATTGAGCTTGCCCAGATCTTGCCCAACGCACAGCTTCACATTTATCCCAATTCGGGGCACGGGTTTTTATACCAATACGCGGAGGAGTTTGCGAAGCTGATTGCCATTTTTCTTGATAGCGAAGAACGTTCGTGGGATGAGGGATTTGGAGCTGGGAATTCGAAGGCCCAACTGGCGTAGTATCATAATGGTTTGGAATGAGCAAGTACAGCTAAGGAAGATTGATGAACATATCTTCAGCCTATGTTGAGAGTTGAGAGTATTTGGAGGGAGCTGCTTGTGCTGCCGTGGGGGCCTTAGGGTAATGGTACATCATGCCACTTAGCACAGCCTTTATGAATGCAATGTTATCTGGTGGAAAGAAGCAGTTATTGAATTAAAAGGACGATTTGGATAATGCATTTACTTCATGATGGTGAAGCCACAGGTGTTTGAGTAATACTCAGATGTTGAGTTAGAAAGGTTTCCCAACGCCTGAAACCAGTGCACTCACCTGCCCTCATGCACCCGGACGACCTGTGGACCCCTGGTAATATCACGTGCTATGTTGATCTCAAGGAGGCCAGCCCAGAGAGTGGGTCCCACTCTACACGACGCGCAAGCTTTTGACGCGTGCCCCAGGCCATGCCCCCCGTCTTCCGCTCTCCCCACACTAGACTACACTTCACAACTACCAGAACATTTAATCTTACCATCACCACCTCAGAGTCTTGTCTACCACTGTTGTGCACTTTCATTGATGTGGTCTGTCTTAAGACTCCATCCTACTCTATCCTACTACAACAAATCTTTCACAGTCTTGATACTGGTGGTCATCCATCTGTGAATGAATTGGAGGGCATATCTTCAATCCTTTGAAGCCTCTGTCTCTGCCTCTGCAGACAGGATGGTCAAACCAACTGCTCCTGGCGTCTATTCAGCGACGTACAGTAATGTATGTCATCCAACCCAGCATCAAAGACCACCTTGAGCCAAAGTTCTTGCGACTAACAATTTCAAGATTCCCGTTTACGAATACCAGTTTGGAGAAGCTCTCAAGGAGCATGGTACGTAACAACCTCTGCATACCCCAGAAACTTGATTTGTTGCATACAAAATCTAATAACTTGTAGTTATGCGCCGTCGCCACGACGATTGGATTAATGCAACACACATTCTGAAGGCCGCTGGGTTTGACAAACCGGCCCGAACACGAATTCTTGAGCGAGAGGTACAAAAGGAAAACCACGAAAAGGTTCAGGGAGGCTATGGAAAATACCAAGGTTCGCAATACTTGAGCGCAGTAGAAGGAAGGGGGCTAACGATGTAAAGGAACCTGGGTTTCACTAGAGCAGGGTCAGGCTTTGGCGCAACGAAATAATGTCTATGAAAAGCTTCGACCGATCTTCGAATTTATACCTGGCAATGTCAGTCCACCACCTGCGCCGAAGCACACAACAAATAAACCAAAGGCGCCCAAGAAGCCAGCGGTTCCGAAATGGGGAAGCAGTTAGTTGATCATAATCCAGGCAATAAGGAATTGGAGCTAACAGAACAGAACCAGTGGCACCGCCTGCTCGGGTAATTGAAAAGGAGTATGAGAATATCAGTCAGCAACTCAACGATGATGAAAGTATGGCGGACGACGTTACCGTGGCCTCGGCTTTATTCATGGCGGACGATGATCGATACGACGTTTCCCAAGCCTCGACTGGCCATCGCAAACGCAAGCGTGACGACAACGCCCAATACCAAGCTCAACAAAACTATGCAGATGAACTGTTGGATTACTTTATGACCGCAAGCTGCGACACTCCTGCGATGAGACCTGAACCGCCATTGAACTTTCAACCTGACCACGCTATCGATCAAGATGACCATACAGCAATACACTGGGCAGCTGCTATGGGAGATGTTGAGGTCATCAGACAATTGAAGAAGTTCGGTGGAAACTTATTCGCGCAGAATAAGAGAGGAGAGACACCTTTGATGCGAGCAGTCATGTTCACTAATTGCAAGGATAAACAAACCATGCCACAAGTCGTCAAGGAGCTCATCTCTACAATCGAAGCTGTGGACTATTGCCAATCCAACATCCTCCACCATGCTGCTTCTACAACGCAAGTCACGAAACAAAAAACAGCTCGATATTACCTGGATGTCATTTTGAATAAGATGCAAGAGCTTTTCGAGCCAAGTCACGTTCAGCGTATTCTTGATGCACAGGATAACAATGGAAACACTCCTATTCATATTGCTGCCCAGCACTGCGCTCGGAAATCAATCAGAGCATTGATGGGACGGGGTGCTCGGACAGACATTCCAAATAAGGACGGGGTGACTGCGGAGACACTGATTCAAGAAGTCAACCATAAAACCATGCGCGAACGTCATCAAGGATCATCGTCTCCCTATGCTCCTCAGGATTCGTATGGCCTTCTTGGACCTGAACATGTAGACAACAACTGGGCTGCTGGACACAATTCTCCTCCACGTCACGTGCGACGATCGACTGCACCAGCACATTACTCCGAGGCTGCTATGTCTGTGGAGAAGAAACTCCTTCCACTCATGCAAGAAAAGTTAGGAGTTCTGGCAGAGTCATTTGACGAAGAGTTGAGAGAGAAAGACACTTCTGAGCAAGAGGCGAACCGCATTGTAGCAACCGTTCAAAAAGAGCTTAGTGAGATCCGAGGTCGCATTCTAGAGGTCACTGCTTCTGCAGATGATGCAGACACCAAGGCCGAGCTGCAACGAAATCTAGGCCATATCGAGCAAGAAACTGTGTCCTTGATCGAGCAGCAACAGTACTTGCAATTGTTGAACAACGCACAGCACGAGGAGAGCAAAACCAACGGTCATGCTCATAACGGAGATGATGATCCTGCTGAGAAAGTCATGCTCGCGAAGCTTCTTCTTGAGGAGCAGGATAGAAGACATACTTTGGTAACCCGATACCGCGAAGCTCTTGGAGCTGCCGGTGATGTTGGCGAGATGGGTGAACTCTATCGCCAAGTCATCGCTGATTGTGTTGGTGTCAATCAAGATGAGATCGATAATGAGATTGACGTACTTCTCGAGACTATGCAAGAGGAGGATCGCGACAATCGAATTGCGAATCCGCTTGATTAGGTGATCAGAGAGTGGTAATCACTTCTAGGGCGTAGTACTTGGAGTACTTTACGTTTTTCCTTTTGTTTTTTCCTTTTTCATGACTGGTTGGGCGGGTGGGAAATCTCCAATGCGCGTATGAATGAACATGTTATTTTGAGGGCGTACGGTGATCACTGGATAGGAGCTTTCAAGGTTGTTTTTCTGTAACATCTGCAGAGGCGTTTCTTGGCGACGGACATGGCATTTCGGGATCATCGCCAGAGTTTCTTGATTCTCTTTTTTTTTCGTTTGTGGATCTGGGTCTGATCGGATGGATCATATTGGGCCTGAGTGTTGATTTTGGGGAGATCTTATTGAGAGACTCTCGTCGTCAACATGAATTGTATTTTTGTCGTCGTGGTACATGAGGAATGGGAAATCAGATACCTTATCCTTCCTTCTTGAACGTGCTTAGTGATATCTGTTTGAATTCGTGATTTTGTGTTCGTTTTGGCTTTTGGGTTAGTAAACAATCCGTGTTCGGGGAGTAGAGGTAAGCTTGCTTTCTTAGCTGTTCTCTATGTAGCAATGTCTTTTCCGGGCCTCCGTCAAATCTAGTACAGTAATGCTGTAAAAGCAGACTTCCCTCACTTTAAACATCTCAAGAGAGGTGAGAAGAGCGTAGTATAACCACAGTATTCCTACACTTAAAGCTTCTTCTGTTTTAGTACTAGGATGTATATTCAATCTTTCAAGGGCTCAAGTAGGATTACAGTAGCGAGATTATTGCCCAGTATATGGAGTCTGGGAATTTGGTCGTTCCTACTTGTGGTCTAGAGTATATAGATTACTACGGGGTTCGTGGTTGATGGATAGAGGTGAAATGAGGATTTGTGGGTTGTGAGTAGGATGGAAGTTGGTAACTGCCTTTTGATGGGGATGTGATATGTTGATAGTGATGGTTTTGGTTAGGTTGGGGTTTTGGTGGTTGGTAGGTAGATATAAGGGGTTAGTGGTGGGTGTATTGAAAAGGAATGATATTTCTGTTTGTGCTAAAGATAGTAGAGTGTATTGGTTGTAATTATGTGGTATATTGGTAGACTTAAGGGGTATTACTAGACTGTCATATCTAGATTTAAATATAATTTCTGGGTCGCTCCCTATTCAAGTATTTTCACCCTATTCCTAAATATGTTTATAGTAGTAGGGTAGAAAATCCGCCCATAGAATGTTGAATAAAAAGTGCTACAGTTGTACCTTGGTATGGAATTTTTAGGGGGGAGGGTAGTTCTACCTCTACCGAATAAAAGGGAAAGCAAGGCCGTGCTTAATTATGTGGTAATACCGCTAGAATCCTACGATGTGGTAGTTTTTATCGTGGGGAGAAGAATTAAAACATAAAACAAATTGACTCTTAAATTGTATCTTCACACTACCTGTCGCGGGACCCATAATTCTCCTGCCAAATTTCATTATGTGTACCTCCAAGTCCTACGCTCTAAGAATCTCTCAAGAATTTGTTCCCCATATTTCTCTCTTCCTACGCTCCTCAACCTATCTGCAATGACACCATTAGGTTTACACACCTCCCCGACGGTGTAGTACAACCTCCTCACCAAGTGATCCTCAGGACCCTCATCTCCCCATTCCGCTTTCTGCCCCGGCGCATAATATGCCACCTCCCAGTAGCCTAATTCGTGACCGAGCTCGCACTCCAGCATGAAGTGCTCAAGAACCGGCATATTCTGAATGGCCTTGGAGAATGCAGTGAGAAATGGGTTCAAGGTCGCCTCGTCGCCGTGTTCGCGGAATTGACAGTATTCGTCGTCAGCGTCATCGGGATCGGGCTGATGGCCTGTGAAGTACCAGTCGCCTGATGGTGAGACCTGATTGAACATGACTTTCAGTTGGACCAGATTTGGCCATGTTGGTGGGGAGGCTGAAGTTTCGTCCCTGGATGGCCAGAAAAGAGATGGATCGAAGTGTCCGCTCAAAATCAGAGACGTGAGGTTGTGAGAAAAGAGGCGCAATGATGAGCAGAGCTGGTCATACGGTGACCCAGCTGGTACACGTGCATGTCCTGGCTTTCCATGATGTGATGGCACCTCTGCTAAAATGTCAGGCTTGATGCCGTAGCGATGCTGGGAGTGATTTCTCCCACCTTGATAGAACTCCAGATCAGCGGCAGAACAATGTGGTATTTGTGTTTGATCAAGCGCCTGGGCGAACTTGATACGATTTTTAACCATCTTGTCTTTCTCATCACTTTCTCCAAAGTGCCAGGATATTGTTTTCAAGTTCGGTAGGTGTGCAGCAAGACTTGTTCCAACGGTTGGTGCCAATTGTCGGGGACTGTTGCTACGGATAATCAACCATAGAACGTTGGATAGACTTGGGAAGTCGACTGAATCAGATATCTCCAAAAATGAGTCTTCAAACCGCTTCTGGAAGATGTCCACACCCCCTCTGGGTCTGATATCAACCATGTGCTCAACGCGTAGATCCGTTTGAGAATAGGCCCCTCGAAAAGGGAATTCGAGGCGCAAAGTGCTCTGTAATCCTTCGGCTTCCCAGCTCTTTGGTGTGGAGAACAGATCGCGAATGGCATGCGTAAATGCTTTACTGTTGGCTTGCTGCTCGTGCGCCGTCTCAACATGGCCGTATACTTCTTTGGGGTATTCTGGCAATACTATGTGGTAGATGAGCCTCGTCAAGTATTTACGGCGATTTCCTGTAACGTGTGTTCGGAAGTCACTCAACTGATTGCTCCGAACTTGTAGACTATGAAACGTGATGAGCTCGACCGCCTCTTTTCCACGGTCTAGATAATGTTGCGTATGGTGGGAGCTTGGAATCTTTGGTGCATTCCTGTGAGAGCAAGAGAACTTGTGGCTGGTCTGGGCATCTCTGAAGTTGCAATGCGATTCTGTTGATTAGCTCCAGGGGCAAATTATCCATACTAACGCAAGAAGTCCGCTAGGGGGGGTGTTGAAGAATCCGAACGATACAGTAGTGCGAGACCGTACCGAAGTCAAGGTTGTCAGACTGTCACACTCAATTCATAGAGTACCCATGCGTTGTGAAAGCCAAGGCGCTAGCGAAGGACCCTGACGAACCACCCCCCTTTCTCTACGAAACTGCATTGCATTAACCTAGGAGTTACTACAGAAAGATTTACACTCCTTAATATCCTCTCGCAAGTAGGGTTAAAAGCGGGATGTAATATACGATAAGTGCTTGCTTACCTACTGTACCTACTGTTGCGAGATAAGAAGGGGCGGACTCTTCAATTTGTAAAGTAAGGTATAGGTGGGTATTGAATACCCAGATATAACGCTAGTACGCGTAGTGAGTGAATATCAAATATTTCCAACACCCTCTGTAGTATAATACCCTTTGGTACCATATACATAAGACTTTCTACTGGTATAATAGAGCTATTAATATAAGAATAAAGGTATAGAAAAATAGTCAAAATTGGTTTACGGCAAGCTTACTAAAGAGACTTTATATATACAGCCTCTTCTCAAAAGTAGCCAGAAACAGGGGTTATCGACGAGTGTATTATAGGGTATTGGGGAAGGGATTCTACATGTAAATTACTTTTTTCTACAGCTTCTAAAGTTGCGAAACATCTCGCTACTTTTGAGAAGGGGCTGCAAGATTCTTACATACCGCTTTTTCAGTACCGCAAAGGACCCGTAAAGGAAGCTACAGAATATCTACTGCCCTTCTCCCGCCCTCTTCTCTCCTCTTCTAGGATGTAACGGCATGGTCTTAGCTAGCCAAGACTCCTGCACTCATGTCTCTGCTGCCTGATCCCTGTGTGAGGGTTCGATTTCGAACCCTCACAGTGGAGTCTTCTGCTAATGCTACGAGATCTCCTGCTCCCGCGTACCGAGTTGGCGATTTGGTACTACTTAGTACGAAGAATAACCTGTCTGTACGCCTTATTCCGAAGTTTGACTCTAAGTTTATTAGACCATTAGAATTCTTTAGAAGGTAAATTTGCATAGGTACAATCTGGATTTGCTAGTCAAGCTTAAAGCCGTCCACCCCGTTTTTCACACCAATTTACTACGTCCCGCTCCGGGCACCCCACTTCCAGGACAGTCTGATCCCCTAGCTATGCCTATAGCCCTGGACAGTACTGACCAGGAGTTGTACGCAGTGTACAAAATCCTTGATTTCCGGCTTCAAGAGGGCCAATTGGAGTATCTAGTCAAGTGGCGGGGACGAGGAGGATACTTGTGAGCCACTAGCGAATGTGCTTTCAGGCTTAGCGTCTCGGTCTCTGTTCCATCGCTCTTTCCCAGATAAGTTACGACCTACTCGAGAGGAGCTACGGTCCGCGAGATCGTAGTATAAGGGGGGGCCTTATGTGAAGGTTCGATTTCGAGTTTTACAGTGAATCGTTTTACACGTGATATTCCCCGCATGAGTGAATAGGGGGTATTCTGTAGATATTTAGTTAGTTCTACCGTAGCAGTTCTCTCCTTCTCTCCTTACGGACAATTTAATCTTATATACATTGTCTTTGCACGAAGCGAGACAGGGGTTGGTTGGCTCTCAGCGTTCCCGGAATAGACCCGAAAAAAACTGGTCAGGTAATCGGGACTTTTGGTAGGCACGTGTGACACGAAAGAACAGCCCGTATCGAGCGCAAATAGTGTCTAAATTGTTTAGCACTTTATATTAGGTTATATTAGTACCTATATTAAAATCCTGCCTTTTTAGCCTGTTGTTTACTTATAATAGCGATTCACGGTTGCGACCATAGATTTTGGTAGGGTTTTTGCTGCCTTGCTAATACGAGGCACTAACTTTTCGACTTAGTAGACGGAGGGTTAAAACTCTGGGTTAGGTAACTAGCCTGTCTACCTACTCTAATTAGTATATAAGACTCTAGATAGCTTATATTCCCTAGCCCTTCTACCCCCTAAGCCCTCTATATATAAAAAGAATTATAAAAAGAGAATAATTTTAAGATATAACGTAGTCCACAAGCGAGTTGGATTCCCAAGCGAAATGGATTTTTTTTCTTGGCACTCCACAAATGTATTTAGAGCGCGTTTTTTCTTAACAAACAAAATGGTTAAGCATTGGACAGAGTCTGATATGATTCTTGCGTTAAATACGCTTCGTACGAACCCACATTTAAAAGTTAAGAAGGTTGCGCGGATCTATAAAGTACCTTATACGACATTGCTTAATCGAACTCATGGAATATTTTCACGACAAGATTCTATCGCTAAATCTCGAAAACTTACAGAGATTGAAGAAATAGTTATCGTACGACATATTCTCGACCTAGATTCTCGATCATTTCCCCCACGAGTACGTTGTGTTGAAGATATGGCGAATCGTATCCTCTCGGAGCGGGGTGCAGGACGCGTTGGCAAGAACTGGACTTCGAACTTCGTACGACGACAACCTGAACTTAAGACGCGTTTTAATCGAAGGATTGATTATCAAAGAGTCCAATGCGAAAATTCAGACGCGTATAACGCGTGGTTTCGCCTCGTACGAAATATAATTGACAAATATGGGATTCAGGAGGAGGATATTTATAACTTTGACGAGACTGGGTTTTGTATGGGCCAAATTACATCAGAAATGGTTGTTACAAGTACCGAAAGGCTTTCTCGGCCTCGTACAGTACAGCAAGGAAACCGGGAATGGGCAACAGTAATTCAAGGTGTTGGGTCGTACGGCTTTGTAGTGCCTCCATATATCATTTTGGCGGGGAATAACCACCTCTCCTCCTGGTACGAAAACAGCCAATTACCACGCGACTGGGTAATTGCTGTAACTACAAATGGCTGGACAACAAATGAGCGAGCCCTAGATTGGATTTTTCATTTCGATCGGCATACAAAGCTTCGTACGAAGGGCATTCACCGGCTGCTTGTGCTTGATGGCCATGAAAGCCACCACTCAGTCGATTTTGAGCTTTTTTGTAAGAGTAATAACATTATTACTCTTTGCATGCCAGCTCATTCCTCTCATAGACTCCAGCCACTCGATGTAGGATGTTTTCGAGCGTTAAAAAGGTCGTACGGTGCTGAACTTGAGAAATTAATGCGACTCCACATTACATATGTTTCTAAGGAGGATTTCTTATCAACATTCTATACTGCCTTTCGTACGACAATGACTGAATCAAACATTCGAGGAGGATTTCGAGGATCTGGCTTAGTGCCGTACGACCCAGATTCTGTGATTTCACAGCTTGATATACGTCCAAGGACTCCGTCACGTCCATCTACCTCAACAAGCCTCCTAGCTATTTGGGAACCAAAGACCCCAAATAACATAACAGAGGCATATTCCCAGACGTCATATATACAAAACAAGGTCGTACGACACCAAGATAGTTCTCCGACCCAGATTCTATATGGCCTAGACCAGCTTGCAAAGGGTGCACAGCGTGCAATCACTGAGGTAGCTTTATTACGAGCTGAGAATGCTACACTTCGTACAGCAAATGATCAACTTAGTCGGCGTCGTCGTACGAAAAAGCGCCGATTACAGGAAGGAGGATCACTTACTCTCCAAGATGCGCAAGATTTAGGGGTCCTTAGTAATGTTGATTCGCAAGAACAAGTGGTTTTAGTAGAAAATAGTAATTGTACGAGCCCGAGTCTAGTACCTCGCCGGCGCTGTGGACTGTGTGGGAAACATGGCCATAACATACGAACTTGTCAAAAAGGAGAAGAAATATGTGGGGATTCCGATTCTGAATACTGTAATTAATTTAATTAATTGTGTCGTGAGATATTTAAGAATTTATAAAATGCCAAGAAAAAAAATCCATTTCGCTTGGGAATCCAACTCGCTTGTGGACTACGTTATTTAATTTAACTTTTAAATATTAGATATTAAAGAATTTAATATTATTTTATTAAACTATAATTATTTAAGAAAAGTTCATAAATACTTCACCAGTGGGTGACAGAATTCGTGGGACTGCACAACTTCTAAATTACGTAATCAAGAACACCAAAAATGCTTAGATATCATACCTTAATAATACATACTCTTTAAACCGTTCAAATGGACACTAACACGCCTACTCACAGTAGAGAGGACACGCCAGATCGTCAAATACACCACCGCGAAGCTACTAATACCAAAAAGACCCGGTTTTACGAGGCCTGGGACGCCCGGCACGGCGCAGAAACACATAAGGCTATTGGGGCAGATTTGGGAGTAACCAGGTCTACGGCATCACGATGGCTCAAAGAGCGTACTCAAATAGGGTCTGCAGCATACCGGCGGACGCGGAAGAGGTCAAATA